AATTGAAAAATTTGATCGAAAAAAGTGAGCGACGAATTTTCGAATTTCGTAATTTTTTAAGTGCTATCAGGTCAGAAATTACAGGTATATTTTAAAAATGAAAATCCGAAGAAAATTGATGCAAAAATACGCCTTCTAGAGCCGATTTTCGACTTTTTGCACATGTTGAACTGTGGCACTTCCGGTTTTGCAAAAATGTTCCAATTTATACTTATGCACATCGTCGCCTATATAGAAGGTCTATGAAATTTGAAACGTACCTGCAACTAGTGCAGTCTAAGCTCAGGAAGGTGTGGACGAAAGAAAAAAAAAAAAAAAAAAAAAAAAAAAAAAAAAAAAAAAAAAAAGAATGGACATTTCGATAACAAACTGGGACTTTGCGGTAGCAAAGTCCCACAAAAAAAAGAATTGACATTTCGATAACAAACTGGGACTTTGCTGAAAGCAAAGTCCCACAATAAGATGCATTAACATATACTATAGACACGATTGGCAGGTTTTTTTTTTTTTTTGATGTTTCAAATGTTTTGATTTTGAATCAATAATCAAGCTTTTATCATGCATGGAATATGTAGTATTAGACTAATATTTGCCATTTTGCATCATAACTTATATGCATGTCTTCTTTAAAAGTTCCTTTATTGAACAGTTTGTTGAAAACATTCAAGTATGGTCTGCATGATATATGCATAACTGAATAACACATTGATTTATTTGCATAGCAGTTGCAAAAAAAAATCTTTTTTTTTCAACTGGTCGAAATTGCAATTTTTCAACTTGTTGCAAAAGTCAGTCATAATCTACTGGAGTCAAAATTCATTTGTGTTTGTTCTAATTATTGTATGATTACTTTGTCGAACCCAACTCTCTTCATTATAGCAACCATTGGAAACTTGGGTATATCAGTAACCTCAGTAGATATTAAAGACGTCAATAATATCAAGAACGATACCGCTGCTATTGTATCTTTGTGAGTAAATACTTTTATTTATTGTACGTTCCAATCATTTATCTTGGAAAGTCACAAAGCAGTAATTGTTATTTAAGTTATATGAATATGTTAGTGTAGAATTAAAGTAGTATAATGTGCAATATTTAGCTTGCTACGGTACTAAGAAAGTGGGTGCATACTTTTAATGGAGTTTCACATTCCATCCACATACATATCGTATTCATCTGATTGTGTATGTGGATATTCATCTTTCAGTGTAATATTGGGTTGTTTTGTTGCTTTATGTGTTATTGGTACCGTGTTAGAAATAAGGACAGAAAATACCACTGAAAAAAACAGTTCAGAGAGAAATACAAATGATCAACAAACAAATAACAAAGAGCATAATGGTATTCAATCTAGTGACAGAATTCAGAGGAAGAATTTCATTTCAGGTCAGTAAAAAAAGTATATGTATAATCTTCATAATCATTTCAGGTCAGTAAACATGTGTACATATATAATCTTCATAATAATCTTAACTGGTGATTTAAAAACAAGGGGTTGATCACAGACTTTGAACTTTCCGATATCAACCACCACTTCTATTTGAACAATTAAATAGTAAACAGATTTACATGGTATATATTCGTCTGGTATAACATCCATCGTCGTTTAAACTACAACTCATATAATATTCACTTGTGTGCTCAAATTGACGAAACAAACGTAAAAATGACATGTAGAAGCATGTTGATTGGCCGGTTTGAAAATCACGTGACACCAGGAATATTTATTATCTAGGTCCCTAATGCGAATGAAATACAGAAGAAATATGTTATAAATTTGGAATAAGGCTCGGTGTGTTTCCCTATTTTACACTTACCCATAATATTTGTCCACCCCTCGGACCTAATTGTGCACTGATTATTATGTTCAATCAAACATATATACTTTGATGCGTTGATAACATTGCGCCATTTTCATTTTCATTTTTCAAGATTAAAAACATTTTTTTCCATCCAAACCACCATCCGTTATGTGTTTAGTAGTCCTATTAAACGTCATTTTCATTGGTTTATCAAAGTAATCGAAAACGATCTGGAGTTCACCCTACAAGCATCATTTCTTGACTAGTGTTTTTTTTATCGATTTTTTTGGTCAGACACATCAGCTAAGTCATTTTTGACCAATGACATTCAGAAATATTAATTTTCAAATACATGTTCGTTTAATATTTTTCAAATCTTCCAATATTTTAGGTACGAAGAGACTGCTCCTGACATTTTCTGTGCGTAAAAATGGGCGAAATATTTTAAATAGTAAAGCACCGCCGGGTTCCCTCGGTTGTTTAAATGGTATCCGAGTGCTAAGTATTGTTTGGGTAATACTTAGTCATTTTATGGAAACACTTCTTAATCAAGTTGGTAGGTTATTTGTATTTAGCATATGCAATATTAGCACTATATCATTTCATTATCAAAGTAATTTGTTATATATTGTCCAAGAAGAATCCAGAAAAGCCTTCTTACTTTAGTTGGATGATTCGGTGAAATCTAATGCTCAACAAAAAGCACCGATAAACAATTATGTACATAAATATTGATTAACTAACAGTTTAACGACAAAGCACCATGAGCTGCATGATTATCAACAAATATAACATCATTTATTATATTACCTTTTATTAGAAAATAAGAAGGACTTCAAAGATCTTACCAGCACCTTTTGGTTTCAAGTTATTTATAATGGAACCCTAGCTGTTGATACTTTCTTTTTCTTGAGGTATTAATAATTATATTATATATTATATATATATATATAAGTTAAATTTTACTTTTAACGCCATAACAGCCAAATTAAGGCGCAATTTTTTAGTGATTCACTCGATACCTTGTATAGCCAAGCGTCATCAAGGTTGTTGGAAAATAAATACTTTGTTGTCTTGTAATTTTTCAGCGGGTTGTTAGTAGCCTATCAGTTTATAAGAGTTGTAAAGAAAACCAAGAGAATATCTGGAAAAGGAATGGGACTGTTTTATTTCCATCGATATTTCAGGTACGTTCTACAAACAATAATTCTACATGGTAAATAAAAATTTCACCCAATTTTCAGAACAATGTTTTATACCCAAAATGTAATTACAAGACCGAAACTGTCTGAAACATACAATAAAATGTAACAAACTGGTCGTTTTGAGATTCCTTTAACTCGCTTAAAATTCCATTTACATTTAACCCTATCTGTCTTCCAGGTTAACCCCCTTGTATATGATAGTGTTGATGATCTATACCAATATTGCACCTTATTTTACCGAAGGAGTTTTATCAAGTCCTTTGACTCAAAGCAGACCAGAAAATTGTAGGAAGTTTTGGTGGACTAATCTCCTATATATAAACAATCTATATCATTCTGGTCGTCAAGAAATGGTACGAGTATTAGAAAACTTAGTCCAACTCGGCAAAATGTCTATTATTACTTTGGAAAGGTATCATCGAAAGCAGTTTCTTTGTGCATTGAAATATAAAGTCGTTATCTGAAATTCTCAGTGTAGACTTACACTGCATAGCGTTGCCTGTGTTCATTAGCCAACATTTTTATGGAAGAGAATGACTCATGTCTACATTCCGGAATCATTTTCTTTGAGCTGCGCTGAAATGATAAATATATACCTAGGACCGACAAACCGCTTCTGAAACACATTCAGACCGACCACAGTGCTAATGTTGTATATTTGATATTTTATTATATAGTGTATGTTATGGAGTTGGTATTTAGCTAATGATATGCAGTTTTATATCATCAGTCCAATCATTGTGATACCACTATCATTGGGGTAGGTTTTAAACAGCCAACAAAATAGATTTTAATTATTGATTTAGATTACTGGTATATTTTGTTCGTGTCAACCAGAATTTAAAACCAGAATAAGAGATAAGACTTAAATAAGTCAATACAGCATAACCTCAAAAGAAATTCTGCAATATATTTGTATGTTAACTTCATATATTTTTTTTTTGTTATTATAGATACCATGTTATCGGATTTCTGTTATTATTTGGTATGGTTGCTGGTCAGATTATTTCAGGTGGTTATATTGGATGGAGTGTTGGTGATTCAGGTCTTGCTAAGTACGATCTATATAAAATATAGTCATGTATGCTTATTTTAGCAATGAGTTTTACGTTCTGCTTTTCCGTACTATACGTGGGCTAATGAAGACGGGATTGTAAAAAGATTTTCGAAATTTGTATATGTGTATCGGGGATTCTAATAGCATCAATTTGCACCATTCCAATTTTCAATCAGACGTCTAGAGTTCCTTCATTTCCACTAAGAAATAAACGTCACAATTAGTCGAAATCGTCAGTCGTATTTAATATTTTAGTCGTCGTCGATTTTCTTTTTTGAACTAGTTGAAAACTCTATGCAAGTAGTCGTCAGGATTTTACAATTCGCCGTCGAAAAATTTAATTGAAATTGAAATTAGATTTATATTTATTCACTACATAAATACATGTAACACCATGAAAATGAAAAAAATCCGATTACAGCTTGAAATTATTGGTATAATAAATTGTGATATTTGGTATTAACTGAAAATCACCATTTTGTATGTTAGGAATAGTTAAAAAAAATTTGACATTGCTATGAAATATGGGAAAAATTCTGCAGGTTGACGATGTTGAGATAACCCATGTTTATCAAAACATGCAAATACGGTGGTCGCGCATGTAAATTATTTATCATTTCCGGACATAGACTATAGTACATTTGCACGAATTTGGTTACTTGACTATTACTTTGTGATAGACAAACACAGAATGATTTTTTGGTTTGTAATTGTATTATAAATCATGGTGCTCACTACTTAAAACTATTTTTTAGCATAGCTTTCTGGGAAGTTAAATTTAAGTGTCTTAAATAGAAGGTGTCCTTTACTGATTTTGAATCAATAGTCAAGCTTTTATCATGCATGGAATATGTAGTATTAGACTGTTAGTTGCCATTTTGCATCATAAATTAAATGCATAACTATCTCCTTTAAAAGTTCCTTTATTGAACAGTTATCGGAATACATTCAAGTATGTTATGGATGTAATATACATACAATTATATAGTTAATATCTGAAAAGCATCTTTCATTTGTGACTGACTTCGGGATCTAGTCTAATCGCGAAATATGCTTTTATCACCTAAGGGCTTCGCGATTAGTGACGTCATCAAACACTTAGGAACCACAGAAAATTTTGGTGCAAATTGATGCTATCAGTGTCTTGGATACACATACACAATTTAGAAAACCTCTTTACAATCCCTTTAATGAAGTCAATTTTGACACGCATTGTGGGGATAATGTCATGACCAAGGTAAATTCAGATAATGCAATGGATAGTACCCTTTGATAGTGTATCATCGTCTGTAACGTAATTTAGCATAGAATAAAGTCTAGTGATAGATGCCATTTTATTCATTTCAGTTCCCATAGTAGTGAATTTTTCGAAGAGATTTATATTAAGCCATACGCTAGAATGGGGGTTTATGCTGTTGGTTTATTATTAGGATACATTATTACGAATGAAAAGAACATGAACATTTCAAAAGTAAGTTCCGACTCCTTTAAAGATGAACACATGTCGGCTGGTGATTCATAGTACTATCTCTTGCAACCAACTGAATGATCACCGACTGCCAACACTCTGACAAAAGATCCACTTTTTCCAGAGGGTAGAACATAAGCAACCCATTTCATCTGGCAACAAATGCAATTCTTCAGCCGTCGGTGTTCTCAGGTCGCCTTTATCAAGTTGATCAGATTCTTTTAGATGCCGCCAGCAATTTCTATCTGTTGCATCTACCTAGTGCATTTTTGTTCATTTCTTTATTACCTTACCTCGCAGAGTTCGTCCTTTTTTATTTCTACATTATTTTTAGGTGAAGTTATTAATCGGTACAGTTTTAACAGCAGCCTGTAGCATGTTGGTGACGTATTTAACCTATGATAAATATAAAGAAGATGGTGACGGATGGAACTCAGATGCTAATATTGCTTACGAAACTATGTTTAGACCAGTGTGGTCTTTGGTTTTATTTTGGTTAATATATGTTTGTCTAAGTGGATATGGAGGTAATAATTCTTAACAAGAGTAATGAGACAATGATTCTTGAAAGTTCGTCGTAAAGTTAATTCAAATGGACACTATCGGGGACAAGTTGTGTTAAAGCCATGCCTGTGTGTTACATTTCTTACTGTCAATTAGATTGGGTATAGTCTACATCATCACAAAAACCCTCTTTTGACCCAACCAATGGATCATATTGGCGGGACCAATCGGACGTTTTTACTGCTTTAGGACCGTTTCTCCCCAAGGATTGCTTTGGTTCCGATAGTACCCAATCGTTTCAATCAACGTGAGGCAGCGATCGCATCAGACGATTCAAACTTTCGAACTACGACCGTCTTTCAGTTAATTCTTCAGAAAACCGTTCTCATTCCCTCGTAAGCTCATTTTCGTCCACACTCGCGCGAAGCACTTTTTTCTCTCTTTTTTTCAATTTGTGAAGCGGTAACCTTCCCTGCTACCGTGCCAATGTTCAAAAGTGTTACAAATAGTAAGTCTAGCTCACTGGTTGATGAACTGACCGAGTCCTGAAGAGCCATCAATCAGTGTTTGTCATGAATATGAATCTAATATATGTGAAAATTTGATAAATTAAGCCACTAAATATTTTTAAATTAAGCCACTATGGGTCCATGAATTTTCAGCACAGTCGGTAGGTAATTGTAGAAAGCACTTGTCAGCATGAACATGGCTGTTTGGTAAACTACCATATTGGTTTTTTAGGTTTAATTAATACTATTTTATCATGGAATGTATGGATACCACTATCCAGAATAACTTATGCAGCTTACTTAGTTCATCTCATTATACTTTCATCATTTATGGCAGATTTAAGAAAGTTTGGTTACCTCAACATGTTTTATATAGTAAGTATAATCATTAACAGACCTCAAAAAACCACAACTTGCAGTGTGCATGGAGAATGATTTGATAATATTGTAACAGTTTTGAAGATCACGGGTAATTCGGACGTACAAAAACTCTGATTAAAACTTGGCACAATACTTGGACACTTTGACTTAAACTGTCATGCTAAAGAAATATTTCATCTTCTCGATATTGTTTTAAGGGAGATAATGCCACCATTCCAATAATTTAATAAAAGTTAATGTGCAATTTGTTCTTGGACTTATATCCACTCCGTATCATAACATATGTCTTGCTTTTTTATTTCAGGTTAACAACTATATCGGTATACTTGTTTTAACTTTTGGTGTTAGTTTTATTTTAACAATTTTAGTTGAATCACCATTTGTGGGATTAGAAAAGGTGTTGCTAAATCGATGAAACTTAACTTCATATTTATATTTCCCTCTATATTCCACTATTTATTATGTTAATAAAATTAATTCTCATACGCATTTATTGACCGCTTTCAATGTTTAGTCCAAATTATACCTACTTTCTCAACCATCTTTCATAACCAATTATGGAAAACCGCTCGTTGATTGACTCAAGGGAGGTTATTAGACGAGGACTAATATCAGCGGTTTATGAACCTTCAGAACTGAAAATGGGTTGTTCCAAGGCAGGGCAAGTGGTCATAGACTGTTTATTGTTTGTGGAAAAAATATGTAGAATGGGGGTATTTAACAAATGAAGGACAGTATATATTAAATAAGCAAGGTCATGTCACATAGTGAAAATTTTATGACCGTTTTTTATTCGATAAACAAAATTTCAAGCGGTTGATGCAATTTTAGTCGCTAGGCCAGGTAGAAAACTCAATTTTCTAGGAAATTTTGAAAAGGCTTTCAACAGTGGTTTGTATAGGAAATGTTTAATTTTTTTCTAAATATATTTCATTTTTTTTTCTGCTGGACTGTCATTTTTGTTCACTATTTTCTAGTTTTGTCTGCTGAATTATGAATTAATTCTACTATTTATTCATTATTGTTTGCTTAATAGCCATGTTTGGTTACTGTTTTCTATTTTTGTTTGCTGAATTATGATTTAATTCTATTTATTTTTTATTTTTTTTGCTGAATTATGATTTGATTCTATTTATTTTTTATTTTTGCTGAATTATGATTTAATTCTATTTATTTTTTATTTTTGCTGAATTATGATTTAATTCTATTTATTTTTTATTTTTGCTGAATTATGATTTAATTCTATTTATTTTTTATTTTTGCTGAATTATGATTTAATTCTATTTATCTTTTATTTTGCTGAATTATGATTTAATGCTACTTATTTTTCATTTTTGTTTGCTGAATTGTGATTTAATTCTATTTATTTTTTATTTTTGCTGAATTATGATTTAATTCTACTTATTTTTCATTTTTGTTTGCTGAATTATCATTATTTTTGTTTACAAGTTTTTTAAATAAGGAAACCAAAATAATATTTTTTAAACAAAAATAGAAAATAGTAATGAAAAATTGCGAAAACAAAAATGCAAAGCGAGTAGAATTAAATCATAATTCAGCAAACAAAAATGAAAAATAAGTAGAATTGAATCAAAATAAAAAAAATTAAGCATGTCCTAAACAAACCACCGTAATATTAAAATATTAAAAACTCTATCGTTGTTACAATGTTCATGGCCAAGTATTCCTGCGTAACTAAGTTTAGATAATGTTTTGTTATCGGCTGATTACGTACAATATTTTTTCAACCACTAACACTATAGTCACAACTTATCTATTTTTATACGCCCACATGGAAATGTGGACGTATATTGCCGTCCGTTCGTCCGTCCACATTTCTTGTGGGCGCGATAGAGGCTACAGCATACTTGGTATGCATTTATGTATTGAAGTGATCTCATTCAAGTTCGAAATTGGTAATAATCGGAAGAACGGAGTTATTGCCCTTGACTTAGTAAAAACGCGTCAAATTTGGTTTGTAGGCACGATAGAGACATACATCAGGAACTAAGCTGTAAATGACGCAAAACATGTTTATCATACATAAAAGTCAAATTTTAGATATTTGATCTGACTCTGTTCTGTGGATTAGAAAGCTGCAAGGAATGATTTCGTCACCATTTCATTATCAAAACGAGTCAAGTTTGTTCGTGTTTTCCAAGTGGAGTGAATGTTTAAGTGTTCGAAGGTACGAACTTGACTGTAAATTATCTCTGAAGATAAAAAATACATTTATCAGAGAATTTATCATTTGGTATTATCTGATATCGTTCGATAAGAAAACGTCCGAGTTTTCTTAACAATTTGTACGCTATAATATGTAGTAAAGACGTATTTCTTTTTTTTATAAGGTAATTTTTTATAAATATTTGTCTTTAGTTACAAGAAATTCATCTGAAATTCATTATATTCTGACTCATCGATGGATGCAATACACATCAAATCTAACCCTTTGATGAAGTAAGGGTCGCAATATTTTACCTACTGCCATCCGCCACTCAGCTCAGAGATTGTAAGGATTCAGTTTCTTGTACACTATGAACTGACATAACTCTTTCGTTTTTCAGTTATTATACAGAAAACAAGAACAATGAAGTTTAAGATAACGCTTGTTCTCTTGATTTGTATGATGGTCTTGAGAACAGTGTTGTCACTGGACAGTTCAACCACACAAATGCCATCAGGTCAAACCACAACTCTTTCAACATCAGTTGTTCCCAAAGGGGTAACAGTAACATCACTAACTACTGTAGCTCCAATATCTAAACAATCAACAGATGTAGCCCAAACACCAACAAAACCAAGAACTTCAACTGCAAAACCTAAAAAACCACTTGATATTTTTACAGTAATAAATGAACTTACAAGTAATGCTTCTATGACTAATGAAACGTTAGAGTATCTTGTTAATGTGATTGGAGACAAAAACAACAAGTTTCACGTGTTCCTGCCTACTTTACTTGCAATAGACACCAGAACTCCGATAGCATTATTAAAGAAGGTTCTAGTTCATCCAGACTATTCAGTGAAAATGTTAGATGCCTTAGCAAAAGATGTGACATTGGCTAAACTTGTGTTGAAACCCGTGTTTGATAAGTCTAATGATACTGCTGATATTCTATCAATGATCTTTTCATCTGAAAAACTGACTATAAAGTTGCTGGAAATGTTATCTGCAAAGCCTATGCTTTCCCAAATTGTGGTTGAAGGAATGGTTAAAAGAATTGATGTTGTGTTGTCATTACTGAGTAATTACAACCAATTGATCGGACAAATATTAAGTAAACCAGAAAATGTTGTTAGATTAATCGCCGTTGCTTTACAAGGAACTCCTCTTAAGGATTCCCTCATTGGAAAGTTTATGATTGATCCAGTAAATCAAGTGACTATCAGCAATTTGATTAAATTTATACAAGGAAGAAACGATTCTGGTGTGGAATTGCCGCCTATTTTTGTACCTGCAATTATTAGAAATCTACTGGCTAATACGCAACTTGGCAACTTTTTAACAGCACTGAAGACTGGTCAAATAAAAACGTTTCAACAGTTAATTGGTGCGATTCAAGGTATATCTCAGAACATTTCTGAAGTTCCTGAAGCAATATTCAAATCAGTGATCAATTTCTTTATTTCAAGAGGAAATGACAGCTTTAATTCCACGGATGCTAATAATGAACTGGTCTCAACTCTGTACAAAGATGCATTACATAACACGACCATCGGGAAACTGCTTGGTTCACTGGAAACAGGAAAGTTACCGAATATAGTCCAAATAACATCATTAGCTAAAGGCCTTGTCCAAAATCTTCACGAAGTACCAACAGTTTTAAAACAACTAACCGAATCATTAGAAGATAATCTACAGGATCAATGTGCTGTCGACTCATTGTTTTCTGCTGTAGGTTTGTTTCATCTGGAGTCCTGGGCTCTCAAATGTAAGTTATTTTGAATTGAAATATAGTCAGCATTGAATGTATCATCTAATTATTATGTCATAAATCTTCAATCTGATGTATTATATATTCAAACTAAAATCTAATCATCTAATTATTACATCATAAATCTTCAATCTGGTGTATTATATATATTCAAACTAAAATCTAATCATCTAATTATTATATCATAAATCTTCAATCTGGTGTATTATATATATTCAAACTAAAATCTAATCATCTAATTATTACATCATAAATCTTCAATCTGGTGTATTATATATATTCAAACTAAAATCTAATCATCTAATTATTATATCATAAATCTTCAATCTGGTGTATTATATATATTCAAACTAAAATCTAATTATCTAATTATTATATCATAAATCTTCAATCTGGTGTATTATATATTCAAACTAAAACCTAATCATCTAATGGTCATGGATTTACAATATGATTATTAAATCATAAGTATACAGTCTAATGTATAATCATCAATATAAAACATAACCTAATTATTATATCATAAATCTACAATCAATCGAAAAGTTATATCATAAATCTACAATTTGATTTATTATATCACAATTTTGCTATATCATCAAACTGTAATCTAATGTATCATATAAAATCAACTTGGTTTTAATTCACTAACCCTTTTGAATTACTGTAAACTGGTTTAAAAATCACCTAAAAAGACAATTATCAACGATCTAGACTCCTGTCTTCTGAGGAGCTTATTTATGAAATAAGATCGATGCCTTTGAAAAACTGAAGGCTGGACTAAACCTTTTGTTTGTTACTAATAGTTATTGATGCTAGTGGTAAACCAGAGAGAAGTATATTAAAAGGAAATATAGCATTTATGGGGGCTTACGATGAATGTACTGAAATAAGTCAACAAGTCACCAACAAACATGGCAGTCATCTGATTGAAGGTGGTTATTGTGAATTAGCTTTTACAATACCCGAAGCTTTCTTCAATACCTTTGCCAAATCTGCAGCTGTAAGTAAGATCATTGTTACATAACTTGATTTGAATTGCTTGACTCAAATTTAATTCATGTTTGAATGATAAAAAAACAAATATCAAAATCTTCTTTTAGAATAGTACATAATTTCTAGAACCATCCGAAGATCTTGCATAATTGCCGTTTCAGTTGCCGATCAAGAGTTATTTGTCTTGTCCAGTCTCATACTTTCAGATCAGAACAACAAAGTTCCATGAGTTATTTTTAAATTCCGACCATGTAGCTCTGAGAGAGAAAGAACATAATATGCATGCAACAGTTCATAAACTATGTCTTATAGCACAAGTGAAGCCTTATATAATGCTTCCTACTAGAACTTTGATTCAGATCAAAAGAAATGTATTTTGATTTTATTGTAGCATATAGAAGGAGTATCGCATGATCTCAGATTAGATTTATGCTTACCTAAATCATGTCGTGAAGAAATGGTAAACAGAAGTAAGTATATGAAATTATTTATCATATTAAAGTTTCGTCAATTACGTCATTAGATGCCGCTTGTATTTCAGTGGAATGCATTTGCTGCTTAACAGCGTCAATGTTTATGTTTTTTATCACATTGACTTGACATACAGTGCAATGATATATATTTAATTTGTAGCTCTGGTAAATCTTTTGGGAGTTGGTCTGTCAACGATACATTGCAAAGAAGACAAATCATTGAAAGGAGACACGGGTGCATATGTGGCTCTGTAAGTTTCTTTTATAAAGCAAGAACATAATATCATATACTGGTTTCAACCATCTTCTTACTTTGTTTTATTACGGGTTTGGTTTTGCATTCCGGATCGTTAGTACTTTTAAAAAAAAAAATATTACATCGATTACAACTATCTCTTAGTCTTACTTTATGTTACGTACATGTAGTTTATTCCGATAAACACGTATTCATTTTGTAAATCATTTTACATGTACATGTGTATCAATTTATTGATTTCATCTATCGCCTTACCTTACTTCTTCGATACATATTTATAGTACTCGTATATTCATTTTGTATTTCGTTGTATAAAGATGCTTCATAGTTATCTTCTATATCGTTGTATAAAGATGCCTTATGATCATTTTGTATATCGTTGTATAAACATGCTTCATAGTTATCTTGTATATCGTTGTATAAAGATGCTTTATGATCATTTTGTATATCGTTGTATAAACATTTTTCATATTCATTTTACCTTATCTAATTCCCACCTATAATTGTCAATTCTATTTCTTTTCCAGAGCAGTATTCGGTTTTCTTGGATTTCTATGTATCCTTGGAACGGCATATGACATTTATTTTTCCCTAAAGAAGGTGAAGGGTGACGAGGATGATAATGAAGATGTAGATGAGGTTGTACACCATGAAAGTGAAAAGAATGGACATGTTGGTCCTGTTTTATTGCTTACCAAATTTACGGGTTCTGAAGAGGATGGACTGCCACAAGTGGAAAAAGGAGGAGAGTATAAAATCCATGATGAAATTCAGGCAAAACACAAGTTAGATAGCAGTTTTAGAGCCAAACCTGGTAATATCAGATCCATTTTCACAATGTCACGCTTTTACGAAATTCGTCTCATACCTTGACAGAAATAGCCACCTTTCTTGTGCCATTGAAGATAACAACAGCGGTTTGATAGGATTGTGTGCTAACGAATACAGACAGAGCTCGCGAAAGAAAGTCTAAACACCATAAGCCATAATGTTCACAGGCTTTCTGTTGCGGTCTCTGACAGACTGTATTCACTTGCGTACAATCCAATCAAATCGATTCTGTGTAGTTATTACAGCCAAGGTTTCAGACGAAGTTCGTATTAGCTTGACATTGTGTTTCAGCTCATATTTGTTTTAATTGAATACATTCGACTATACTCACGATTGGTCTAATGAGGACCGATTTTCGTCTGAGAAATGATCTGAACGGTTGACACAACATCAGTTCCCTTAATTTCTTGAAACATTCAGTTTTGAACCTTTTAAATTGTATGAGTTCTAATACAGATTTAAAAACCAATTTCCCAAAATCCCATATCTCATGCGTTAACTATTTTAAACCCAATTTCAGTTGAAGCTAACAGATTTTTTATGGCTTTTTCAATCCGGGCCAATGCAAAGAAGATATTAAACGCTTCTCAACCAAAAGGCAGTTTGACCTGCCTGAACGGAATAAGAGTCATCAGCATGTCTTGGATTATCATAGGTCATATACTTACAACCTTTAACACAACAGTAGGTGAGTGAAATTTTTTATCATATTATTTATTGATATCTTTTATTTATTTAATATTTTAATATCATTTTTTACTTACGTTATCATATTCAGTAGATAACAAATTATTCAGTTGTTGAATATAATGTCCATGCATCTGTTTGGCCATACTTTACTTGCACTTTAGGCGTACTAGATGCTTACTGAGCACAGTTCCGACCAAACTGATCGGTAAATGTAGTTATATCACATGCTTAAATTTTATATTCAAGTTCTCATAATTATCTAATCATGCTGCAATTGCGTCTGTTACAGAAAATTCAACAGAAGCCCTTGAGTTTATTGAAACATTTTCCTTTCAAATCATGTTGAATGCACCATTAGCAGTTGATACCTTCTTTATATTAAGGTAACCTTCAATGAATCTTATTGAAAAAAAAACAATTTTTCAAGGGAAATATAAAACAGAGTAATGGCGTCAAGTCAAATTTTTCAATTTACAAATGAAAAGAATAAAATACTTTTCTGCAGTCGGTTGGACTAAGGAAGACGGACAACGCCATGATATTGGTCAGTGTGGGAAATATTGCCAGGGCAGCGGCGTTAAGTCAATATTTTTCGATTTACAACTTTCGAGGGATCTTTAACGTTAAATTAACTCTGTAGGTCTATTCTATTGTCCAAAAGGCTAATAGATAGTCACAGTTAAATAACAGTTGTTGTTATTAGAAATGATTGTGTTTTGTAATGTTGAATAGATTAGGCCTAGACACCTATATACTAGGCATGATGCTCAAACAAATTCTCATATATTTTGCAGTGGATTACTTGTTTGTTATTTATTTGTGAAAGAAATTGATAAAACTGGAAAAATTAAATTACAACACATGTTTATGTACTACTTTCATCGAATTTGGAGGTAATTAAGTATACTTTAGTAAGGTACCTTACATTTTTATGCCTATCAACACTACTATAAAGGACACTATGTATTACATCATGTAAATTCAATGGCAAATATAGTAAGGGCTGAATATATATATGCCTTAGGCACTTGGCAGAATAGTAATAGATTAATAACACCCCAAGGTTACTAAAGTTCATCCATATCAAAACAGTAGCTTCCATCGCATTTTAAAGACAAATCGTGCGCTACGCCTTTTTGTGTCAAGGGCAAGGACAGACGTATGATCATGTAATGTACATATACAATTTGTTTGTTGTTTGATATGGAAATTTGAGTTTTTCAAATCATGGCGTCCATAGAAACATCATAATTTTAAGGCTTGTTTATCACATCATATAGAGTGTAGAATCATCAGATCTGTTTTCAAAATTTCAGATTAACTCCATTGTATGCCTTGGTGTTATTATTCTACACCTGCTTGAGTCAATATCTAGCCAGTGGACCATTCGACGATGAACATCCTCTTTATAGAGAAAATTGTCGAAAATATTGGTGGAGAAATCTTCTTTATATTAACACTTTGTTTGATACAAAGGAAATGGTAATATCTCTATTTACAACCTTCCTTGTTCCCGTTTGAAGACCGTGTTCCGTGTAATTCCAGAACAAAAACTGACCGATTCACAAACTTAAACTAAATAACCTCTTTTAATCCCCCTCAAAATAGAAAGGTTCCGATTAAATATGGTAATTATTGCGATGTTATGAACAATATCTAACTTTCGTCTGCAGTGACTTGCTTAGAAGGAAATAATTTTCATTGAGGCAACACGTGTCTGGTTTTATTGATAAAACCTGTGTTGAAATTCTGATATAGCTACTTCCATCGGAATGCGAATTTGTGTAACTCATCGTTTGTATGTTGAGTGTATTGTTCTTTACGACCATTTGGAAAGGAAATGAAATGGGTTTTTTAATTATAGCTTCTGCAACTCTTTACAGCATTGTTCAGGTGGATAATTCTGAATCAGAAATGAAGTTCTGAACAATGCCTTCTCTGGTCTGCACATAAATCTCCAAATTCTAGTTCATAACACAATAAAGTAATATTATTATCAAAGACCGGATGCAATAAATAATTCTTAGATGAAGTTGTTTTGTTTCAGTGCATGTTATGGTCATGGTATTTGTCACATGATATGATATTTTACATTGTATCACCATTAGTAATAGTACCATTAGCTCTTGGGTTAGTATGTACCAATTAACTTTAATACCAATACCCCCTGAGTTAATATGAAATAGTAACTTTACATCTTGGTTTCATATAAAATGATTAGTTACGGTGCCATTAGTCTATGTTCTACAGTAAAAGTAAGTGATTTAAATTGGCTACAGAAACGAGAATTGTTGAGATCAAATCCGGTGACAGTTGCCAGACTTTTTGATCAAGATTTAAGCTGTTTTTAAGAAATGTATTGTTATCAGATGCAAGTATGATAATTATTTATAGTACAGTGTGCCATTATCTCTAGGTCTAGTACAAGCTAGAGCTACAGCCCCATTATACTTAGGTTTGTATATGATAATCATTATATCTATATTATAATTATATATGAAATCATTATTATATTTTCAGGTTTAAGATAATCGGATTTGTTCTTATAATTTGTATGGTATGTATCCATATCACAACCTATGGTTATTATGAATGGACTATTGGAAGTGGTGCACAATTATTGTAAGTATATACAAGCATAATGATATAAACATAATGTACGTTGAGGACAGAATGTAGAATAAACGGTTAAAGCATGTGAATTGTGACCAAACTGTTCGTAGAGGCAATTAAGATATCCAGAAGGTCAATAGCGTATAGCTGCTCTAATGGATTAATTTCTTTTGCCCCCTGTAGCTACGTGCCTGATTGTTACACTATTTGGTGACAACGAAAATAAAAGTTATCTAGTCTCCAAATGTCCAAATGTCTGGTGAGCTTAATGTCATCTTTCTCCAAAATTCTTGATGGAGACCCAAGTCACATATCACAGTCCTTTTGTATATAATTGTAGACAGCTTGAAGCAGCTTTTCATTGAGAGAAGCTGTATCAGGTAAAGTAAATGTTTACCTTCAAGGATGTCCCCCTTACCTCAATCAAAAATGGAGATTCTGGTCAGGGTCTTCAAATGGATGTAGTTTGGTTATGATTTGGATTCATTTTGCTAAGTATCAGATGCACCCCTTTGTTTCTTTTAGTAATAACTATGAATATATGAATGAAGTATACTTGAAACCATGGTGTAGAGTTGGCGTATATGCAATGGGATTAGCTTTAGGCTATATAATCTATAAAACAAAACTAAAGTACAGATTGAGAAGGGTATGCTGTTATTCGTTTTTAGACAATGCCCGCATTGCTATCAATGATGTCGATAAACAAAATCATCAGATCTATCACAATGTAGACAAGTTTATTGATAACTAGTTAGTCTTGAACATTTTTTATTGATACCAATTCACGTATCTCATACATCACTTAAATAAATGGCATCAATACAAGCATGTTTCTCGTGAACGTGGACTCCGAAATATGAAAATCATAACTCGTAACTGGCTGCTGACCATCTTCAATGCCTTGTCCTTTGACATTTCAGACTACATTGGTACTGGGTTGGATTATAGCTGCTTGTCTAGCTATTTTTGTGGCTTATATCACTTACTTAGAACATAAAAAGGAAGATTCATACTGGCCAATAGAGTTTAGAATAGCCCATGAAACTATTTGTCGACCTATATGGGCTCTCTGTATCTGTTGGGTTGTCTTTACTTGTGTTAACGGTCAAGGAGGTATAGAATTTTTACTTTAAACTTTTATTTTGGGAGGAGACAAAGGGAAGTAACGAACTCTGAATATGGAGGACTCGTACCATTCAAGCAACAAATAAGGATATACACTATTATAATGATATATAATATGGTAATATTTTATTGACCAAGGGAAGTAAATATCATGTTTTTTAGAATCCGAATGCGTACTGATAGAATATTCATTACCTTATCAATGCACCCCTATCTATATCTATAGATTTTCATTTGATAACGGTCTTTTCATTGTTCATTTTCAGGTTTTATCAATTCGGTGTTATCGTGGAGTTTCTGGGTACCGCTAACTAAAATAACGTATGGAGCCTATCTGTTACATTTATTATTGATTGATAATATAATAGATTCTAATATGAGGGCAACATATTATCTTAATATATTCCACGTGGTAAGTGTTTCAAAATATGTTATTATCGAGGCACATCGAAGGCGGTTTAACTGAATATGTAGCGTGAACGTTTTTAAAGCGTCGATTTACTCAAGATTGGTAAGGTACTGCATTTATATTTACTAATCACTAGATAAACGCGAAGGTCGAATCCACAGAAAAAAATTATCAAAAACCTTTCAAAACTTTAGTTTCAGTCCTAGGCGGACGAAGGGGGTATAATCTTGACACATACAAATTTGTAAGGTATATTTATATTTCAGGCATTCGAGTTTGTTGGTGTTTTTGTGTTTTCCTACGCCTTTTCCTTTATCTTCTCATTGTTGATCGAGGCACCCTGTATGGGTTTAGAGAAAATATTGCTAAAGAAGAAAAAGTAATCAAGATCTTAGTGGACGTGCATAAGGAAGAAGAGTACCATTTATTTAACCTGCATATTAAATATTTTCATGTAAAATTATATATATATATGTATATAGACTATAATATTGAAAAATCATTTTTTGTCATTTATAATTAAAGCCTTATATATATAATTAAAAGAGTAATAAACACTGTTTGTTTCACTTAGTGTTCCAATATGACCTACATCGTTAGCATAGCTTGCCAAAACCTTCTGGACATTAAGTGCATTCTTGAAGAATGATTCACTAAGCCAACAGTAAGTGATTCCTTAAAGGAATGCAACTAGGACTGGGCATAAAATTTTAATTCTCAACAAATGGCAAATTATATCATCTAAAACAATGCTTAATATCCAGGTGAGATTTAACAATGACAGGTGAAACACTGGGTTGCTACTATAAAATAAAATCTGCGCTTGACTGTGAACGGTGATTCTGGATGGAGGAAGTTTCATTACCGATATTACCCTTTTGTATCGATTATATTTATGGGTTCCTCCAAACTCTTCTCACACAAAACATTCAATGAGTGTTCCTTGCTCAGCCATGACCGCTTTACCAAATCTGACTTCACGCTATCAACAGTATGACACAATCCTAGTCAGGATAGCTTTATTGGAAATAGAGGCTGAATTTCAAACACTGAACCTAAATCGAAAAACGCCACTCCCTTGAAAAAAATTGTTCCATTTCTCAATTTTCTTACAACCCCTGTAATTACCCATGACTAAGTATTGAGCCTTGCCAACGGTACCACCTGTTCTCTGAAAAGTTACATAAGTATCTGTCAGTGGTACATAACAACCGACTATTTTGAAACGATAATTTTGACACCTCATGTTATATTATCAAATTCACAATATTGGACATACACCGTTTCATGTGGTGTGAAAGCAAATGGAATAAAATATTTGTGAAATCTGCTTTAATATCTGTCAGAACGATTACAGAAAAAGCACGTATTAGAAATGATATATAACAATTACAAAACTAACTGTTCCTGTGATTTTATAGTGGTACGGGTGATGGAAGTGGTTGATCTTTTAATCCAGCTAGTATATTTAGTGCAGTAAGTCCACACATGGCTTCTCTAGCTTCTCGTGTAGCACTGCCCAAGTGAGGTGATATGGTTATATTGGGTAACTGATGTAGCTTGTGATCTGGAGGAAGAGGTTCTGGTGTTGTGACGTCAATACCAGCAGCGTAGATTTCACCACTTGCTAAGGCATCGTATAGATCATCTTGATTAACCAGTGCCCCTCGTGTGACATTTATAAATATTGCTGTCTTTTTCATCGTCGTGAAAGCTTTTTGGTCGAATAACTCTTTATTGCCAGCATGAACGGAGCAAGTTGCGACAACAAAATCAGATTGCTTCAAAACGTCGTCAAAGGTGGCGTATTCTGCACTAACTTCAGGAGCACGAGAACTCTCGCTTCGACCACAATAAACAATTTTCGAAAATCCAAAACCTTTTAATCTCTTGGCTACAGCAATGCCGATTCTTCCTAATCCCACTATACCCAATACCTTCCCTTCTAATTTTATACCAGTCATCCACAACCCACTTTGCCATTTCCACTGTCCAGTGATGGCAGCTTCAAATCCTAAAAAAAAACAATACATGTAATGTATTAATCAAATATATATTCCTATTGGAAAAGGAAAAATTTGTTCCACAAATAGCTTGGTTTTAAGTAAGTGATACTATGTTTGACACTGTTTCCAATGCTAGCGCGATTCATTGCTCTAACCATCTGACTTACCTGGTTTAAGTTTTCTGGCAGTGGCTATCAACAGTCCAACAGTTAATTCAGCAACTGAAGATGTCAGAACATCCGGAGTATATCCAACCTTCACTCCCCTTTTCTTACATGCTTCTATATCTACATGATCTAATCCAACTGACATCGTCCCCACGACTTTCAATTGTGTACCTAAATTTTCAAGACGATTCGTGAAAAAGCTCAGAAATGCTTTCGTTCTGTATTTCATCATATCACAGTTAAGGGTACCCTCACATCATAGCGTTGCATTATTAAAAGTGGTCAGTTGCACAACAGTTGCGTTCGATACCTATGGTCGCTATTCTTATTCGCATCCATATGTGATTGGTGATCTATGTTGTGTGAGGGCCCTTAACAGAGAATAATTTACCGGAATAGATAATTGAATCGTCACAATCTTTATGTTGAGTATTAAATAGGAAGGGAATACGACGCTGATCTCATACAATAGTCTATTTACTGATATGTGAGTGCAAATTCAAAATGAAATGAAAACCATTTGCACCTCTAAAATGAACACAGACAAGCACTGAGGGAATTATTTTCAGAAACTGTGACATTAAACTTATACTTTTTAAAGTAATATTTTTATATTTCAATGACACTTAGGAGTTCGATTTTCACGAAGACATTCATAGTAAAAAATAAAATACTAAGTCATTCTATCTAACGCTCCTTTACAACTTAAAATATTAAGTCATATTATACATACCAACTGAGTCTAATAGTTCGTCATCTATTTTCACTGATGGATGAATGAACAAAGCATTTGCCCCACGTGACTGTTTTAAGAAGTCTTCCCTGGATATCGGTGTTTCTTCTTTCCACATTCTAATTTCACATTCTTTGGCCAATAATTCCACACCGTTTGGTGGAGAAGGCCTCGTCAAAAATACTAATGGTTTTGAAGACATTTTCAATGTAAACCGTCGTACAAAATTCATGCAGAAGATAATGTATGAATGTTATCGGCCATGACCTATATCATGATATTTGCATAAGGGAGATAATTTACAAGATAAATAGTAATGGGAATTAAGTTACAAACTATCAATATTCAATATGCATTCCTATTTTGGTTTTTTAATAAAATTTTAATTTAACATAAGAATCCATCATCTGTCTTACTACTCAGCAATTAAAGGTATGCCCGGTTCGCTTTTACTTAAACGGTATTATGAAAGTATCATTCAAACCGTGAAGGTATAAAGGTATACGTGTAAATGACTATGTACAGGTTCGTCTAAACTTTTCTTGAAATTAAAGGCTGTGGAATACATGTATAAGAATGGTCCAATCAAACTTCTTGAGAGATATTTACTAATAATATTATTAAGTCTTCGAAACTTACTTTGTCATTTATCTTTAGATGAAATTGACAACTTATTAAAAAGATATTGATATTGGTTTGTGCAGCTACACTCGCCATCCTGATCTGACAAAATACCTCTGTAAAATGTGTTCATTCAGTTTAGCATCAAATTAAACACGGTTAATCTGTTGAACAGAGCATGTGATGGTTGATTTCAATGACTCTTCTTTAGATTACATCAATAAGGTTTAATTTAAACAGATTGGGGAAAGGATGAATACCGTACCTAATCTTTGTAACTGTTCCATGACCCTGAACCATGCATGATTCTGGATCAAATATTCAAACATTACTAATATTGTTATAGACGAGTGTAACACTACAGATCAAATGCCATTTTTTGTCCTGTCAATTTGTTTGTATCTCGGAAAGTAAGATGACAATTTTCGGCTTCGGTCATCACGTGGCTATTGCAGTCATCGAAACATGCTTATCTACAGACGACCATTTCTCAGAATGAATCACGATTTCAAAGAATCTGGTGTTATAGTTCTTGCAACCCATGCAACCCTACACAAGCCATGCGACCCTTTAAGTTCGTGTTACCGACCCTCATTCTGGGTCGCGACCCATGATTTGAAGACCGGGGACATCCTAGCGCTTACATTGTTTCGAGAATACGCGGCCTTATATATTGATTATTAAGTATGACCAATATCCAAAAACCATAGTTCACAAAACTGCGATAAACAAAAATGTTTGAATTATGCAACGGTTTCTCAAGATGTATAATGATTTATTCCATGCGTAATATACTGATAGCTCTTACATTAAACAAAATTAAATGAAAATCTCATCAGGATACTATTCACAAAATATGAGTAATACACCGTGGGATGAAATGGCTGACATATTGTTTATTGGTGTTATAAAATAATAATATTTTCTACTTAATGATTATAAATCTATCATAAATAATCTTCAACAGTAGCTAATCTTGATAAAATTTTACATTTCTTATTATTTCTTGAAATTTTTCCTCTGCACATTGACATGATTTTGAGAACGAAATGGGAATAGGATCTTATCTGTTAGTTCTATGGATCCAATGTGTGTTGTTTTGTGGAGGGAATTTAATATTTGGTATGTTATATACTTGTCTCGTTTTAACACCAAGTTTCTCTAGATCATAGTCAAGTAATGATTGAATTATGAAGTTGAGTGAGTTCATTGCCCTATTTCAAACTCACAAGCATAATTTGTTACAGAATGCCCGGAAGAATGGGTAACATTTGAAGATAGATGTTATTATTTTGTTATGTTTCCAATGGTCAACCATGATGACGCCAGAGTTGCCTGTGGTGTAAGTATGATGATATTTATAGATATGGCAAATCGTCGCAATTCAGACAATTGATATACATATATCCATTATATATCGAGTCCACTAGCATAAAACAATAACCGAATCAAATTGCGTATGCTTTTCTAGACGAAGAATTCCAATATTTCTTAAATTTCAAGTTGGTTCAATATAAATTGCTGTGATTTCAATTTTCATGAACAGATGTCTTAAATCAAAATTATACAACTATTATTGTCTGAGCTGTGATGATTTTTAAGTAATGAATGAAAATAACTGTATTTTTTTCTGGTCCACCCTAGACCCTTAGGACACACATTATTACATGTTTGGCTATTTGAAGTATATGTAGATTGCAAGTTAGACGAATGGATCATTACATTAACCTTTCTGGATTTAAATGGAAAAAATCTGTGAAGCTTATTGGAAAGCTAAAATTTATTGGTCACAAAAACACATGGAATCAAGGGGAAAGAAGTGTTGCAGTGAACATAAATCCATATGCATTCCGCTATTCAAATATAGATTTTGCATTATTAATTAGTAACAATAGAGTTTGTACAGAGTCGATAGTTTATCCATTTTTGCTCGTACTTTTGATGCATCATAAACTAGAATATACTTAGTATCCTTTCACTAAAGTTCATATCTTTGTTCATAGTATCATGGGGCTTCACTGGTTGGTGTAGCTACTAGAGAAGAAGATCTGTTCATTAGTAATTGGTTAGTGTCTAATGATCTGGCAAGGTAAGTGACATCTCCAATTACTAATATTGATCTTTTACCATGCTTTATATTCTTAGCTTCTCGCAACACTAAACCGCTGTAAACAAAATGAAGAACCAGTTAATTGAAATAAAGTTACTGTGGATCATTGGCACAGATGATAATAAAGATGTCTTATTGTTTTTCTCTGGAAAATCCAGAGGGTAACAATACCTCAGACGGGAACCCAATGTTACTTTTTTCAAAATGATAAAATCATGGTGAACACATGACAGATTACATATATGGCTTTTCTTTTTTTGCTCATTATAATATTTCAGAAATGAATATTATACAAGTGGATACATCAAGAACTACTGGGAAGGTGATATGGTTTGGGAAAGTGATGGTACTCAAATACAACCTGATTTAGATTACTGGTTATCCGAAGATGAACTCAATAAAACGGGAAACTATTTAGTATATAAATATGGTGGTATGTATTCAAGAGAATTATTTAAGCGTTATTATGTAACAGTTAAGATAAACACGTAAGAGTTCTTCCGACCCCAAAAAAGTAGGCTAGTTCTACTTTCTAGACGAAGTCTTTTGCATTGCGTCGTTGACCGTGTGTATTATCAGTAGACGAAATGTGGAACGTTACATTCAATTTCGCTTAATATGTAAATAATAGCTTGAATATTTCAACAAATCCTAGACTATAAACCCTATGAAATGACCAGATTATTATGACGAGATAAGGATCAAGGATCGCCAGATATTTACCATCGTTTATAATATGTTTCAGTTACTAGATATGGGTGGGCTAGATCAGAAGGTTCAGTACAACATCCTTACATCTGTGAAATAAAACGAGAAGAATCATACCGTATAGTGCAAAATCAAAGGGACTTTGGTAAGCAATCTGTATCTTCTCCATCTGAATATAGAATCAATATCAATGGTGTGGTCTTGTTGAAATCCACATGGTTCGTTTCTAAATAAAATAGCAAAACCACGTTTTGTAATTTTTTTAAAAAAATTTTGTTCATTTTATAGGTTATGGCTTAAATATCACCGATCCAAATGAAATACCATTTGGTCCGCACTTTACCGTCGAGCCGTATGATGTTATCAAGGTTGGTGATACAGTATCTGTCTCCATAGAATGTGTTGTTAGTTCTAATCCTCATTCACAGTATGGTATTTATCATAATTCCCCTGGAGAGAATGAAACCTTAATAACATCTGAATCTGACGATAGATACTCAGTTACTAATGGTAAATTAACCATCTATAACCCAAATGAAGAAGATGATTTGGGAGAATACCACTGTCATGCTAGCAATGTATATGGGACAATTCTTGGAAAACATATGAAGTATTCCTCTGGATGTAAGTATAAATTAATATATAAATGAATATAACATGGCATTAGATCATCATGTCAATAGTAATACTTGGTAAAATAAATTGTGGAAATAAAGGGTGATTGTTCAGATGATGAATGGATGATAATAATTCATACTGATTAGTAAGATGATAAATCATTGATTGTTATTCATGCTGATTGTTCAGATGATGAGTTGGTGGCTGAAATTCATGCGGATTGTTCAGATGATGAGTTGTTGGTTGTAATTCATACTGATTGTTAAGATGATGAGTCGTTGATTGTTATCCATGCTGATAGTTCAGATGATGAGTTGATGAGATTCTGGTCTGATTGTTAAGATGATGAGTCGTTGATTGTTATCCATGCTGATAGTTCAGATGATGAGTTGATGAGATTCTGGTCTGATTGTTCAGATGCCTTTCATTCAATTTCGAAATGATAAATATTCATACTTCATGAGTAATTATTTTGCCAATTCAGATTTGTCGGAATTTTCGAATGTAGAACGAGAATCAGTTACCGCTGAAGAACATCATTATGGAGTTATAAACTGTGTGCCACCAAACCACAGCCCTGGTAAGTTTCTGGTTGTAAAGGTGCGAGTTGTCAATATATTTTTTGTGTATTTGTTGGAAACTACAAAAAGGAGAGGATCAAATTCTTTTGTCGACAATTTCAAATTGCCTGTTTACTGTTAACTATTGTTAGCTGTCATCTCTGAATTGAGTAGACAGGTATACATGAATACCACCAGTTCCTTTTATATCTGAATTACGATTTTGGTCCTGTTTTACCTGATTTGAATACATACCTATTCACAATTACCAAACGGTCTATCATGAAAGTTCTACGACAACTTCCAAGGATTTCCTATTGATTCGCAACTGGACGATTGTCTTCATATATTTCAGCATTGTCTTACAGTTGGGTGAAAGGAGATGGATACAATTTTATATTTACCGAGTTAAATCCTCATATATTTATCTCCTTCAATGGAAGAATATATTTCTCGGAAGTGACAAGAGCTGATGAAGATGTATATAGATGTATCGTCAAGTTGATATCAAATAATGAAGCGTCTATAGGCAATGATCAATCGCCCAGTAGAATAAGCTTGAGAATACCATTAATTGTTTCTCATAGCTGTAAGTTTTATTATTGTTTTATTTCCAACTTTTAGAAGTCTAAGTTCTGTTTCAATCTACAGAGTAGTAAAATGTTATTAGGTTATTTATTGTTTGTACCATTGCACAAATTTTTAATCTTTGAGTATTAGATAATGGTTCATATGTTGGTTCGTATGAGTCAAAATCAGAATATCTGTTTATTTCAGTGCCGAAGAGTTGGGGTCCTGAAATTGGTGATGATTTTATTGCTGCTTTTCCTAAACAACCAAAAAGAGGACAACAAGTCAGATTGGAGTGCTTGGCTTTTGGGACGTAAGTAAGCGATGTATCAGTAATGAGTATAACGGCGAACTCTCATTCATTATTTCCCCGAATCATTTATATGTTATGTTACTTTGTAGATTACCAATAAAATACAATTGGATACGAAAGGATGGGTTACCACTGTCGTCTAATTCTTCGATGGATGATCATAATCGTATACTGTATATTGACAATGCACAATTAGAAGATTCCACAATTTATGTTTGTGAAGCTAAAAGGGGTTCGAGTGGTGAAACTTCGAAAGAGTTTTTATTAACTGTAGAATGTAAGTATATATATTATATTTTTCTTCAAGGCAGGTAGGAAACAATTTTCCGAAGTTGAGTTTTTTCCCTTGAATTATTTTATACAGCTTTGATGATCTGATGTTCTAAATGTGATTATTTACTTTGTGGGTTTTCGCTATTCTATATCCAATCCTTGACACACTATTGGACACTTTCGTCTTCAAAATGACCTTTTTGTCTCTCCAGCTCAACCATATTTTATATTCCCGCTACAAGATAAACATGTGGATGCTGGTGGCCAAATAACATGGAGATGTGAAGCCAAAGCTCAACCTAAGCAAGAGTATACGTGGTTCAAAAATGGTGCCAAGCTTTTACCTATACCAGGCGAAATAGAAATATCACAAAATGTCCTGGTTATCCGAAATCTAAATGCATTACGTCATGATGGGATGTATCAGTGCAGAGCTTCCAATGTTCATGGTGATGCTTTTAGTAGTGGACAGCTTAGAGTACTATGTGAGTCAGTGATTTGCCCCGGACTTTTTAACAACGTCTTCACGAAGTTATTAATTAGCAGTCTCAATTCACTTACATAATTTACAGAGGCTAAACGGAAAACTTCCTTTAATACTGAGTTAACAATAGGAAAGAGCAGTGCCATAACGCAAGTTGAATTTTATCTCGAGTTAGTTTAATTTAAAGTTAAATGTAACAAAGTCGTTTTTAACATTTTAGCCTTCACACCAACATTTCATAAACACCCTCTTGAAGCCAACAGCATGGGCGCTGTTGGAGGCAACACCACCATAATCTGTGAACCAGAGGCGGCACCTTTCCCAACTTTTACATGGTTAAAGAATGGTCTAGATTTAGGATTAGTTGATGGTGATACAAGTTCTAGAATTAGGAAGATGAGAAATGGTAATCTCCTGATCACACAAGTAATGATATCAGATAGTGGAAGATATACCTGTAGGGCTGAGAACCTTAACGGTATTGCTGAAAGTTCTGGAAATCTAAAAGTCGTTGGTATGTTTATTATTTTTATACCTGTGATATGTATTGTATAACCTTACCATAAATATTGCTTAATTTACTGACACTTGATAAATTGTGAATTGAGAAAAGAGGCTCCTGCTCAGTCCCCTCACCAAATGCTACCTGGGAACGCCACTGGATAGAGGTGGTAAGAAAGAGTTTTATATTACTAATGATATTTATATTTATGCAGATAGTACAGTTATTGCAGTAGCACCAAGTAATGTCAGAGTTCTGATAAACAACACTGCATTTATGACTTGTCAAGCTTCACATAATGTTGAAAAAGATTTGGTAATAACATGGAGATTTAATAATATACCTCTAAACTTAGATGATGGTCATTACAGAGTCGTGAGTACACCTATATCTATTACTGACATCATGACCAACGCTGGACTTGGTCCTCTTTTACAAATCTGGCCATACCAGTTCCTCGGACGTGATATCGTCACCGTAAGAAATATCACATCCGTATATCACGGTCGAGGAACTGGTAGAGCCCGATTTGTCGGGTACGGTCCTGTGAAGTGGTGACACCGTAAGATAAAAGCTTGCTAGTTAACTTAGCATAGCCTAGATGATACATTTGCAATATTGATGCAGGTCGGAGGCTATCGTGCAAAAAACGTTTATTTGTTCGGATGAGACCGAGGCTCCTCCTTCACATTGCATGCTGTTACCGTATTATTCCTAACAGAGGTGAAAAATTAGTACATCATTTCATTCATTTAGTTGGCACTGTAATCTACGGGCATATAACGCCTAACGCCACATGTAACAACAGTTATATCGATGCAATAGAAGCCCACATTTTTGTCCCGACCGTGCTACAAATAATATTTATCCCAGTGTTGTACAATATTTAAAATATTAATGCTGATATTTAGTATTTTAGTGTAATATAATACAATATATCTAATTCGATAAATAGTCATTTGTCTTCATACTTGATCGGTCTCATTCAAAACTTAATATATGGTTTAGTCTAAGGTATTAATGAATACAATTGACTATGCTTATTATGGATTTTAGTAGAATTTTAAGGATCCTTTGTTAAAACTGTGGCAATTATCAAACGTATTGTTGCGTATAATTATTTGTTTTTATATATATTCTATCAAATGTCAAGACTATGATAAAGGATTCGGTATATTTATAACACTTTAAACCATGGTATAAGGTAGTGAGCCCGAGCGAGATTTTTGAAGGTAAGAACTGTTCATTTCTATTTACAAATGTATTGTATTCCAGATGACTTAGTGTAATCAGAAACTTCGGCAAAAACTAACATTATGTGACCCAGATTAGCACCAGTTTAGCAACGGAGTCAAAATCCCATAATTATTTTTCAAGGACATTTGGGTCTCTTCTATCATGCAAATCTTATCTTCCATGTATAAATCTGCTTTCTAAATTCATATAGCTAGATCTGCACAAGAAGTTTTACGTAGCAGCATTTGATTTATTCAAGCACTCCGTCGACAGGCTTTTACATTGTTAAATGCTGGAACTTCAAATTTTCTAATGCATGAAGTTTTATTTCATGAAATTTTCATATACATGTACGTTCCAATTGATTTATTTCCAATACGTTTTTTATACTTCTTTTGTTGTTTATAAAATCAATTTCAAGACATGTTCAAAATATATTTTTTCTTACAGGATGTCAGCCATATCTAGATTAGCTATACCACGTCGAAAGAAAGTTTTTAAAGCCAATCTTTTACCAGATGGTGATAAGTTGCCATTTTGGAAAACTTTGGATCTTGATGAGAAACTGCCAGTAGTTCCTTCGCCTAAAGGCTCGTATACCTTGTACACAACGTCTGTTGGTCAACCAAAATATCGCAATAATCAGAAATACGACTTTGATCTGACAGATCCATTCTGTCATGAGCAACCATTAGAATACGACTCTTTACATGATCCTTATTTGAAGAGTCATTTCCAAAGAAAAGATGTCAAGCAACACCTGATTAAGAATGGTCTTATGAATGAGAACGATCGCGTAGTCTGTTCTTTGAAAGAATTCAACAGATATCGAGGATATATACGCTACAGAAAGGCTACGGAACTGAGTCTCCAAAGAAAACGAGAAAAAGATGGCGATGGTGAATATGAAAGAAGAGCTATATCTGAACGAATTGAGCGAGAACCTCAAACGACTCGATCTGATGATAAGAAAAAAGAAGATAGAAGGCACAGTGTATGCTTACTAGATGAAATAAGACAAAGGGAAACGGATGCTTTGATAAGACGGGAACAACTGCGAAGAGAAAAAGAAGAGAGGAAAAGGAAAAGGTTGATTGATGAATGGAAGAACAGGAAGATACGACAAGAACAGAAACTGAAGCGAATCGATGAACTTAAGAAATCCGAAAGACGCCACAGGGATAAAAGTCAGAAACAATCTGATGGAATGAAGGGTAAAGATTCAGCAGAGAAAGACAACACAGAAACTGAAAATGTATTCACCAAATAACTGTTTATCGAAACGTTCTGTGTTTGATACATTATTGGATACGCTTATTGTCTTGTGTGTATATATGAATAGTAATAAATCTAATTGAGTATGGATTTGACCATATTTTCATAATAACACACTGGAGCTTCTGTTAGATATAATTTGTATGGAATGTCACTCGTAGATTTCACTGTGTGTATTTTAGAAATAAATATAGTTCTGTTATTACCTTTGTCCATTATTTATTTATACCACTATGCTTGTCCATTGTGATTCACTTGAAAAACTGGTGTGGTGGGATAAGTTTTTTGGGGTTCTAATTCTTGGAAAAGATGACAGACCTACTTCGAGATTGGAAAGAGTTGTCCCTATCACTGTTCTCTATATCCTTTCTTCATTTATCATCTAAGCTTAAAGTTTGCTCCAACCATTTTCTTATTGTAGGAGAATACAGGTTCAGTGCAGGGATTGTATATTTTACAAGCTTTATATAGACATGAGGGGACCTACACCTGTGTCGCTAAAACTTCCTTCGATTCAGATGAAATGTCAGCTGTATTAACCGTTCAAGGTATGTTCCCTTTTTCTGATTCACTTTCTGCAAATTTGAATACCAGTTAGATTGAATTGCAAAGAAGAATGGTAATGGAAAATACCATACACACACATTCGCTTATGTACCATACAGAATGGCATTGCCACTGGCACTGTGTTATTTTATAACCTTCTCATGTTACATATATACTTGGTGATCGTTCTCCTTGACAAAAGATTTAAACATTTTTCAGGTCCACCTGCAGAATGTGCTGGTGTTTATATAGATTCAAAGTCAATTACGATATCGTCAATGGTTGTTTGGTGGACACCGTCTTTCATTCGCCCAGTAGTGTACTATAGAATCGAAGCTAAGTCAAATTTTGCAACCAACTGGACTGTAGTTGTTCCTAGTAAGAGATAACATTTTCCCTTTTTTTACTTGCAAAGCCTTCCCAACCTTTGACGTCAACAAACAACAAACCTGAAAAAGTGCCATGTAGCAGAATGATTCATTCTTTTCTTCTACTATACAAGCCGAGAGCTTGATAATGAAAGATAAAAGGTTTTTGGTCAAAGAAATTCAAAGTTCTCCCGTCTGGATTGCATAACTAGCTTGGAAAGGAGACCTTCTAATGTGCAGATCTTCGTGTTTTTTGAATAGGGATAGAAGAAGCAGATACTGTTGTTGATGGATATGATAAACGAAGAGCTTTAATTACTGGTTTAAACCCAGGAACAGATTATTTAATGAGAGTGAGAGCTGGAAATATTTATGGTCTCGGTACAACAAGTATATCGTCAGGTACAATAAAGATATTTTACAGCGGGCGATTTTTGCACATCATACATGCAACTTAAAGGGTTATGCCGCTGTTTTGTAAAAAGCTTTCAAAATCAAAACGTCGATAATTATACCTAAAAATATTTCTTAAGTATGCTATTTATATCTGTATCTTCTTGATCAAACGGAATTTGTAAAAGGGTTAATTTAAAACGGAATGAATTTTTGATGTTTGACTTAATAATGGCTCGATATCATTAGTTGAAACCTTTGGAATACTTGGGAGACATATTTCTCTACAATTAGGCGTTTATTTTCCTCAAATCTCTACAGTTTTTAAACAGCTTCCAAAAAGCATAACGAACTTAAAAACCTTACGTAATGTTTTTAAATATTTTTGGCGTTTAGAATTAATGGCTGAATTTTTTTAATTAAAACTTTCAGATACATTAAAGGGCACATTTCTCTAGATTTTGGTGTATAGTTTTCACTTTGAACAAAAAAAAATCTTTCGACCTACAAAAAAGCGGAATGTCCCTTTAATTTTTCTTTTTATAACTTACCGAACATATATATTTTTTCGGTAAAGGTAAGTGCATGTATGGGTTCAAGAATGACCTCATTCTTTTTCCACAGCTTCCTATGCAACACCACCTGGTCCCCCTCAAGTAGCACCAACTAACATTACTGGTGCTGGAGGTAAAGTCGGTGATTTACACGTCGTCTGGAAGGTTAGTATAATTCAAATTATTTATGGTCTGGAAGTTTTTCGCTGAATTTCACGAATTTGAACCCTTCAGAGTATCATTCGGCATTTAAGAAATGATAAGAACAATACAGTTGTTCGCAGTTTGGAAGTCGTAAGACAATTGAGACGGCCCACTTTGTCCGCAGGAAATGGAAAAATTGAATTTTATATGTTATCTTCTTTGTTGGTTTCTTTTTAGCCTTTAGACACTAGTGAACATGGCGGGGATGGCATAGGGTATAATTTCTATTGGAAATTAAAATCAGATGAAATATATGGTAGAAGATATTTAAAGGTAATTGATGCTAATAAAAGAATATTCTGGGAAATACATTAATCTAATTTCTATCAACAACAGAATACACTAAAAGAAATTCAATTCTATAATGAACAAAATAAAATTGATGCAAACCTGCTATTCCAGTTCTTATGGGGAAAGTCCCAATGTTGGTTCGCAACCCTCTACATCTAGGAAGGACTGCCCTGTGAAATAGGTAAATATAATTCTGAGATATGCGGAATGTATATATAGTTTGTTGTATATTGTAGGAAGGTAAAACGGGAAACCATAATTTTCATGTCGTGACTGTGGGATCCAATAATTATTATTTACAATACGATGTCATGGTGCAAGCTTTTAATAATTATGGTGTTGGTCCCAATTCGTCTGTTGTTACTGTTTATTCGGCTGAAGATTGTAAGTTATTTATAAAATCTTTTATAAAAGAGTAGCACAAGTAGCATAATACGCCTCTTTGAGAATTCCCTACCTTCCATGGATGATTAAGATTGACATACTTAGGTAAGTACATAAACCATAAATAAGAAGAAACTTGGAAGAAAAGAAGCCCATCTAAAAGTACTATAAGAGTGAAAATATGATAGACGTTTTCATATTTAATGATAAAAACTCATTTTATTATGTTAGTTTGTGTTTAAGATTTATTTTTTTTGTGTTGGATAAGCTTTATTTATACTGAAGACATTTCATAAAAAGGAAAAGAAATACGAAAAATGGGTTGTTTAATAGCAATTGCATGATGTATAACTCTACATTGTAATCCGATCTTATTTTATTATTGCAGTACCAATAGGAACACCACTTGGTATATTGTCCAGTAGATACAACGCCACAGCTTTAAATGTATCCTGGACACCTGTACCTGATAACAGAGAGAATATGAAAGGTCGTGTTTTGGGATATCAGGTATTTTTTTTATACTTTTCTTATAAATAAGAAATCGATTTTCAGACCAGAACTTCGTGTGCATCAAAGGAGTAGGTTGTCGTTTAGGTGAAGCCATTGTTGAATTTTATTGACCATTGTAATGTAATTTCAGATTAACTATTGGAAAGTGAATGAAAGCGACCCAAGAGTTGTTTCAGCTAGTCACGTTGGACAATTTGACAGTTATCTGATAATCGGTTTAGAACCAAGTACAATGTATGAAATGGATGCCCAGGTATACAACACAGCTGGACTTGGACCAAAAAGTGAAAAGTATCGACAAAGAACCTGGTCAAATGGTTAGTAGATTTTCTTGGAGATCTTAGTGGATTGCAGTATGTGAAAAATTTATAACACGTGTGAATCAAGTTGAAAATTTAGCAAAGGCATCAATGTTTACATTCTAACAAATATTCATATGAGAAGTAGCTGTTGCTCAACTTCAGGAACAACCATGCAAAACAATCCATTTGCAATCATCAAAAATCAAACAAATTCAATGAGATAGTTTTGAAAATGTATTTGAATCATTCAAGAAAATGATTATAAGCTATATCGTCCTTGTCAATAAAGCATAGGCCCTATGTTTCACACATAATCGAAATATTTAAAAGATTTCATAGTATTTCTTCAATCGATCCTTTTCATGTTATACTTAGGTTATTTCATAAAATAACATGAATAATATTTTAATAAAAACTAAAACATCTCGATTCAGAAGTCAAGCTAAGGGGTTAATATCATTATTCATGTGTCGTCAGAAAATTTAAAAATAACCACCTAAGACATGTTTGTTTCGATGAAATAAAGGTTCTAATAGTAATGTAGATGTAATGAGATTCCAATTTATCATTTACATTTCAGCTCCACTGTTATATCCCACTGAAATAAGAATATATTCACATGGACCAAATAGTGCCAGAGTATCATGGAGAGGAGTAACGACTATATCTATAATAGAAGAACCATTACGTGGATATGTGGTAATCCAACATTTATATATATTCTCATATATTACTAGTCTACTTGTTTTCTTGACAGATGTCTGAACTAGTGGCTCTAAATGAATTATCACATATACCAGATCACATTTTTCAAAACGCCAGTAACCATTTTTTAAGTCGAGAACAGTGAAAAGTGAATTGGTAAGAATAGTAGTAGCTTACCAATAATTTTGAAATCTATAACTAAACAAGCATTAACTTCAGTACGACCACTTAATAATCGATACAAAATCATAATGTCAGGTTTTGCAATAATATCAATATGAAACATACATGGTAAATTATTTTCATGTATGTTACATGTCACGAGTTTGAGTTCAAGTAAGATAAGTATTGTGGCACTTATCACATGCGTGTCAGGATATGCACTATAACCTGGCACTACAGTACAGTTCCTATTAGGAACGTATACATAATATACTTGCAGGTACGATATTGGGTAGCTCATGATGATATAAGAACAGCCTACAATTTAGTATTAGGAAGAGTATCAGAAGCTGTAATTCATGGTATAGAACCAGGTCAACTATATAAGTTAAGAGTATTTGCCTACAGTGAAGGTGGTGATGGTAAAATGAGCCCAGATATCTATTTCACTCTTGGTAAGTAACTGACTTAACTACAATATTGCAAATTCTTTGACCAAATCCTTAACACTGTCAGACAGAAATGAATATAAATAAACTAAGTACTAATGATTTGCACCACAAAACAAAACCCCAAAATCCAAACAACAGATTGACAAAAGATTTGTAGCAGCTAATGAACTTTTCACTTGAGAAAGTATCTCATCATAAGTGAGTAAGTATTTCATAATGAAAAGTGGTATCAGGTGTCTAGAAGAGTAAGCATACCCTGCCTTGCGCCACACCCGTCATAGCTGATATCTATCCCTGCTCCAAGATAACATCTCACAATAATCTTTTTATTTCTTGCATAGGTGGAGCAGTAAGAATTGATCCAGAAACATCAGAAATCATAGCAGCTGGGAATAATGCTTATTTATCTATCAATTTACTCAGTATATCATTTACAATTATTTATATCATAAATCATCTATCATTATAATCATTTTATAAATTAATATCACTTCAAAACATGTGACACATTATCATGATAAGAATGTAAATAACCATTTTGATTATTATTATCAGTATTCATTTAAAGGCTTCTGTACATAGTAAATAGATCATAATATTTTTATATAACACTATGATGTAATCATTACCTGTTTTTAAGTCTGTATTTAAAATGAAAAGTTGCGAATGACATTTTATGATTTTCAAGTTGTGTATAATTGGGTATTATATTTCAAATCCATAATTTACATAATATGTTTTCTTTATGAATTGCTTACAAAATGATACCACAATAATATGGACAATCTGTTAATGATAGACTAGTACAATCTCAGCCGGTGTAAAAGTGCTACTGATAGTTTTAGAAAATATGATTGTCTACAAAAATTAGAAACACATCACCTTATCATCATCAACTAAATCAAACTTTCAGCATAATTTAAGAGAGTTTGAGAAAATTAACTGTATGTGGAAATATTATATGCATATAAAGTATAAAATAAAAAAATAAATATCTATGCTAAAGCTTAATGCTTAGTAGATATAAAATTGTCATGAAGTTTTAATATCTCTTTAACAATAATGCTTTCAATTTCAATACCAAGTCGTACTTCTTCTTCTGTTAAAATTATAGGTGTTACTGTGTCTGTTGATACTATTGTTACCTCCCTTTTTCTCTTCTCTAATTCATTAGCTATTACCAACTGAAATATAAGTATTTCTTATGATTTTGGATTTGAATAAAAGGGAAATATACTGCATGATAACACTGGTAAGCTCATTTTTCACCAAACCCCATATCATTCTTCAGAAAATAAATCCAACACAAGATTTATCCACAATTTGGCAAGTTATCATTCTCTTATTCTCTGCAGGGTACAATGCCAATAAATCCTTAAAACTGATGGTCACAGTGATATGGGCAATTATTTCTTCAGGATCCGTTGGCCCGTTAAATAGTTTGCCAAGCAAGTTATTATTATCACCATTTTCATTCTTAGTTTCCAATTGATCTTACTCTGGGTTCACAAAATAAAAAAATATATATACCTGATGTTTGTATTTGTCTAAAGCCTGTCTTGATTTACTGATCAAAATATCTTTATCTGTTTCAAGCTGAAAACAAAATCTCTCAGAAATATAATTAAACTTAGAGAGCAATATTATATTTAGAATTTTAAATGCAATATGGATCACAAGAAGCTAACGGATATTTACCTATCCGAATTACAATCCATGTTAAAGTTTACAAGCCAACAAAATCGATGAGGTAGACATTAATTGAGTTTAATAGACATCCTAGATTCAATATGACATCAGTATACATGGATTTCTTACTGTTATGAATATGATTTACTGATTTTTGAAAAGACTTACCTTAAATGATATGATGAAAGCTGAGGGTACCCAGTCTTTTACTAAAGGTTCTAACATCTTCGGTACTAACTGTAGCTTTAACTCTAGTGGTCCATTTGATGACTGTATCTTATGCTCACTCTAGAAACAAAAGACAAATGTAAAGATTACTTAAGCTCTTATATAAATAGGCTTACTGGAAAAAAATTGGTTGAACATTAATCAAACAAAACTTGACAATACTCCCAATTTATAGAATGTCATTTTATATAATCATAACATTATTGTGACACTAGTAAGTACTGTCATAGGTGTATGTCCCACCCTGTAGAAGTCCAGAATTTCCATGAGTCTACTTGAAAAGTATTTGTTTTATTCTGAAAATTACGAGTGTTTATACCTGATACTTTCCGACCACTTTCCCTCAGCAAGTATTTAGATAAGAATGAATTAAGAATTTAATAACAGAACACAATTTTACAAGTAAAGTCTATGATTACCATGTCAGCTTTAGGAATGTAGAAATCAGAGACAGCTGCTGCTAGATAGAGCATTGCTTTATCACCTACAGTATTCAATTTTTCACATGCTGCTTTCAATATATGGAGATAGTCACCAAGGGAAGTAAATTCCAACTTTAATAAAAGATTCTCTTTCTCTATTGATTGAAACTGTTTTAAAACTACACTGAGTTTCTCCTTGTGCTCATCTTTTACTGAAAATAAAAATTCCATCTCAATTGATACCAAGTTATGACTTTAACACAAACAGGTCTACCTACTTTAGATATATTTATAAATGCATGGGTGATAATCAAGTTCACCATTCATTCCCAGTAATTTACTGTTAAACAAGAATATAATGCAAAAATATTGTGAACTAAGATGAAACATCTTTTCTTGTTGAAATCAAATTCCTGTTTACAATACAAATGCCAATCAAATAGATAGATATCTGATAGAGGTATTTTTAGTGTAGGATACACATCTTCCTATTTACAGGGAATAGGTTATAATTCCATTCAAAGAATTAGGACATTTTTCTATGTCTGGCACTCTGCATCAATAATATCAAAAATAAAACATCTTACCCACTATTTCATTTTCAGGTGTCAGTTGTAAAATATCAATAAAATGTTGTCTATTGATATGTCTAGAAAAGGGTTCTAAAGACTTGTGTCTATGTAAAAATATCACAGCATAATCATGGCTTAAAAAATATCTATCTTTAGTTAAAGAGAACTTTTAGTTAACAAAAGTTTACAAATTTACAAATTCCATAACTGGATTTTTCTAAAATACCACATTGTTATCAAAAGATCCAATTTTCTTTTGGTTCTAGTTTCTCTATAAAGAAATGCCATTGTTACTGTAAAGGATTTTAGAAGTTCATTGAAAAGGATACTCTGCGGAAGCAGATCCCCTTGTTCCTGAGCTAAAATTATCGATAAAGCGAACAGTTCTGCTCTCTAGAGGTACCGTTGTGCCACCAGACTACAAGAAAACAACAAGTATCTTTTTCAAAATGGAATAAATGTGAACAGACCCTATCACCACTAGAAGTGTCTCCTGTCCACATGATTTACATGCCTACCAATAGCAGCCTGACACAGCCAAGCTAGGACACATGACATTTACACCTTTAAATATGTTTTATAACCGGATAAGTCAAAAATTTTGATGAATCTTCTAAACACATCAAATAAATAAATTGAATGCAACACACATGGAAAATGATAAAAAATGCAAATTAGCTTATTTTATACAGCTTCATAGAGGGATACTGAAATTTACAGGTAAACAGACAGTCGTCAAGGCTTCCTACATCAATTGATGAAAGCATAAGAACGTTGGTACTTTCTGGTCGGGTTAAGTAAAAAAACAGGCAAATGAAACAGAAGAACGACTATGGTATTACTGATTAAGGAGAAAATCAACGAAATTTTAAAAACAAAACATTAATTGCAATAAATCAAGGTCTAAAAAAAGGTGATCACCACCGAGAGATTTGCAAAGAATATTTCAATAAAACCTACTGTTATCAACACTATTTTTCTACCATCGGTTGAATGCTGGTTAATAAATTTATCTATTTCAATGCAACATTCGTCAAAGCTGTCAGGGATAGAAGTCTGGTTAAAAAATACATGTTTGGAGTTACAGTCTTTCGCTTCCATTTAATACGGTTTATTAAAAATTGCAAGATGAATTGTATTAAATGAAAAACGAAACTATTGCTTCTTATTTTAATGTCATACAAAAATACAATAGTGTTGTACTGTCATATTTGTTATTTACATCGAGGAGTGTATATTATTTAATCAAATTCCATCGCAAAAAAAAATATATTGAATATATTGACTGTTCGTTTTTAAATTTACAGAACTAAATTTGAGATCCGGTGTTGCTTTATTTTGCTAGATATATTTTAGTCCATGTGGGTGCTCATCCATGTATAGGTATTAAGCCTACTTATTTATCAGTAGCTCTCTATATCTAGCTAACAAGTCTTGAAATTTAGAATTCTCTCCTTATATTTCCAATTAATAATCAGATTTGTCTTATAAGTTTCGGATGATTAACTGATAATGGAGATTATTTGATTATGTTTTTGCAGAGTGTACAGAATTTCATAGTTTGACATTGTGTAGATTTTCATATAGATTAAAACATGTCATAAGACAAGAGATCAAACATAGGCTTTGTCCGGCCAAATGCCCTAATACAATATGGAATTAAATAGTGGATCACTTTGAAATGTGATTGTACTCGTGGTAGCACCAGCATCCTGGGGCAGATTGGGGGCACCAAAAGGGGTAGATTGACTGAATGAGGGAGCAACTCTAAGATGTGAAAGCACTGTAAAAGTGTGGGATATATGACATATTTTGGAGCAAAAAACGTTGAAAATTCATGATTTTCGTAAAAATGTAGTGGGGGTACACATGGGCGAACAAACCTATTTTCTTAGGGACAAATGCCCAAGATTTAGATATATATTGTTAGCCAGGTTGTCTTTTTAGTATTAGTATTTGTGAATTTATACTTATATATTAATTCTATGCATTTTAATTAATTATAGGTAATTGCATATTGAGTATACAATACCAGTACAGAAAATGTTCCAAAGGTAGGTATAACATGTGTAAAGTCACCAATATTTGGTAGTGACAAATATATTTGAACTCTATATTTAGCGCACCCATGCCTTAATCCAGTAGGCTACAAAGTGTAATGACAAACTGTTTATGTTTCATTTTTTATTTATTATTTTTTAGATCCCTTAAGCGTTTAGATGTGATTTTAAGTCATACCGTAAGTAACTTATTTATGTTAAATGGTTCTGTACATGAAATGTTGATTGCCATTCATATATTCTAAATATTTTTATTATCTGAAAATCTGACATGTAAGTTCAAACATGAAGTCCCAGATTCATCTCAAAGTATATTTTGTTTTTATAATATGCACTTACAGAAGAGTTGTACACCTATGGCCAGTATGTCTATTGGAGAACATAATGATGTTATCAGTCAAACTGTTAATAAAATGGGAATGTGCATATTAAACAGACCAAAAGCATTAAATTCTTTAAGTTTTTCTATGATGAGAAAGTTACATCCTCAATTATTGGTGAGTACGATTTATATTTTTAGATTTTACCAAGTTGCACATTGTACTTAATCTCAGTATGGAAATTTTGGCTATGTTTAATGTAGATAAAAAAAAGCTATGGTTTGTTTAGAAAAAGCTAAATTTGGGGTATATATAACTATGTTTAAACAGCTCTGTTTTTGTATAAGAAAAGTTATGTTTGTTGTATAAAAATCTATGCTAGATAGAGAAAAAGCTATGTTTTGTGAAAAACATAATAGTATATATTGAATTGTGCTGAAATTCTCTTGTAGAAATGGGAAAATGACCCTGCTATAAGTTTTGTTGTTTTGAAAGGAGCTGGTAAAGCATTTTGTGCTGGAGGTGACATAAAAGGTAATATCTTCATTATAAAAAATCCTATATTTTATCAATTAAAATGGTATGTGACAAATGAATATCTATGATATATAATATTTTAAGTATTATGCTTTACCCAATAGCTTTGGCACAATTTAATCTTATTTAGATCATTTATAAATTTAGGTGCAGTTCCATAATTCAACCATCAGCAGAACTATTTTTGTTGAAGACTTTATGATTTTTATGACTTAACGCTCAACGCTTAATTGGTAAAATACCTTGATGGCCATGTTGAAATGATTCACCCTTTAATTCTTGTCTAATTCTAGCTCTCACTCAAACCCCTGAAGGAATTAACTTTTTTAAGGAAGAATATCCATTAGATTATACAATAGGTGAGAGATCTGCTTGTCTGTCTTGTCAATAATGTCACACATATATATTCAATGCAAGGGCAAAACAATTACTCCTAGAATTTCTTGTACAAACAAGGTCTGCAAGGATCACAGATTCACAATGTCAGAAACTTCATACCTGAACAAATTTAGATTATGTGATTCTTTACTGCAACTTCAATCAAAATGTTTTTTGGCTGTTTGGCAGTAATAGAAAGAGTAAATTTTACAAATATAATTTTATTTCAGGAACATATAAAAAGCCATTTATTTCTCTGATAACTGGTATAACAATGGGAGGGGTGAGCAGAGTTAAATTTATATATTTGTCAAGTTTTACCAGTGATTCACCTGCTTTTAGACTGACCTTGAGCTAAATTAGTAAAACTTGTAACTTTTTCAATCTGATTTTTAGTTGTTATTTTGTCGGAAAGGTTGTTTGAAAAACTTACACAAATGCTCCGCCATAAGATACTTTTTAATTGGATAGACAAGTTCATTGTCTTGCCCGTGTGCTGGTAGAAGGTCTGTTTTCCTTTCCTTTTTAATATTTCATGATAAGATTTGTCATGATCAAAGGTATGTTTCCAGGGTTTTGGGTTGTCAGTTCATGGGAAATACAGAGTAGCCTCAGAAAAGACAATGTTTGCTATGCCAGAAACTAGTATAGGTAATAATTTGTTTGTATTTGTCAGTCAAAATTTAATTCCTTTAGCCTGCAGCACTCTAATCTTGTTTGACATCTAGAGCTCCAAGTTCTTCAAGCTTCTCAAGGTCATTCTGTATCATATAAGCCTAAAAATCCTGAATCCAAAATCTTCATTGAATTTGAACTCCACAACTGATGTCATTCTGCAACCTGGTTTGTCTGCATAGGTAGTAAAGTTCACATTTATTTATTCTGTTAGTTCACCAGTATTCAGGTCAACACATTAAGCTGGTAAGATGGGAAAGACTATTGCTAGAAGCCTTGAAGCATGACTTTTGAATTTTGGATAGAATGACATACCTGAAGAAGCTAATATAGCGAAATCCGGATCTTATATTTCAAGGAGCCCCCCATTTTTTGTTAATTTTTGTAAGATATATGTTGTAAATTGTTATATATTTTTTTTCCACTTTTTTGCCTTCTCAAATAAAAATTTACCGTTTTAGGTACTTTTTACCCTTTAAGTATTTTTTGTGCTTTTTAAGTACTTTCATAATATTTTTAATTTTTTTTTGAGCTACCATGGACCAGCGCTTTAGATCTCATTGGCAATATCCCAGGCAAAATTACTTTACCCAGTATTCGTATCTCTATAATCAACCCAACTTTCGTCATAATCAACCCAACTATCGTCATAATCAACCAAACTATCATCATAATCAACCAAACTATCGGCATAATCAACCAAACTATCGCCAAAACCAGCATCAGAGAGGAAACACTAATCCCAACCACCAGAACAACTACCGTCGTCCATACAACCCTGATAAACACCAAAGACAGGAGACCAATCCAGCATTGAAGATATTATTCCAAATCTTACAATGTCTTCACCATGCTTCCGTCATTTCAAAGCAAGTCAGTGGTTCTCCCAAACGTGGTTTTATCTCTAAAATTTCGGATCTCAATCGGTTTGTTAAACCAGCTTTAAAAAATTCTGCTATTTCCTCGGCTATCGAGACAATAAATAATGTTTGGGCTAAAAACGTGGTGATAGCACTTAAGAATCATTATGATTCACAGCTGGCTGAAAAAATTTCCTTGATCAAAGCACGCAATATTTCGGAATCAAATTTTAAACAATTCACTTTCGAAGCAATAAATTGGGCTAAGAAGTCATATCGCCGACTCCAAAAAGATACCCTTGATCAATTTGATAAAATCATAGACTCTTTTAAAGAGGTAGGTGTTGTGGAAGACATGGAAGCTGAATCTCAGCCAGTTTCTACACCAAACAGACACCAGTTACCATTAATCGCAGATGTAAGACCTACGCCGAAACGCAAAAGAACTCAATCACCTTCTGGCCTTAGTACCTCGCAAGAACCATTATCCATAAGCAAGAAACCTCACACTGATAGACGTTCTTTACCATTACCAACTTTTACTGCAACTCCATCCACACCAATGACGACGCCAAGATCGAACCCTGAAACACCGAAACCTCAACGTACCAATACTCGCCGCCACTTAAGTTTAACCACCTCACCCTCTTCTCCAGCCTGTAAACCACGACGTAATAATAATGAGAAGGAATGGTCTATTCCCACACTCACCAAACCAAAAGTTATCATTGGATCTTCCAACATCAGCAACATCCCGTTCCTACATCCAGATACCCAAGCCGAATCTTACCCTGGTGCCCGAATTCAGCATATCAATACATTACTCTCCAAGATCTCTCCAACAACCATTCCGAAAAAGGTGTTATTTCATGTTGGCCTAAATAATAAACAGGTATCAGGAGAATCCATACACAGAAGAATGCTGGAACTCCTCAAACTTGCCAAGTCGAAATTTTCGTCTGCTACCCTTTACGCCACACAGATTCCTTACTCAAAGGAGCTACAATTAGCTGAACCTCATTTAGTCAATAACCTCCAGAAGTTCAACAGTCTATTATATCATAAACCGTCTACCAATGCCCATACTATTCCTCGCTTCAATGGAGTGGTCAGTGTCATTTCGGATAACATCCACTGGATGTCCCCCACTGCAAGAAGGATTTATTTTTCATGGGTCTCCCATTTAAACTGAACGCGGGGGGAAATGCTCTAAAATTAGGAGAAACTGTGGTTAACCTCAGTTCGCGAAAACTTTCTCCCCTTGAAGAAAGAGTTTTAGATAGAGGTCTAACATTTATTCCGACATCTAAAACTCTTTCCCATGAACCAATTTTATCGTCGGTTGAACACGTCAATAGGACTTTTAAGTTAAATTTCTTTTTTCGGAATAGACTCGGCAGAGGCAAGCGAATTGAAAAGTCTGGTTGGACTCCACCAGACAGCGCGATTGACTCAGATATTTTGGCTACTTGCGATAAATTACATGAAGAAATATCTCATTTACCTCACCAAGTTTGAAAGGAAAGCTTTGAATAGCCTAAAAAACGATCAGAACATTATAATACGAAAGAGTGACAAAGGCAGTTGCTGTGTCATTTAGAATCGCGAAGACTACATTTTTGAATTAGAGAAACAATTGAACAATGCTAATCATTACCGTGTACTTGATCAACCTATTTTCTGCGCAAAAGATAAACAATATTTTAAAAACGTTAGTAAACAAACAATTTATTTCTGATTCCCAATATGACTATCTTTCAGCGAAGTCCGTCAACGTCACATTTATACTTTACCGAAGATTCACAAAAACCCGGAAACTGAATGGTTTCTAGCCAATAGGATTCCTAAAGGCAGGCCTATTATCTCAGATTGCGCGAGCGAATCCTACCGAGTTTATGAATACATTGACCATTTTTTACTTCCAGTAGCATGTAAGCATCCGTCATATCTTAAGGATACCACCGATTTTGTTGAAAAAATTAAAAGCTTGAATGTTCCTCCAAAGGCAAGATTTATCTCATTAGATGTTACGAGTATGTATACCAATATTGATAATAAAACTGGTTTAGACGCTGTCCGAAAGGCCTTTTTTCGAAATCCCTGCATAGATAGACCCGACAAAGAAATATTAGAACTTTTGGAATTATGTCTAACGCGAAATGACTTTGTCTTTAATGAAAAAATTTATCTCCAGACTTCAGGCACCGCGATGGGCAAAAGATTTGCGCCGAGTTATGCAAATATCTTTATGGCTGAGTGGGAACTGGAAATTTCTTCCATTTCCCCTTTTGAACCTTTCTTCTATGGAAGGTTTCTTGACGATATTTTTATTATTTGGACCGAGTCTTTAACAAATTTTTGGCAATATTTTGAAATTTTGAATAATCACCACCCTTCTGTAAAACTAACTGCGAATATTTCTGAACAAAGTATGGATTTTTTGGATACTACGGTATTCAAAGGACCAAGTTTCTCTCAAACAAACAAATTAGACATCAAAGTATTTTTAAACCAACGGATACTCACCAACTTTTATATAAAAACTCTTTTCACCCAAAACATACTTTTACAGGAATAATCAAATCACAAATTTTGCGTTTTTTTAGAATTTGCTCTCAAAAAGTAGATTTTGATGCAGCTTGTAGACTAGTTTTCAGTAAATTAAGAGAGAGGGGCTATTCCAAACGATTCTTGCGCAAAATTAAAAATGACACTGTTTTGGACCTTTTAAAAATTAATGAACCCCCTCCTCCAATAAATAACTTTGGCGCAATACCATGTAAAGGTTCTCGGTGTCGCACCTGTGAACATATCCATATGTCTCATTATTTTCAAAATAAAAACGGAAAAATATTTGAAATTAAAGAACGTCTCACGTGTACGGATAAAAATATCATTTACCTAATTTCGTGTAAAAAATGTGACAAACAATACGTCGGTGAAACCCAGAACGCGTTGCGAACTCGATTTAGCGGCCATCGCTTTGATATAATTCATAGCAAAAATAGACCAATTTTTCATCATTTTAATTTACCTGACCATTCCATTGAAGACCTTCTTATCATGCCTGTTGAATCAATTCCTGACTCTGATCTTATCAAACCAAAAAGCAAACGATTACAGAGAGAAAGCTACTGGATGGACCAACTCCAAACAGTGGCTCCAAATGGAATTAACATCTAGCATGATAATCAAATGATTCCATTTGTTGCCACCTTTAATCATACAGCTGCCAAAACCTCTTCCATCGTCAAACAGTATTACAGTGAATTACAGAACAGATTTCCGAATGTATATACCAAACGACTTGTAATTGCCTATAAGCGCAATAAAAACCTTAGTAATTTTCTGGTCCGTGGTAGACTCGATCCCATTGAATCCAATAATACTTGACCCCCCTCTCTATTTTCTAGCTCATTAAGTATAATATATTCTAATCCTTATGTATAGATGTTTATCTTTTCAGAACCTATTCATACTCTTTTCTTTTAGAACTGGTAACAAGAAAACTTTCATATTATAGACTTTTGTTTATTTCAGGTTGTTTTTTTAACTTAATACTAACTATGCTAACTTCACCTTATCTTATATTAAACATTTATATCTTTATTTGTGACCTTGGCCAGTGCTTTACATAGAAGTTTTTAGGAACTTCTTCACTCTTAACACAGAATCTGCGTAATCAAGCCTAAATAAAATGAACATTTTTTTCTAATTTCCTACAGGTTTAGTACCAGATGTAGGTGGTGGATATGTGTTGCCAAGGTTACAAGGAAAGTTAGGAATCTATTTAGGTTTAACTGGTTTTAGACTCAAAGGTAGAGATGTGCATTTAGCTGGTATTGCTACCCATTTTGTTGATTCAAACAAAGTGAGTTATCTTTAAATTCTAATTTCTTGCATGACATATATATTTTACAGAGTCAAATATTGAAATAATCTTCATTCAAAACATAGCTATGTCTAAAAGGGACGGGTGACCCATTTTTTTTACCAATCCTACCTTAGTCTCATAAAAGTGAATTGCTTAGCTAATCACTTATTGTACCGTCGAAATTTGACCCTTTAAATCCATGTGTGTCCAGAATTATACACGTTCGAAAGTCAAAAAGATAATTTGTCTTTTCTAGAGACACTGCCATATATTGAAAAATCATCTATAGAAGTAGGAAAAGAAATTCCTAGTTTGATATATTTTTGAAGGAATTTTGCAGTTTTCATAATTTCTAGTAGACTATTTACATATATTCAAGACTCAAATCAAAATCCTAAAATGGGGCAACTATCCCTTTAAAAGAAGTTTATAGTTTATTATTTTGTGAAGTGATCAACAATAATTGGTTGCTTGTTATTGTGAAATTGAATTTAATTGATCCTAATGAGGATAAAAATGAATTGATATTTTAGGTCAGTACATTAGAAGAAGAATTGGCAGCTTTAGATAATCCCGACCACAATAATATTCAGAATCTGTTAGATCAGTTCCATAAAGAGGTAAATGTATTATTCGTCTTTAGCTTTAGACCAGCAATAGCTAATAAAATTTTAATAAAAAAAAGAAAATTAAATTAAGATTAAAGTAGAAGTAATACCTTATAACTTATATTTAAATTACTGGACTCTATTCCTTTAAAATTATTCATATTGTGTTCGTTTAATATTGCTTACTTATTTATATTCATGCATTGAAATGTCAATCTATGAAAATTTGAAACAGCAGTCCAGTGACAAAGACAAATAAAATACAAAATATACAATTCTATGTTTTGTTTTGAAGAGTACCAAAGAGTCCCATGAGTTTATATTGGAACCTAAAATGGAAGATATTAATAGGTCATTTAGTGCTACAACTGTAGAACAGATATTTACAAATTTAGAGAAAGATGGTTCAGAATGGGCATTAAAACAACTGGAAACATTGAAGAAAATGGTAGAATATTTGCTTTATAATTTCTTTTATTTCTTAGCTAATTATGCTGTAGTAACTAGCAGGAAAAACAAATACCATACACATCTCATTCTGAATTTAATAAGTTGGACATTGTACACCAAAATAAACATAGACTTCAAATCTTTCTTCTACTCTTTATGGCATTATTTTCTAAAATTGTATTTCCAAATGGAAGAACGCTAAGATTATTGGTACTTTATTCTTGTTAATGTTCTCTTTCAGTCTCCTACTTCAATGAAAATAACTTTAAGACAATTAAAGGAAGGTGCTAATTTAAGTTTAAAAGAATGTTTTTATATGGAGAATAGACTGTGTCAGAGATGTATTGAAGATCATGATTTACGTGAAGGTGTTAGAGCAGGTATGTCTTCAACTTCAATTGACTTGTCCTAAATCATTACAAATTTTGAACCAAAAATCACTATGATTAAGTTTTAAAAAGGTCACAAAATGGAGAGTAATTTTTGGTTTATAAATTTTACTGAAGCAATAGTGAGGCTTACCAATTTTTATGATAATTAAAAATAAATGAAATAAATAAAGTTTCTTTGGTAAAAATTACTTTTGGTGACAAGAATAGAATTTGTTCTTTATATATCGCTCTATGAATGCTGTCAATACAATCAAAGATGCTGTCAAATGCAACAAATGTAATGAAAATGAATTTGTATATTTTTAGTGCTAATAGATAAAGATCAAAACCCCCAATGGAAACCTGCTAGATTAGAAGATGTTACAGATGAAAGAGTTGATTATTATTTCTCTAAATTACCAGATGATAGAGAACTTGTTATGCAAGATTAATAAATATATTTATCAATCCCTATTTTAGACTTTTTGACTTTAGAATATTAGTAGCAGTAGTTTTAATTGACAAAAAACTCATAATATTGCTGCTATTTGTAATAATACTTTGATAATCTGTATAAAAATTCTGGATGATATGGACATTTGATCAAGAATGATCAAGCCTTGTAATTGGTGTTGGTCATAAAAAGAAATAAAATTGTGATAGGGTAGGAAATCGTGTGACCAAGTTTTACTTCACAGTTATGGAAGATTTAATATTTGACACACTGGCTGAATCTCGTGTATTTTTGTATATTATAATGTATCAAAATACACATTTTTAACAATGTTTATTTGTTGATTATTTTGTTTTTGGTACTTGTTCATTGTGGCAATTTCTGAGAGTGTTGCAAATTCTTGATATCATGTTATAAATTACTTCACATTTTAACATACTAGCCTTAACAATAATGAATTCTGTGTTAACCCTCTGCCAGGACAGTGCCTTCTATGGAATAGTAACTTGATACCTTCCATCCATCCTAATGTAACCCTAAATTAAAACATTTAGAATACCAGCAACTCGTCTACAATATTTGCCCGAGTCAAATCGTAAATTAAGACAAAAGCGGATGATGTTGCATATCAAGTGATAAAATCGGGTCGAAACGTCTTCTTGCAAGATACGTTGGACGACTTGACAAAAAGAAACTGTAAACTTCCGGTCGAATTGACATCCTTGGGGGTGATGTTTCTACAAGATGGCGTCATTTGCAAGTGTCGTCGAGTTCTTTGTGTAAATCAACTTAAAACATAAAAAAGTAAGTATGCCCCTTGGATTCATTTGTAATTTTTGTACATAATCTATACCAAGGCACATATTTCTGATTTTTGGTGGCGTCAAATAAATGCGGCATACAATTGATGATAATTATCATTCATTATACCGGTCAGTTTTCATTTTGTTTTCTTTTGTCAGAAATCAGTTCTGTATTGTATTCTGGATTGTCTTATTTGAATCTGAGATATAATCTGATCTCATAGGACTGGACAAATGAAAAACTCTATTAGCTGTTGAATATTATCAGTGGAAATCTAAAGATTCATAAGGTACTGTTCTTAGTGCTGGCCACTTAGGCACATTATGAGAATTATGTTGTGGTCTGTTTAGTATACCTGGTGTCATCCATTTGATTCATATCGTATTGTTATTTATTGACTCACTGAATTTCTATTAAAGCACTAGTTTTAACAGGTTAAATCAAGACACACAAGATATTTTAATGTAATTTTTATTTTTGTATCTTTCAGATAGCGAAAATGGCCCTACCAAGCTTTAGAGGCATGGCACAGTCTCCCCAAATGGCCATAGGGAGTAGAGCTAGAGTGCCACCACCACAAGATACTAAGGTAGGCTTGGTCAGGTACTTAATGTAATAGAAATGTAATTAGTCTCATTGTCAATAAACATGAAAGGATCGTAATATCTAAAGAAATGTGCTTTAGATGTTCATTCTCTCCTTTTGATTTCAGGGAGCTAATCCATTTGTGCAGTCAACTCATGGCCATCCTAACTTTCATCCAGTTAAAATTGGTTCTAGAAGAGATGTAAGTATAAGAAATATCAAACTCGTATCTAAATTCTAAAATGCAATGCTCATGAGGCCAAAAAATCTAAAAAAAATCAAGAAGCTCATGTATTTATCTAGTAAGCTTATATAAACTCCTGTCTTCATTAGCCCAATAGTGCAGACAAGTCTGACATTTCATTTTCATTTCTAGTATAGAAACCATTATGTTTTTCATATTTCAGAGAGATTCTGGCATCCCTAAACCACCCAAACCACCCGATAAGCCCCTTATGCCTTATATGAGATACAGTCGTAAAGTATGGGAAGGAGTGAAAGCAGCTAACCCAGAGTTGAAATTATGGGAAATTGGTAAAATTATTGGTGGTATGTGGCGAGATTTAGTAGATGTGGATAAACAAGAATTTATTGAAGAGTATGAATCTGAAAAGGTTTGCTTTCTTTATGTACCAGGTATTTATGTATAGCCTAGATATTCCCAAACCATATTCTCATTGAGCATGAAAACTGACAGTAATAGTGATACTAAAGTATTAGAAATTCTACTATATAAATGAAGTATAGGAATTTTAGAAATTGTTCTCCAAAGGAATGCCTATCACTCACTCAATAGAAATAGATGCATCATCTGAGAGTTATGTTTTTTTTTAGCTGGAAGGATTGTCATAGTTTACAGTGTTAGAAAAGTTGTTTAATGTTTAAATGAATGATCCCAAAAGCTTTAAATAAGGTGATCATTTTTTAATGATAATTTTTGTTATTATTTGTAGTCACAATATAATGAAGCTATGAAGGCATACCATAATTCACCTGCTTATCAAGCTTGGGTTTCTGCCAAAAGTAGAGGTTAGTATGTTTACTTTCAAATTGTGCAGATTTCCATATTTAACATGTAATCGTTTGTCAAGGTAAGGTTCTAGTCTATACTCTCTCTCGCTTTTAAAGTACATAGTGAGGTTAGCAACAACTTGTCGTACCAGGTGTGAATTAGTATTTTATCCACAGAGCACACTTATATTTCTAATAACATTTATATTATATATCCTATATTATAATTCTAGCTGCTGCCGAAGCTGCTATTGAAGAAGAAGAAAGATCTTCTGGTAGATCAGACGACAGAAAACAGAAGGTATTTCAATTTTTCTTGTCTCAGACATTGAAAGTGATTCTATTTTAGAAAATTATGGGTATGTTGTCCAAGAGTTTTTTTCACTTAACTTCTTTTCAGTTGACTACTTTTTAAATTGTTCTGTATATTTGGTTGTTTTTCAGAGTTCTAAATTAGAAATGCCTAGAATTAGTATACAACCTGCAGAGGATGAAGATGGTAGGTATATGTAATACACATAATTATAAGCTTTCTTAAAGGGCTATTCATCAAGGATATTTATTATACCAGGTGATAGAGCTGGGTTTCAGCTTTCTATATCACTATTCAGCATCGAAGTCCTGGTCTACTGCAATTTCAACAAAAATTTCTTAGCCATGATTGACTATTTCACTGTGGCTTTGAACTATGTTGTCATGAAAGTGGACTCTATTGGTAGATAAAACAATGAATTAAAGGACATGGTAGCTCTTTGAGCTCTTACTATCAGAAGTTGATCTGAATATTCCACAATCTATGTTATGATGTTGTTTCTCTTGTAATGCATTTGAAAAGTAATGTCATAATAAAACCAGTATTTTAAAAGAGCGCCGTATTGAAATGATATATTGATATTTCATTGTAGAAGCTGATGATGGGTTCTCAGTTAAACATATAGCTCATGCTCGTTATACCAGAAATCATCGATTAATTAATGATATATTTAGTGAGAGTGTAGTACCAGATGTAAGAACTGTGGTTACTACTGGTAGAATGAGTGTATTGAAACGTCAAGTACAATCTTTAACCATGCATCAGGTAGATAGCATAGCACATTTACTAATACATTTGTTAACTATGCAAATGTCCAGTAAAAACTCTGAAATCACCTTAAAGCACTGGTCTCCAAGAAAAGAAGGGATCATGTTGGTTTTTTTGGCAATCATCTTTGCTGAGCATGCATAGGTGCTCTCATTGACTGAACTATAGCCTTGATGGAAACTAAACTACAAAAGTAACATACAAAGAATAATACTTAACTCTTTGTAGCAATACAGTTTCCCAGGATCTGAGAAAATATAAAGAACACTATTATGGATTTACTACTCCTTTCTTGTTTATTTCTAAATGTCATTTCAAGATAATATAAATCCTGTCCAAATTTCTTGCTCTCACTGATCTGTTCATTAAGCTTTTTCTTTTTTTATTAGAAAAAATTAGAAAATGAATTACAAACTATAGAAGAAAAACATGATTCTAAAAAACGTAAATTCATGGAATCTAGTCAACAATTTCATGAAGATCTGAAAAAGGTTGGTATAATGTTTTTATCTCTTTTCTCATTTAAATTATTGATTGAATATTCCAAATTGATTAAACTTCCATACAGCTACTTTAAACTCATATCAGATCGTTTTTTAGACCATTGATATATGAAGGTGTGAAATTCAAGAATTAAAAAAATATAAACATATAGTGTGGTGTGGTGTGGTCTGCTTTATGATATAATATAATTATTTTTTAAGCTATGTGAAAGTAAACCACAGATAACAGAAGAAATGATCAATGGAATGATTACTAAAGCTAAAGATGATATTAAAACTAGACAGAATCAAACACAACAACAAGATGAAGATAAAAGTAAAGCTGATATAAAGAAAAAGAAAGAGGATGAAGAGAAAAGTTCTGAAGAAATGGAAACTGATCAAAAACCTAGTGATGTATGTAATAGATAAATTAAGTTTGATTTTTCCCATGAAATTTTAGGTCAAATTTTAATTGAGAGTGTTATTGGATTTTTGAAAACATATTTTCTCATTTTATGATTTCATAGGAACGCAAATTTTATCATAAAAGATATTTTGTGTGTGAATTAGAGCCCTAGGTGTTTCCAGTCAGATATAGCAGTCCGGGAGTTTAAAGTGTAATAAAAGCTTTGAAAGAAAGTGTATTGTTGTTAATAGTTAATAAATGATATAGAGATCTTTTTAGTTTTGAATTTCTCTTGATTTCTATAACTGAATAATGTAACCAACTGTTTTCAGGAAAAAGATGACCCAGTCCAAACCAAGGAGGACTCTTCACCAAAGGTCAGTAGAACTTTTTCATATTAAGAAATAAAAAAAATTCATAAATAACTAATGCATGTAAGAATTTTTTTTTTTAATGCTTTACTGAAAAAAGGAATTTTGAGTCAAGTCAAAGAAAGGCTTGATTCTGTTTTCAGTTATGTACCATATAAATGGCTTGTTCTATTCACACCCTGTCATGAAATTGGTAAAACAACTTGAATTAATACATCCTGTTTTGAATTTTAGGAATCAACTGTAGAGAATTCTAAAGAGAAAAAAGATGAACCAGAGTCAAAGGAAGATGAGAAAATGGAAGTAGATTCTACACAAACTGAAGAAAATACTGAAGAAGAAGGTATGTCATGTATCATTTACATTGTGTTGGTTTAATATCATTCCAGGTGGTATACTCAAAAATTAGATTCAGATGTTTGTGCTATTACCGTTTGAAATGATGCAATTAGAAGCTATAGTAAACAATGATACACAAAAAAGTTAAGAAAACTTCTTTACAGTTTTTTAAACCTGGTATGGAAATTCCATCATGTGTTCCGAAAGTGTAAGAATTTCATGTATCACATACACAACTTTTCATTGTTTCTCTCAGAGTGCAGCTGATTTGGGGCTAAGAGCGTAAGGGGTTGAATGTAATTTTTACACAATGTTTTGGGTTGTTTTTTTTCAGAATCAAAGGGAAGTGAAGAAAAGAAGGAAGAAAGCAGTAGCTGAATTCATGCATTCATTGTATATAGTTATTTTATCATCTTTTTATACTTGTATTTTTATTCATTCTATCATTATATAAGTTGTGTTATCATTCTGTGTAGGTGAATTGTTTATGATATACATGTACATGGTTTGTAATGAAATGTTGTATTACTTGTATGCTCATTGAAACATTGTGGTTCAGTGGCATTATTCTCAAACTAATAATAATAATAAAACTTAACTTAAAATTGATGTAAGTCAGTGACAAATCAGAATGGAGCGCTAAAGTTAAGTTTTCAAGAATAAAGCCCTTGGACAAGAAGAAAACTTTCTACTTTGTCGATACCATCCAGCATGTAACTGAGACTTGCAACTGTATTTGTCTAGAGGGATAGTACTTCTAAAATCATTTCTATACTAATTTTTACCACAGCCACGAGAGTGTGTAAATTGAACCAATAGACTATATAAACACTGAACTCTTGTTCTTATTGATCATATACTTTGTTATTCTAAGAAATAATTAAATTTGAAATTGATAAATTGATTACCAATGAAACATGTAGTCTTATCAATTTACCCTATCTCATCTTTAATTGTCTAGAAATCAATCATTTCTTTGATAATAAAACTTAATGATCACAAAACTAATTGACTCTTATTTTTACTCTCTGTCCAAAGTGAAAGAATTTCGTGGCCCCTGCTCGTTCCTCTTGCCTTATGTTTCAAGGAGCTACTGATGACATGCATAGTAAATATATATGAGAGATTAAATCGTCTAAGTTTTCCCAGCTGATTGAGTTTCAAACATTTTTAATCCTGCCTCGACAGTTGAGTTCGCCGATTTGTACCCCCGGTCTCGCGAGGCTTCCGCCGCCACTAATAGGGATTCTAGGTTGGATAATAAGAATAAGGTTTTATTATGACGTCACAATAACATGAGCGTCATTTCTAAGTATTTCATTGTTTGTTGCTCTGACACTTCTTTCGTTGGTCTGTCGGATAACAATAAACTCAGTAGACCGAGGGCATCTTTAACAGTTCCTTCGACAGATTGTGTAGGATTGTACAAGTCGTTATATGAACCCTACCGAGTTAGTAGCTGATTGGTCAATGGTATTTCACAGATTGGTTGTTTGGTATAATTTAAGTGATTCCTGGTTTAGGGAACCTCACCTCGACATTCAGTTCAAAATAATTCGAAGTTGTTTTTAGAAAAGTGATTTTGGTAGGCGTAACGTATTCCGAATCCTATGCATCAGTTATTTCAACACAAATTACTCAAACATATCTCTTTAGTTTCATGTGTTTTATCATTGCATATTCCAGAATCAATATAGTATGGAAAAACTTCGAGAACATCGGATTCAGAATAGGTGGTTAATAAGTATAAGATATTCAACCTTTAACCCATCGTGAACTTACTTCTACATCTTCAAGCAGCTTGATGATTTTGGTAGCAAAATGTTAAACCAACCAATGACTTTGAAGCAAAAAAAGAAGGCGATTCAGAATATATTGAGAACATATTAGCTATGATGTTCCCATAGTAACGGATTTCCCGGCATGAAAAGGTAAACATTTTACCTGAGGATGAATGTCTTTTCTCATTATTTCAGTCACTACCTATATTCGTAAGATCGCTGTTACCAGTTAAAGCTTTAAGGTCAAATCTTTGATTTGTTAAAGGCTTGAGGCAACTAACTGACCCTTCACAAGCCAAACGAAAATACAAAATATTGCTAAAGCACTTGCTGCCCAATTTATTGCACTAATATAAGTGTTAATCTGTAACGGTAAAGTACAATTTGAAACATAGAAATATTAAAGATAATAAATTTTGAAGATAAAGCGTTGTGGGGAGACTATTATTATTAACCAAAAGTATAAAGCATTTTGCAAACCATTATTGATTATGACGTCATAATAACGCTAGGTCATAATAGGGCCTACTTACATTATGCCACAATTTGTTGGAATATTTATCTTACGTTGTTATCCTCTAAGATGTCTGAGTTCTCTCCTCTTACGATACAGGTTAACACTCAATGGTTGAGGCAATTTGTACGGTACCTCTTGAAAACTAAAATGTGACAAACATTTCCCTTGTTTCATTCATTTCGTAAGGGCTCACATGAAAAAGTCTTTTAGTCACTAGATTGGGCCACTAAACGAGAGTCCCCGTGTGTTACAGGCTATGTACCTAACAGACAGGACAGTCTAGCTGTTCTAGAAATATTTACCTGTTTACACCGAATAAACGCCTTCAAATAAACACAATCAGGAAAAGTGGGACGTAAAACACCATTTTATTTGAGACAAAAGCTTACAATATTTAAATAATATAATTATAGTAGAGCAATGAATACAGACATGGCTTACAGGTAGTTAAAGGAGTTACCAAATTTTGAATCTAAACCTCAACAGTAGTTACCCAATAAGTCAAGTCTGGTCTTGCAGTTATTGTAATTCCTAAAACTCCAGAACATTTAATTGGTGTTTAAAAACAAATGTAAGCCAAATAAACATCAATTTGTAAAGAAATGTGTCGTGCAAATTTTGCAAGTTTGAATTAAATAAATGAAAAAAATAAAAGTTTGAAAGATTTGAAAAAATATACTTTCACTTCAATATAATAAGACATCACTTTATAACGGCGTAGTGGCACTTTCTATACTTTGTAATTCTGTTATAGTCAATTTAATGTTTTGCACATGTTGGTTGTATTATCCATTTGCCAATAACGTTATTATCTGTTCCTAACCCAAAATTGGCTACATGTAACAGTTTACCACCAAGAGTTAAGGGTGAATATGAGGTGATCATATGTTCACCTAGTACCCTGCCTTGTCCGACTACTAGTAACGTTATTCTCCAGTATAACCAAAAATATCGTAATTCGTCACAGTTTAAATATTCACCATCTTTTTTAACAGCAGTACTTGATCCATCGAAAGTCTCCACATTTATCGTAATATATGTATTATTACCGGGTCCTATTGACACTTCGGCCAAAAAATCCATATTAGTATCAAATAATCCTATATAGGCGTCACTACACGCTTTGACCACGTAAGTCCAATTTGAGGCACCATTGACAGAAAATATGTGGTCATAAACTTTCGGTACATCCACCACTATAAACGACAGTAAGCAAGAAACATGTAATGTTAGTAAAAGGATGCTTGAGTGGATTCTAGCCATACCTTTTGAATGATGTTCTACAGCTAATATTATAGTTTATGAAAGTGATTACACTGAAGCTAAATCAATAATACTCAAAATTGAAATCGATCAAACATCATTTCCCTAAATTTACTCCTTTTCCTTTTTATAATGAATATTAGTCAACATTTTTCCTATATTAGTTGTAAATAATTCTTAACAGGTTTTCGAGAAACAAATCACAAATGAGATTTTGTTCCGGATCAATCAAGTTATTATTTCCTTTTTAAAACCGAGTTAATATCTATCTAAAAGACAGGCCAAAGAACAAACAATACACAAATAGTCAGAGAAAAATAATATGAAGTCTAGATTCAGGACAGTAGAAATAACATGCTATCATCATAAACTAGTGTCCAAAAGAAACGACACCAACTTATTTTCAAAATTGTTTTTAACTAAGTGAATTGTCTAATATGAAAACATGCAAATTCGTATTGCACATCCCAAACACAGCATAGTCGATAAAAATACCGGGAACACGTGATCACTTCCGGGAAAAAACGTAAATTTCTTGAAAGTGACATTTCCCTCTCTAGCATGTTCTGCACGTGCATAAAAACTGTATAAAACGGCTGATCAGACACGTTGATATCACAGCAACAAAAAGAACACAAGATATGCCACGTTTGACAGCCACCGAGAGAGAGAGAGCCGTTGGAATGGAGCGACACACGTCGACGTCGCCAGAAGGTTGGGCTGCGCACGCATCACTATCACCAGGCATGTATTGATGCTCACGGTGGACATACCCGCTACTGACTTGACTTTGTGACGTGTGGTGTGACATTTCCCGTTGTTTCTGTGATCAGTGCTCTAACGAAATGTTCTTTTTTCGACCCCACCCATCTTTAAAGGCTTGTCATATTGGTTGTACAGATTTTATTGAAATGAAATTTTTGTACAGATGTTGTGAAAGGATTTCTCAAAAGCATAACACCAATCCTAAACATCTGCATTGTTTAGTTTTTCTTTTATGTCGTTGCAAACAGGTGGTATCGTTTCTTTTGGTGCTAAAAAGAATCATATGAATCAAGAAAGGTTTTTTTTTTTGTTTATTCAGACTGTACATATATGGACATTTATGATTGGTTAAAACCCTTAATTATTTGCAAAAAGAACATATTGATATGCTTAAAAATACATGATAATTCATTAGAAACACCAATAAATCAAATTGTTTTCTAAATTTGACACTTAAAAAATATATAAACCCATAGGATAATGACCGAGGACGAGTTTTTTTAATCCGAAAAAGAAAAGGCCGGGCTGTGGAATACCCGAAGGCAAAGCCTGTAAGTATTTGGCCTCGCCTTTCTCTTTCGAGGGTTTTCTAAACTCCGTAAAAAGTCCTAGGTCATTATCCGACTTATATACCGTTTCGTAATTAAATAATAGGTAAATATGTTGAAGGATCAATCGATATTATGTCCAATGTGATGTGTTTAAACGTTCGAGGAAAATTTAGAAATATTAGGAACATCTAATTCTACATTAAAATATTATATATGTAGTATTGCACGATACAAATCCCCCGAAAAAATACAGTTTCTGCACTTTGTATCGTTACGATGACCAGTGAAAAGTTTTAAAGAAACATTAGGGTATATTGTTGTATTGTACAAATCTGACGATATCAGCACCCAACCAACTACTTACACATTAATCGTTATATTGTTACGTTTGGCGAATCTTGAATTTGAACCTTACAAACTGATTGTCAGTAGCAGATGGTCTTCCTTCAACATAAAATATTACAAGACAGTCGTTCATAAAATCATCTATTAAAATCCGTCCTTCAAATCTAAAACTTAACCTCAGAATAAAGAACCTGCGTAAAACTTGTACAGTTGTACCTCGGAATAAAAAAACCTACCAAGAGATGGGACGTTATTACCGACTTATAATCAACCTGTAACATCAAAGAAATTTGCCGCCATAGGTTTATAAAGCGAAATTAAGATAAGCCAAGATAAGCTCGAGCTGGATGGCATTGGCTAGGCAACATGACCAGTGTTCAGGTGAATTTGTTTTATGCTATAGAACTTTTCCAAATATCAAAAATAATGGTTGATTGGTAGATGGCAATTTAAAGGCATAATCAGAAATCGCCACGTCATCTGTTAAATACCGATATCATCAAGCAAATATTTCTTGTACCACGGAAGTTTTTTGTCCTCGTAATGCATAAATTTAATTGGATTATTCGATAGCGTATTAATCTAGCTTTGTTATAGTTAACGCTCCAGTAATTTGCAATAGCAGATAGCAATACATTTTATCCTGCATGTAAATATATATAGCGATATCTATATATATATATAAATCTACAATCTTTTAATCAATTGAATAAATCATTCAAAAATCGGCATGCAGTGCAAACATGACTGTGCCTCATAAAAGTATATTTCAAGATAATTGGTGTTATTTCCGAACACCCTAGCAATTCTTGGACATGTTCCATAAGGCCTTAGTTCAGCATTTATTGTCGGGCTTGATTTTGGGCCTTGAATATATTTCAATTGTCCTGCAAAAACACCTCAAACTAAGCATTTCAATTGTTGTTTGTCACATTGGTTTCTTTCACTAGTTTATCCTCTGCCTAAAAATTAGGGCACACATACGTGGAATTTGTTCGTTCGGTGTGCCAATAATTTTTTATTATCCAGTCCTTAACTGTTCTGCATTAAGTCATGAATTATGGATACATAGGTCTAAGCTCTGAACATTATTACTGATTAGAGCAATTTCGGTATCTAATTATTATACCACTGAGGCAAGATTGATCGAAAATGGTGTCCAAGACAGAGATATTGCGTCTACTTGCACATGCATGGAATACTATGAGCCTCGGAAACCCCGATTTAGGTTTGCTCCCTGACGGATAATAGTAGATTAACCGACTAAGAGTTATTAAGCACAGATAACCATAACGTTTTGTTTAGGTTCACAGTTATTTGTTACATCACTTTATTGTTGCGCGACTGCACGGAAATGTTACATCAAGACATCAGTTTCGCTGATTGATTATCAATCAAGCTTTACCTGGCGTATATGGTGGAGTACGGCGAGTTGCTAAAATTGATTAGCCAACTAAGAAGATCATATCGCTTTAAATGTCAGAACAATGCTTTTATTTAATTGTCTGTTGTTATTTCTAAAACATGGAAATACTGGTCTCTCCCACTTCCGGACTATTTAGATTTAATCCAAATCTTTAAAAGTAACCATAGGAACGAATTATTCGAAATGAAGACGTACGAAAGCAAATGTCAAAGGGGGGGTTATCTATAGAGGAATCTGTGGCCGTCATAGGTCATGTGCAGATTTTGCAGATGTTTATAATGACCTGAAAGTGATGACAGCCTAAATTTATTAAATTGAATCGGATTTCAATTCTGATAGCTGATAAGGAATTCAAATATGTAGATAATTATATGCCTTTAAGATTTCACAAATGTAACTTTGGCAGTTTTTGACATCAACAAGGATTAAAGACATGGTGAGAAAAAAAGGGAGAAACTGATACCACTATCTGGATCTTCATCATCAATACATCTTCATTGAAAACAAATTTATGCCAGGATTCCATTTTTCTCAACTTTGGAAATAAAACATTAAAACTGCCACGGGCTCTCAGGTTTACCCAAACGCAAATTAAGAATTCATTTTTAATGGAGGGAATTTCCGATAACTGGCCAATAAGGAAAACATCTTCTTAGAAAGAGTAGGGTGACAAACTTATACATGTATTTGAAAGTATTATATTTCATAATAAATTGATATCACAGGTGAATATAACATAAATGAGCATAGAAATGGATATAACATTTCTATTATTATAAATAAAAGTTTCACTTAACTAATACAAAGTCTCTAGTAACAAAATCTTCGAGGAACAAATATTTACATATCAAATCTTTGGTTTTTACAAACTTTCTCGAAACTTTGGCGAAATTTGAAAGTCTACTAAAACAAAGTTACGTAGCCTTTGGTTCCCAAGATTTTGCTGAACAAAACTTTGCTAAATAAAAAAAAAATGTGGATCTACATTACTAAATATATTATATTGTGAAGTGGAAGAAACTGTTTATAAAACAAACATTTCATCAAAAGTTTCATATTATAGTCAATTTTGGGCAATTAAATTCGAAAAATATATTCTTCTGAAAGTATAGTTGCTCTTATTTCAAAATGATACTTTATTCTATAAACAGTTCCTAGTGAAAAGAAAAGAGACAGAAAAAATTTCATACACATAGAAAGTTAAAGAGGCATAAGATTACAGATAACAAGCTAGCAGTATATCATGTTGATGCCTCTTTAATTTTCAATAACGTCATATATCGGAGGAACCAATGTCTTGTAAATTTTTTACAAACATTCTTCTCGCAACATAAAACTGTATGACTACGTTAATAACTAGTTAGTCGTGAGTTGGTCAGATTTAGACAAAACTGAAACCACCATCAATCCCTACGTTTGGTCCATACCAATGCTATGATTCTACATTTGCCTAAATTTGACCGAATATAACGACTAAAGAAATGACAAAACGCTGGAATAAGATGAAATTATAAAGTAAATTAGCACCCTGCCTTAAACCAGACATCAGTTAAGGACAGTCTGACCAATCTTGCACATTCAATTTTTAAAAGTTATTTAAAATCAAAGAAGTTATGTATAATACCTTTGTATTCCAAATAGTGAAAAACATACTTTTAATGAATGCAATACTGAATTTCACCAAACAACGCTACATTAAAGTTTTCGACTTCGTAAGTCACACATTTTACATATAATATAATTTCACCTTATTCCATTACAGTACATCATTGATGAATTTCGAATGAGGTACATATCAATTGATATCATGTAACATAAAATAACTAAGTCTTACTAACTAATAAAATAATTCGTTATCACAGATTTTGGCACAGGTGTCTAAATAATGGCATTAGGTGGCTCGGCATGGAACATTGTCAATAGATAAAAGAAAACGACGAACAGAAAGAAACACGATCTTAAAATTAATTTCTTTTAATAGGATTGTTAGGTGCCTTTGTTGAATTAGACGTTATGGCATTTCTCAATCTCTTTACATATTCTTGACCCCAATCTCTCAATAAATTCTGAAAGTATACGATAAGACTTAATAAATAAAAGTATTAAAGCAAACCAGTTTTTGTTTCTCTAAGTAGTTAACTAAACATTGTCTCATCCAAATTTATGTAGTCATTGTCTTGCGGTGAGGTTGTATGTATACCATTAAAACTCTCAAGAAATTGTTGTTTCATACAAGAAATACTCCAACTGATGTCTTATGGGATAAATATCAAATTTACCTCACAATATTCATACGATCTTCTCAACCTCAAATGTACAGTTCTAAATTCTCCATCAGAATAAACATATCTGACAATCTCTCCTGGCATTGGCTGAAACAATATCAAAAAGTATTTTTTAAGAATCACACTATCTATAAAATAATCACCACACCGTACAAAATTCGCAAATGTTAGGAGCCAAAAGATGAAAATAGTATGTTGAATCGTGTATACGGTCTGGAATATACTTCCTACTGGCGAAGTCTTCAATCCTTAAAAAAAAAACTTACTTTCTAAATTCGTTAATTAACAACCGTTTATCGCTGTCAAAAATGAATAATCTTTGACATTCGTATGATATTGAACTTTAATGTTTTCAAAAGGACCTCGGATACCATTTGTGATGTTTGCTGATAGTCACAGGGTCACTATTATTCTGTGAAAACAATGAACTAGCAAGGTCAGACGGGACTATTCTATGTTACGTACCATCATCGGTCGACCTCTTGGTACAGATACTCTTCTTACCAGAAATAACATAATAGTAGCAAATACTTTTAAATTACCATCAGCATTATCTGGCAGTGTACTGGTCGATAAACCATAATCTATAGGCTTTAATAATAGCTATAAAACATAGACTAACATTATTAGATCTAACCCATGTTTTTCATTTCTTTCACATTCATTTGATATTGTGATACAGGTCCGATAGATAGTTCGTAACTTGCGGTTCGGGTGTTTCACCAGGCACCAACAGCTCATCAGCTAAGTTGCACTTATTGAATATCGTGTGCACACTAATGACAATTATATATGGCCAGAATGGAGTTAAAGAATTACGTTTTTGTCCTGATACCGAACTTCATAAGAATATCTTACAACTATTATTTATTACTTATAAAACAGATTGTAGGTGGTTTAAAATGAGAGTAAGGACTCACCGTTGTTATTAAACTTCTCGAGATAAAGATGCCAACTAACAATAAGAATGCTTCATCATTACCAATATTATATGACTTGCCACTCTCGTTAAACTGCAGCTGATCCTGTTGAATGAAGCAAGTTTTACTTAGATATACTTATATCGAAGGTGATCCAGAGCATTTCTGCATGGTAATTTGAAGCATCTTCATTTGGAATTATTCGGACCTTTGTTTCCAAAAAACTTTGGTGCCATTCAATACCATTCTCCTATTTTAGCATCACAGTTGTATGACATGATTTGCAACATATTTTAACTTTTCAGCACAAGTGAAAATTGACACGAATTCTTAATGATATTAAACATAAAATTAGTTGTATTTACCAACTCAATTTGCCAGAAATAACCATCAGGAAATCTCTTGTTGTTTTTGATCATTTCGAATACAGATGATTTACGATGTGTTCCTAAAACACCTGTTGCTGGCTGAAATAATAGGAAAATAATATATGACTAATAATTTTATCCTTAGAATTACATTTTAACTATTATGATGCAATTCTGACAATGAAATTAAAGGTAGCTATATAGTAGATATACTAAAACTGTGCCTTCTTGAGTGTTAATGAACAATTGAATCGAACTGACTCTGAAACGTACCATAATTTCAGTCATATGGTAAGTGAAATTTTCCATGATGTACTGTAATACTTGTAACATGGCTGACTGGTCTCTTGAGGCTAAACCAATACGACCTCTTCTATCATTAACGAGTAAGGACAGATTGTAAGAGTTAGGTCCTATCATATCATTGAATACTGGATAGATGTTACCATTGGGCTGAAATAAGAATTATGAATATGTTATTCCATTTATCAATGTCTTTCTGATCTTAGTGTTAAATCTTTCAAATATCAAATGAGTAAAATATTCATCACTATTAATGAATGTATATATTATATTTGAGCCTTGTAGTGTAAATATTGTTGCCTTTCTTGAACAAAAGGCTGAATTCCAAATGTGTATTTACATAAACAATAGCAGGTATTGTCTTCATTGTAGATTGAATAATAGACTTGTACTTAAATACTCATCCAGCACTTGCACTTACGTTTAAGTATATTCTGTGTAAAGCAGCAACAATTTCTTTGAGTATAATACCAAATAAAAATACACTACTTGGACGATTCATAGAGTTCTGAAAGGAAGGATTAAATATAATAGAAATTGATAAAACTGTATAGAGTTGTTAAAACGTTCGAGGCCAGTTCCACATAGTAGGTAAAGAATACAATGCCTTCACTTCAAGAGATTGACCAGTGACCACAATAAGTTAAATCAAAAGAAAGGCAATCTTTTAATTGTCAAATAGGTATTAAACTAGAAACTTGTTTACTCATTCTGTATCAATTACAAACGGATTAAATTTCAGTTTAAAACTGAAGAAAGGTTATTGAGAGTTTTTTCTACCACAAACACAAAAAAGAACACATTTTTTAGTTCCTTTGATGTGTCTGTTGGACCAATTACTAGCTTTTTAACAAAGAAAATGACAAATAATGAGTCCACTGACATTTACTTACCGAATCATCTGTTCTTACTGTAAAACAAAAAATACGAAGTGAAATGATTAAAATTATCAGAAAAGTAGAGTTATATGGGTGTGTTGTTTTTTTTTTCTTCTCTCACAATATTATCAAGGGGCTGATGGACAGTTCTACAGTGTCTTAGTTTTTTTTTTTTTTTTAAACTCATATTCATCGTTATTTCTATACTTGATTAATTTTTTTACAGTGAATGTCGATTGTTTCTATAACTTTACCAACATCAAATCATTTTGTCATTATGGATGATAACTCTGTAAACATTTCAAATATCGATTTTCAATGATTAAAAAATGGTTTAAGAATTATAGTATGATAACACAACCACGCGTGTCTGAAGATCTTGATTTTAGGCTAAACAACTTTTATGTTTAGGAATTATTTACATGCTCAAATGACGTCATGTAGATAATTTCTATTATCCAAGAACGAAACCACTGTATAAATAGCTTTGTGAAAAGGTAAAATTTAGCATCATTTGAAACTCCATAATCGGATTAGACGGGGTAATTAGTGTTTAAAATGGTACTGTTTGCACAAGGAACCAATTTATATCGGACCTTTTCCTTTGGGTATTACTGTAATGTAACCAAGTTATGATTATGTGACAATTTTCCAATGCCAATTTCCCGTTTGACCAAATTTACTGTGGCCAATTTACCTACATCCTCAGTATTTGAAAGGAATTGAGGTTGCACAACCAAGCAGGAGCTGTACGAGATGAGTGATCTCAGACCACTCTGTAAGTTAATCTAATGCCTGTTAATGGAAGATTTAAAGATTTCAGTCTATATTTAATGCTAATTTCTGTGAGTGGGGTTCCCCCAAGGGTGGGGGCCGTGGACTTGGTTCTACTATTCCCTATGGTAGTTGAGCCACTGCTAGAAACTACCGCGTAGTTCGATATTGGCTAAATAGCCCCTGGATCAACATCTATAAATTTTATTTTGATATAATAATACATAACAATATTCTAAAATTAAACAACATTTAATACAAAAGCATAAATTCCTAATCTAACCCTACAGTCATATCAGAACTAATATTACTTTTCCTTCTTAAAAAGTTGTTTTATTGTCCCATCTCACTATAAAAAATCATATAAAACATAAAACAGCGAATGATGGTATACTCATCATTACAGAATACCCGATGTTGCAGAACTGGATTTTAGGAGTAACTATTCTTTGTTAAAAAAAATTGCATCCGTCTCCTAAAATGCCACAAGTATCTTGGTTGTACGAAATAGATACTTTGAAACAATAGTTGTTTGATAATGGCTGATTTCTGACCTGAATGAGCCCTTGGGGGTAATAACGAAACCGCTCGCGGTTCATTATAGAATTTTAAATAGTGTGTTATAGTTCCAGGAAAATTCAAACATTTATATGCCAAAAATTCACTTTTTAATATCGAAATATTCACCACTGTGTTTTTATTAGGGGAAACCATTTTTTTTTTTTATAAATTGCAGAAAATGGGAAGAACGAAGGTACGAAAAAGTTGGGAACCACGGCAATTAAGGATTATCACATTTGAAAGAGTTCTTTCGCAGGTCATTTCTAATGTTTGCTTTATGGTTCATAAACATAAACAACATTTGCCTATGACTGATGCCTCACTAATGCTGGTCTAATCATTATAACCTGTTTGTCTCCTAATCATTATTGTCAATAGCACCTGAAATTCCAGACTTTCAGACGATAAAATATGTATATTTCTTTTCTGAATAAATGTATTTAAAGATGCCTTCAGGATTATCTTTTAGAACAATTAAAAAAAAACAATAAATCTTTGGCACATGGAATCGCAAGACGTTAGCAACATTCAAAACAAACATTAGCCTTTGATCTTTGGTTTCTCCGATCCTTCTATTTTTCCCGAATATTTTGCCCTTATCAAATCCCAAAATGAATCTGAAATATATAATAATGAATATTACAGATAGTGACATTTAGTTCTATTTTGTAATATGAAATATATTGTAGGCCTACCACTGACAGTAAGCTGTTAAGTAGGATAATAAAAAGTACAATACACAAGAAACCTATTCACATAGGTTCTAATAGTAAAATATGGGGAAGCTTGGCAACAACTACGATTTTTTTCGGATATTTGGTACTAGACTACTCCTTTCCTACGATCTGAAATTCTGTCTAGGTAAGAATCTATTAACATCCAACAGAAACATTGGTTTTGGAACATTATCATAGTACGTAATGAAACCATGAAAGCCAAATCTCTCGTGATATATGAGGATATTATACTGTATACAAAAAATGCATAAAATTCTTAACGTTTATGTCATGGCGGTGTCTAGAAAATACAGTGATTTTTTCAGATAACACTTTCAATTATCTTGTTAAAATTTCAATTCATGGTCTAATTTTGAAAAATTATTTTCTGAAACAGCGCCATGACATTAACGCGTGACGTCGCAACGAGAACTTACCTTAATTAAGTCATGGGTCTTGATTCTTTTTTTATCAAAATATCAAAATAATTAACCGCCATGACATATACGATAGAAATGATACACAATATTTCAGGCTTCGGCGCACAAAATATTTTATCGATTTACCTTGTAACTTTTACTTAGTATTTACTAAGGGGTTTGGAATTTTTAAACTTTTTTTACCAAAGGGGGATAACTCGAAATTCCTCCCATATTGGCATTATGGGATAGATATAAGCAAACATTTATGATGCTTGTGGACTATGATATGTAAATGTTGTTTTTTATCGGAACTAATCACCGTTTTAAATAATTAGTATAATGTAGACGCTTCTGTAATATTGTCTGGAAGCCCTATGGTGTCCTATGAAATCTGGTTTTGTTTTATGGTTGAATCCCTCATAAAGGATCGCCTGGATTCTCTAAACTAAGGGAGGTAATATATCTAATATTAAATTAATGGCAGGATAAAATGTTAACGTACTTGCTACTGGTGCTGTGTTTCTTCCTGTTCGCCATCTTCTTCTACCATAATTTAACCCTGTAATAAAATATACCCTCTCCACACAATATATTGCCAGATACAGAAAATTAAGCGTAGGTTGTAATTTAATTAATCATAAATGAATTAGTAAAGGAGATTCGGAAATGACAGTGATTATTTTGTGATTACTCAGCATTGCTCTGTATCTCACAACTGCTTGTAGAATACACGGACAAACTAGCTTAAAGGTGTAATGGAATTTAACAATGTGTATATGTTTTATGGTCATTCAACGATACCTCTTCACATCCGGAACATGTCAAATAGTACATTATAGATGTAATTATCAGGTAAAAAGTAGACTATAGAACATTTGTCGACTTTGACAACCTGAAATTCCCTTTCTTGAAACTGTTCCTAAATGATAATAGGTGTCGTTGAATAACTATACGAGAACATTCCCATTTTTGATGTCTTGTGCAAATATCGTGTCAGTTAGTGTAAATGTTTTCAGCATATCATGTTAAGGTTCTGATTAATGATGAATTAATCTGCCTTTTGATAAGAGTATAAACAATCCATTGGGAGAGTAATACGAAACATTTACATCCTTGTTGACAGAATTTAAGAATGTGATTAAATATAGATCGCATATTATGGAATATAATTGGATATGAATTTATATGCATTGAAGGATTGCAGATGTTTTGGATTAAGAGTAAATTGCCTGTACACATTGATTTGAATGTTGGACTACCAAGTCCAAATTTACAACCAAACATTAAAGTCTTATTTATCTGTTTCGAAAGGTTCACACATGAAATAGAATGAAATTTAGCATTCTGAGTTTCAGCACCTCATTGAGATAAATCCGCTTCCCAGTGCCATAGAAAAGTTTATGGGAGATGCGAAAAGGCGTGGCAAGGGTGGAAGTTCATGTACCATTTGACAACCTGAATTAAAAGTTTCTCTCATTTAGATTTTCTATTTTGAATTTCTTTATATTTAAATTAATATACAGAAATAATGTTTTGTTGTGCCAAGCTTACTTATTGTTAAGAATAAATAAAAGTAATATATAATTTCTATTATTATAGTTACAATTATAAACTAAAGACATGGCACACAGTATGAGAGAAACTTTAAATTAAGATTATCAAATATAAATTGAATAATGCAGTTCTTATTGTTTATATAAACAATATTTTATTATAAATATAAGAAAATAATAAGTGTAATATATACAATAATGAAAAGAAACCTAAATATCACAGATAGCTTGAAGGATTGGAATTTGAGAGAAGTTTATGCCAAAATATAAAATGCCATACAAACCTTTATTCAATTTTAAATACAAATTTTGTTATAGAGTGAAATATTGACTTATACAGTTGATAGTGTAAAGAAACTAAGAAAACTATTGCACTAAAGACACTACATAGGCAACAGATTGTTTTTCTTTAAAATGATCAATTTATAATTCCCGGAATTTAGAATAGTACCCCCCAAAAATGGATATTTATAAAGATTTAAAATTTATATATTACAAAATAATTAAGATTAAAATAATAATTTAAAAAATAATAACTCTATTTTACAGTTTGACGAGATTGTAATACACTAGTAAGATTTTATCACATAAATTGGATGTTATTAGGATGGAAACAATAAATTAAGCTTGGCACAACATTTAACATTACAACTTTAATACACCTCTAAAAATAGGTGTTATATTCATTCCATTTTATTGTAGTCCATTCTTCAAAATTACTGGTCTCTAATAGTAATTCAGGTTGTTATGGTAACATGATTGTTTATATCACTATGGTTATGATGTTGATCAATGATAAACATAATAATTTGATCCATCATCATAATAAACAGCACTTCCACTACCACCTCCTCCTCCTCTTACATTGTAATTACTACGAGACCAATCCGCTGTAACACAAAGAAATTATCCCTATAGTATTTAATCACATTTCTTATTATTTTTGACAATTTCCCAATGTTTTGATATTGAAATCACATGCATCGATATTGATCAAAATAATCATTTATATAAATTAATAAATAAATCGTTAGGCTTGAAATTTGACGTGGTAAAAATTCGATAATTTTAAGGAAGGGCACTTTTCCAAGAAAGGTGTGTGGAAGGAAAGAATACAATATTTCTGCTTAAGTGCCAAATATTGGGATATATTGACTAATAATACTAATACTAATAATAATGTTTTGGGTCAATCTAGGGAAACGTGCATAGGATACGAGTGCATAGGTGTGTAACGCTGTGTTTTTTTTTGTTTTTGTTTTTTTGTTACCAAGTTAAATAATTTACTAACCGTGCCCATATTAAGTGAAGCAATAAGGAGAACAGAACATAAAACCAAGTAAAGTCATAGAGGGAACATGATATCAAGTGAATCAGTGGGATAATATTTTATAAAGTAAATTAATAAAGATAGAACATGATATTAAGTGAAGTGAGAAAGTGAGAACATGAAAGAAACGCCAGAGTGATAAGATGATACTAGATGACGCCATACAGAGAACATGATATGAAGTGTAGCAGACATGATACTAAGTCAATTGAAAAAGCATAATATTAAACAAAGATAAATAGAGAGAACACAATATTTAGTAGTATAGAGAGAACACGATATCAAGAAATACAATAGAGTGATGTGAAGTCATAGAGAGAACATGACATCAAGTGAAGTCACACAGAGAACATGATATCAAGAAAGACAGCAGGGAAACGTATTACACGAAATCAAAAAGGGAACATGATATGAAGTGAATTGATATGAAAAAAATCATATCAAGTGAAGTCAATGATAAAAGAATGGTGTCTTGGGTGCTCTTGGAGGTTTAATAATGTGCCAGAGTAGGGCTGAATATATTGTGATCGTGCAAGTGTTGGGTTGTCCTACCCTATGTCCTTAATGTCATCGGCAGGTTTAGTATAGACTCGTCGTCTTATTACTGTAATGAAAGAAAATGCAAATGGACGGATCAACAATTCCTTTGTAATTATTTGTTTTTTCTGGGTTTTTTTGTATGTTTTAATAAGCAGAAAGCAGTATCTCTTCCTTTCACAGAGGGGCCAGTTTTGGAATTATTTAAGTAATTTGGTCCTAATCTTTGTTTATGGAATTTGGATAGATTTGCACAAAACATCAATTTCAACAATCAAGAGTATGTTGTGAAGTACTGTGAGATTACATAGTTTCTTCCTGCGAAAATGAAATTTAACCGCAATCGAAACATGAGATGATAAACACGAAATGAGTGAATTTAGAACTTTATTGTCTAGGTCAAAGCTGACTACAATATTCGTCTTAAAGTATCTCACAGTACTTTCGTAATGGGAATGAGAAAGGATAGAAGATACTCACTTTTTATTACTAGTAGTACTCACCTCGTCCATAGCCGCCCCTGATTATATGAAATAAAATAAAAGATTGATCAGATATAGCTTTAAATATTCACACGGCTCTTTTCTTTGATCAATGTTCCCTTAAAACTGGATTAACTTTCATCCAATGTTCAGTGTAAGTTGCACAATTTATTTTTCACAAGGATTCCTTCATAATGTAAAGAAGCGCAAGTCAATAAAAGATAAACGTCTGTAAAACTCACATGTCCATTCCGAAACCCATCTGCGGTAAGGAATGATGGTACATCTGTGGTGCAGCTGGTGCTGTTTGAGGATAATGATGATGTTGAACTCGTTCCTGGATTGAAAACACATAGAGAATGTTTCAATACTTAGCAAATGACGTCACTGATTCAGTCGATATTCCAGTATAGAGAATAACAAATACATCGACAGAAGCTGTGGACACAAGCAGGGTTAAGTTTCCATTCTTGGCAGTCAGTAAGCTTAATGTGTCAATGTTCTACTCACCGAGCCACCTGGTGCTCCACCTAAACTTTTTATCATTAACTGTTGCATTGCCATGTGGTGCATCTGTGCATTCTGCATCATCATCATATCCATAAAATCTGAAACATAGATCATCAGAAATGCCTTTGCGTATAACCTTAATGAAAAGAACCAACTTCAACAACATCGTGTGTTCTTTAAAGGTCTTAAACAGTTCATAATATGATTGGACATCCACACAGCATGAACTGTTTCAGGTAAAGTCATAGAATTATACCACAGACTTACCTCCTTTATTGAACCATTTATTAGGACTACCACAATGACTGTGGTGGAGAGGTTCTACATGATGATTTATTATAGGACTCGTATGGACTGCTGGCATTGCTGGCATTGATTGAACTATTGGTGGTGGAGCATGTACTATAGGTGGTGCTTGTTGTATTATCTGTGGTGGTGCTTGTTGTATCACCTGTGGAGCAGGCTGTTGTATCACCTGTGGTGGGGGAGCCATTGCGGCAGGTATTTGTGAAGGAAAAAACGGTTGCTGAATTGGGGGTAAATAATAGGGCCTGAAGGAATCTTGACCTCTGTGCTCTATCACGTGTTTCACTTGGGACATATTGTCTGAAATGATAGGAATGTTAACATTGAAAATATATCAAGTACGTGATAAAAATCAAAAACTTGTTAATAAGAACACAAGCTTTTAGTTGTCAAGTCAACTGACGTAATGAAATGGATTTTCATATGTAACGAATACAAAGCGATTATCCAGATATTTGTTTTTGACAAAAATTGTCTGAAAAAAAACAAGACCAGATATAAAAGATATAAATTACTCACTTGTCCCCCTATTATCTTTAATTACTATACTACGACTGATATCTGGTAGAGATCGTCGTGTAGGAGGAGGTAATAAAATAGGTGATGGGGTAAATCTTCTACGAGGACTTTCTGTACGTGGACGATTTAATTGTTCTTGCTGAAAATACAAGTTAAATTAATGTCCATCATTTTTAGGACACAAAAGCAGGAGAATGTGTTAATGAACAATATTGTCGAAAATCTTATTGTATCAATAAATATAATTTTCCTAATGTTCAAGCTAAATGCCAAAAAACAGCCATAGGAATGTTGTTCAAACAATGGAATATTGTCAAAGATTCATGTCAGATATTGTCAAATAACAAGTGATAAATGTAGTTTGAAGGTAAGTGGCATATTGCCGAAATAAACATCCAGAAAATTGACAAAATGTAAATGTTGAAGGTAATGATAGGTAAAAACATTGAAAAAAAAACACCATTGTTCCAGTTCAACTTGATGGACTTATCATAAAATAATATCTTACCCTAATTCTATCTAGTAGTTCTTGACGTCTAAAAACTGCATGTTGAAGTTTTAACTGATGTTCTACATCGTGATCGGCTGAAAAATAAACCATTCCATTAGAGCACCATGTAAAACATCATCTATATTGTTCATGTATTAACAAGATCTATGACATTTTTAAACTAATACAATTATCACCTGGAATTGGTCGAGAGAAGATTTTTATTAAACTTACTTGAAACTGTATCCGGTCTTTGATCTAATTTATCTCTCTCATTTGCTATTTTCTGAAAAAAAAAAAAAAAAAAAAGTTAAAATTTTGGTTTTGATATCAGAAGGTGTCATGGCCGCCATAGTATAGCCTATGACCATTATCGCTTCCAATTTCGGAAAACTTCCCCATGAAACTCTGAAACTTTTCTTTTAAAAATAAATAACAACTGTAATTACCTTTTGTGTATCCCTTTACATTATATTCTCCTATTTTAACATTTTTAAGCAATTAACAAGTTACTTTCGAATTAAAATGTCGGATGGTTCTCGACTGACCGTCCTATCAACAAGGGAATCGTCATAACGACCGGAATAATAGGGGCCTATCTCATTTTAAACAAATAATAGATATAATGAATAGCTTTTACCCTAACAAAAGTCTCCCCATTCAGAAAAGGATCGTTTATTATTGAAAGGGGCTAATAAAAGAATTGGGTATGACTATAATGATTGATATATTGTATTGCTATGGAGCAAACATTTGCAGATATATTATAAACACTTCTTTATTCAAGTCATTTAGTATTTGCATAGATATTTATAAATGAAAAAAAAATCCTATTTATAAGCTTACTGTATAATTCAACGTGTAGTTCGTAATATTATAATGAAATTTTGTCATTACACACTGTAGAAATAATGTCCTTATAATATTATAGTTGTTAAGTTATCGTTTGATGCTATGCACTTTTTAATAACGAATGTCTATCTGGTGCACATCAGCTAGAATTAGTAACAGGTGCTATTAATATTGTGACAGTCGTTTTTCTGTATATTAACAGTTGTCATCTTTTTAGTAACAGTTGTTATCTTTATAGTGACAGTTGTTAGCTTTATTGTAAAGGTTATCTTTATAGCTGTTTTCTTGTTAGTAACAGCTGTTATCTTGTAAATAATTGTTATCTTTTTAGTTGTTATCTTAATAGTAGTTGTAATTATGTGAATAACAGTTGTTATTTTAAAAGTTGAGAAATATCATTATAGTTGTTATTTTGAAAATAAGAAATGGTATCTTTATTGTAACTGTCGTTGGAAATCGCAGTTCGTTTTTTTTTAACAACGTTTTAAGTTTCTGTTTTATTATCTATACCATTTGGAAGTCTTAATATAACATTATCTATGTATCTTTGCCTTTACAAATCTGTGATGTTATTTTTATAGTTATTAATTCAAAACAAGTTATGTTATAAAACTGCAATTACTGATGGCATAACCTGAGAAACCTTAATAATCCACATTACATATAACAATCAAAATATTGTTATAAATCTATCTAAATGGCTTAATCTAGGAATCTTTATAAATCTACAATCCACTTTTAAAATATGTCATAGTTCTAATGTCGTTATAAATCTACAATAGTTGCTTAATACAAGTATACCTTAAGTAATATACAATTGATGTCATAATCTAGGTATCTTTATATAAATTTACAATCGACTTTCTGATTTTTCATTAGCTCGCTTGTCTTTGGAAAACTACAAGTAACTGGTTTTTTTTATAAATAATGTGGGCTATGGTGTTAATTGCACCAAATGTGTATAGATTCAAAGCTTCAAAACTAATAATGTCAGTCCATGGAAAAATTTCTGATTAGTAAAATGAAATTTATTTTGTTCTTTCTTTTCATTTATTAAACTATGAAGCAAGATAATATGAAATTCATGTTCATGTTCCAGATATTTGCATATCGTCACAATAAAAAGGGACCTGTAGGTAACTAAGATTGTATCTTATAGCAACACCAAATGAACAATGAACATTCCTTATATCTCTTTCACTGTTTCCCAGAGACGCTCATTATCACAATGGATATTAGCCTACTGGCAAAACCAATATACCTATATATTTATTACTTTCGCAATAAGGAAAAAACAATCTCAATCTGTAAAAAACAATACTTTTGGTCAAATAATAAGAGAGTTATACGATGTATTTAGTATACACTTTACCCCAACGACCCTAATTTAATAATATTTTCCTCCGACTTACTGCGGATAAGGAAAACTTGATACCCCTTTTTTCATCTTACCTTTTACGAAGTTGAAACCAATATTTACCACTTCTAATTAAACAACCACACAAAGTAATTAAATTTAAGTTGGTTTAGATTGATCACAGTTAAAATGTTAAAAGTACATGAACAACACTACACATATGAGAAGTCACAAAAAGTTTGACAGAAAAAATGTCTCAAAAATGTTTGGCACCAAAATGTTAAAAAAATTCTTTCACTGCAGTGTCACAAGATAGCTTGGCACCAGAATATCACAAAGTTTTTAAAATGACAGAATTAATATCTCTGCTGTAATAATTTAGTCCGTTTTAATCTATCCACTATATCTGTCTCCATATTGGAGTGCTGGTCTAAGTAAAAGTGCTGGCGCGGTATTGTTGATGATTGTTGTTAGGAAAGGTAGAGTCTATTTGTTGAAAGGTGTTAACAATTTATAGAAAGTCTTTTGAAGAATCAATAGATCATATTGTCGAATCATATCAAACGTTTAGTATGACAAGCCGAGACAAGATAGAACATTGCTGTTTAATAGTTACTCCCCTTTAGATTAAATACTGAAACCCACTTATAGTCGTATGTTGCGATTTTGAAGTGATTTGATTTGTCATACCATGATATATAACTACTTAAACACAATACAAACAAAATGTTTACCGCAATCCTTGAAACCATATTATCTGTTACAATATAAAAATTATACTTGATATATAACTGAATGTTTAATAACGAAATTAATAGGTTATCTAAACTCCATAAACCAAAATCAATGCATAACTTTTTAAAAATATTTTAGGGGGACAGGTGCGCCATTTTCAGGGGTTTTGAAAAAATTCTTCAGAAGTACCTAAAAGTTTCGACGGAGAGCTGTGAACAGTATTATTACTGAATAGCTTAGCTAAATAAAATCTAGTTTCTGAGACTAAGGTACGTTTTGTCAATAAACTGGCATACCTGTCCCTCTATGTTCAAGATGTTATGTTCAAATCAAATCTATGATGTCCTGCGATATATTTTGCGTTCGTGATGTTATTTTTAGTCCAATTAGCACTATTAATTAGCATGATGTTTTGTCGTTTATAAAATGTTCAAGATTATGTTGTATATTCTTTTAGACCTATAATACATTTAGATATTATATTTTAATAAGATTATGTTGTAAAATTACTCATAGATAATCTTGTTTCAAGCACCACTCGACAACATGAAATATAATTATCTATTTCGACTTTAATGCTACTTGATATTTCAATAAACGATTTGTTACAGTGAAGGGTTTCAGAGTGGATTTTACTTTGCAAAATCGTTTGAATACATACATATCAATATTGTAATTGCAATTACTATAATCTATGAACAGAAAATAGAAATATACATAAATAGTGTGACCCCAGCTCCATACTATCACAATGCCGGAAAGTGGGTGACTTCTTTATTATCATCCAGAAAAAGTAAACTAGTAGATAGTAGAGAAGATGTAAACTAGTAGATTATTGAGAAGATATAAACTAGTAGATTATAGTGAAGATGTAAACTAGTAGATTGTAGAGAAGATGTAAACTAGTAGATTATAGAGAAGATGTAAACTTGTAGTTTATAGAGATGATGTAAACTAGTAGATTGTAGAGAAGATGTAAACTTGTAGTTTATAGAGATGATGTAAACTAGTAGATTATAGAGAAGATGTAAACTAGTAGATTGTAGAGAAGATGTAAACTAGTAGATTATAGAGAAGATGTAAACTAGTAGATTGTAGAGAAGATGTAAACTTGTAGTTTATAGAGATGATGTAAACTAGTAGATTATAGAGAAGATGTAAACTAGTAGATTGTAGAGAAGATGTAAACTAGTAGATTACAGAGAAGATGTAAACTAGTAGATTATAGAGATGATGTAAACTAGTAGATTGTAGAGAAGATGTAAACTAGTAGATAGTAGAGATGATGTAAACTAGTAGATTATAGAGAAGATGTAAACTAGTAGATTGTAGAGAAGGTGTAAACTAGTACATTATAGAAAAGATGTAAATTAGTAAATTATAGACAAGACGTAAACTAGTAGATTATAGAGAAGACGTAAACTAGTAGATTATAGAGAAGACGTAAACTAGTAGATTATAGAGAAGATGAAAATTAGTAAATGATAGAGAAGATGTAAACTAGTAGATTATAGAGAAGATGTAACCTAGTAGATTATAGAGAAGATGTAAACTTGTAGTTTACAGATTATATTAAACTAGTAAGCTATAGAGAAGATGTATACTAGTAAACTGGTTTATTATAGAAAAGACGTAAACTAGTAGATTATAGAGAAGATGTAAACTAGTAGATTATAGAGAAAGTGTAAACTAGTAGATTATAGAGAAGACGTAAACTGGTAGATTATAGAGAAGACGTAAACTAGTAGATTGTAGAGAATGTGTAAACTAGTACATTATAGAGAAGATGTAAACTAGAAGATTATATTAAACCAGTAAGCTATAGAGAAGATGTAAACTAGTAAACTGATTTATTATGGAGAAGATGTAAACTAGTAGATTATGGAGAAGGTGTAAACTGGTAGATTATAGAGAAGACGTAAACTAGTAGATTGTAGAGAATGTGTAAACTAGTACATTATAGAGAAGATGTAAACTAGAAGATTATATTAAACCAGTAAGCTATAGAGAAGATGTAAACTAGTAAACTGATTTATTATGGAGAAGATGTAAACTAGTAGATTATGGAGAAGGTGTAAACTAGTAAACTGGTTTATTATACAGAAGATGTAAACTAGTAGATTATAGAGAAGATGTAAACTAGTAGATTATAGAGAAGATGTAAACTAGTAAACTGGCTTATTATAGAGAAGATGTTAACTAGTAGTTAATAGAGAAGATGTAAACCAGTAAGCTATAGAGAAGATGTAAACTAGTAGATTGCAGAGAAGATGTAAACTAGTAGATTGTAGAGAAGGTGTAAACTAGAAGATTATATTAAACCTGTAAGCTAAAGAGAAGATGTAAACGAGTAGATTATTGAGAAGATGTAAACTAGTACATTATAGTGAAGATGTAAACTAGTAGATTATAGAGAAGGTGTAAACTAATAGATAGTAGAGAAGGTTTAAACTAGTAGATTGTAGAGAAGATGTAAACTAGTACATTATAGAGAAGATATAAACTAGTAGATTGTAGAGAAGATGTAAACTAGTAGATTGTAGAGAAGGTGTAAACTAGTAGATTGTAGAGAAGATGTAAACTAGTAGATTATTGAGAAGATGTAAACTTGTAGTTTATAGAGAAGATGTAAACTAGTAGATAGTAGAGATGATGTAAACTAGTAGATTATAGAGAAGATGTAAACTAGTAGATTATAGAGAAGATGTAAACTTGTAGTTTATAGAGATGATGTAAACTAGTAGATTATTGAGAAGATGTAAACTAGTTTATTGTAGAGAAGATGTAAACTAGTACATTATAGAGAAGATGTAAACTAGAAGATTATATTAAACCAGTAAGCTAAAGAGAAGATGTAAACGAGTAGATTATTGAGAAGATATAAACTAGTAGATTGTACAGAAGGTGTAAACTAGTAGATTGTAGAGAAGATGTAAACTAGTAGATTATTGAGATGATGTAAACTAGTTTATTGTAGAGAAGATGTAAACTAGTACATTATAGAGAAGATGTAAACTAGAAGATTATATTAAACCAGTAAGCTAAAGAGAAGATGTAAACGAGTAGATTATTGAGAAGATATAAACTAGTAGATTGTACAGAAGGTGTAAACTAGTAGATTGTAGAGAAGATGTAAACTAGTAGATTATTGAGAAGATGTAAACTTGTAGTTTATAGAGAAGATGTAAACTAGTAGATAGTAGAGATGATGTAAACTAGTAGATTATAGAGAAGATGTAAACTAGTAGATTATAGAGAAGATGTAAACTTGTAGTTTATAGAGATGATGTAAACTAGTAGATTATTGAGAAGATGTAAACTAGTTTATTGTAGAGAAGATGTAAACTAGTACATTATAGAGAAGATGTAAACTAGAAGATTATATTAAACCAGTAAGCTAAAGAGAAGATGTAAACGAGTAGATTATTGAGAAGATATAAACTAGTAGATTGTACAGAAGGTGTAAACTAGTAGATTGTAGAGAAGATGTAAACTAGTAGATTATTGAGATGATGTAAACTAGTTTATTGTAGAGAAGGTGTAAACTAGTACATTATAGAGAAGATGTAAACTAGAAGATTATATTAAACCAGTAAGCTATAGAGAAGACGTAAACTGGTTGATTGTAGAGAAGTTGGAAACTAGTACTTTAAAGAGATCGAAACAAAATAGTTGTAAACAGAAATGAATTGATTCAGGAACAGAAAAGAGTCCAAAAAAAAAAATCAGATCAAACAAAGTTGTCAAAAGCTGATATACAAAAAAATCAAAGCAATAAAATGGTAAAATTTCCAAATGCATAAGAAATTTTTTTATTGGAATTTTATAAAGACACTTTAATCTTATTTTATGTGCCGTGGTCATGGTTGCACCGTACATTATAATGAAATCAAATGATTTGTTTGTTTGATTTCCTTTTCATATGAATTGGGAAACATATAACATGAAATCAGTGGTGTTTATAAAATATTTGTTTAGAGAGGTGGGCCGCAAAATATAGGCGTTACAGTCAAAATATTTTTATCGTAGATATCCCTCAATGTTAATTAAATTTCGCGATTTTTTTTTCGCCATACATCTCAAATTAGATCAAGCTTTCAATCGGTTTTATCATAAGTTTTTATTTTTAATATATCCACTTCAGTTATAGGGTCTAACGACAGCCCTTTTCAATGTTCGGAAAATTAACCTTTTGGCCTAACTAGTCTTCTTTAACCAATCGAATTTATATTCTCTCACTGGCATTTTGTGACACAGTGTTTATCCGGTTAGGTCAAAGGGTTAATTTGACGAACGTTTAAGAGGGCATAGGAAGAAATACTCGTCAATATATACTTCTTGGATTAGTGTAGATCTCTTACAATGATTAGCAATATTACAACGGTCTAATTTCAATGAAACTGGATACATTATTTCCATTCTCTATGACGATGCTTCAGTTATGAACAGAAACAGTTTTGGTAAGATAGGTGGTCGTTGAACACGTCTTTTGTCTGATTGATTGTGTAAACGTGAATCTTAATATAAATCGTGTATGTTCGGGGGCATCCGGGGTATCCCCCCCCCCCCCCCCAACCTTTATCCCTGTAGCAACGGACCTACCCGGTTTGTCAACTCATCATCCTTGCAAGCAATATGTATGTTCGGGGGCATCAATACGCCGATGACAACCAATTAGTCTTAAGGTCTGAGTCTTAGGTGCTGGATTAGCATAATCTTCGGCTTGTTTCCGAAACCTTACTTATTTTCTGTAAAAATTTCATTTAATATAGAAATAAAATATTGTTTAAACCAAGTTCTGAGTCCAAGTTAAAAAAAAACTTCATTGAATATGAGCTCCATTACAAAAAGTACCTTGGTGAAAAGGACTATAGGTTACCAGCTCTTCGGGAACACCTGAATAATACTACAGGCGTTGAAAGTTCAATGACTTTGTTGATTATTTTGTGTTTTTAATAGTTCTGTATTAAACCATTGCAGAAAAAGTACCAATACCAATAGAAGCAGCAGATAAACTGGTACAAGAAGTTCAATGTGAATTAAAGTGCTGTGGACGTGTTTAATGATTAATTTTAATGTATCTCAATAACGGTCAATGTTGAAGATTATCGGAGAAGACATGAATAATAATGACTAGTAATTAGTTATAGATTATTAGAAAGATATCAATAACTATTGCCTGTCAACATCTCCATGTTGAATTGCTTTCTTACACTATAATTTATCCACTGTTATTTCATTTGTGTGTCAATACAACTTCATGTTTTATCTTTCTGAGTTGGATTAAGAAACTATTTTTAACAACGAATTAAATGTGGCATTAATGAAGATGTTTATATACCATGGCCATTGACCGATTCATCGATGTTCAGAGTTATATTCAGCGATACCTCCATAGGACAATTCTATCTCTTAGGAATATTACCCTTATTCGTGGCCTCTCAAATCCAAAGATCCATTCGAATTGTCTTGATTATTGCCTATTAATAATGAAGGAACACCCCTTTAAACCAACGGTATGTGGGAGTGGTGTTACCATGGCTATAACTTGATCTATCAGAATTTTACTTATATCATTATAAAGCTAATAAAATCTACTTTCTACTGAATATTATTTTATTTACCTGCTGGACCATCTTCATACGTAATCTGGTCATGCTATCATGCATGGAATCACTATCTGTGGCCGCCATTTTGTCTGTTTATATGGGCAACGAAGCCCTTAAAGGCTTCTCTAAAGACACACTCTCTCTTGTCACATTAAAAAGAATTGTTATGTTCGTTCTCTAGCGACATACTCTACACACATTCATTGGTCTGATCCATTCAGATTGAAAGGGCGAAAGGGTAGAATAATAACAGTCATTCTTTGTATATTTAGTATATAATATATTACATATCTAAAAGGGACCACGTAGTTTATGAAAAGAATGTAATGTACACCACAATAAACGAAGATAGATTAGATCAGTGAGACTTCGTATGCAGACGATAAGCAGATTTTTCTTTAAAAAAATGAAATAAATTTAAATGAAGTTTTAATTCCTACTTTTATGCGCCGTATTTTACAATGAAGGGGAAATTGTATACGTTACGAATGCCACGATATCGATGTCATTTTACCTTAATGTCTAATAAATACATGTACATTGATTTGTGTTGGACATCGAGATTTAAAATGCGTTTACCAATATGCACTGAGGACATGAAATTGGCGCAGTTATGTCTGTAGTAGTGAGATAGTAATAGTTATAAGAACTTGCTTTCGGGGTTGCGAGGGGGAGCGGTTGAAAATGCATTACATTCCAAAAAAATAAAAATTATATACACAATCAACAAAACCATCAATAAAAAAATTGGCGGAGGGTTTCGTTCTTTCTGATTGAAAAAACATTTTCTTACAATATTACCTCCCTTGAAATTCTCACTTCGGAGCATTGATTATGTATCGAAAATATCCAAAAACTCGATAGCCCTTGTATGTCGAAACATATTGAATGATGAATTTGGATGAAAAATGTTTCCCACTCTGTTATGAATTTGGTGTGCATATACTTGTATTTTCATCAAAGCCATTAGCACAATCAGCTATACCATTACATATATTGATGGCTGTTTTTACCAATCAGTTCTACCTCACCCGTCACTCCGTCAGTGAGTCCGTCACTCCGTCAATGAGTTCTCCACTCACGTCAGTGATTCCGTCATAACGTCAATCGACTCGTTTATACATTTAAACATGCCGGCTGTACATCCATCTTAAAGATAAGAAATATATTCAGTAAAAACTATAAGATCAGCCTATAAATCGTATATTTCATCAATACACACATTTTAACGGTGCTCAGCATGACTATTGCTCTCGAGATTATTCAGTTACCTAATGTCCCATATATACTTAATATCACCGCAATCATGACCATGCCGGGGAAAGCTTGCAAGACAGGACATGACCAAACTTCCTTTGAGCCACGACAGATATACATTATAAGATTCTTATATGGATTTAATATACCATGCAGTACCTACTGCAATTTGAATTTTTTTCATCTTCGCCACTTGGGTGCAATCTTTTGTACCACCTATAACGTCGCAGTCACTTGAACAATTTAAAATTTCAATATAAAATTACAAAACAAAAGTTGCCATCTGAGGCAGGTCTTACGTAAGTGATAGCCCTTTAAAATTCATGGAAAATTCTAAATATTTTTAACATTAAATTATATGTTATATCATGCAACATGCATCAAATGGAGACTTGTTAATATTACATCGGCAGAATCATCGAGTCATCACTTATTCTTAGATGTTTAATTGTTTGCAAGAATTATGCTTTGTTTTACTTTATCTTTCAATTTCAGTGTCTAACAATGGATATCAAAATTAATGAATAACCTACTATAGACATTTTTGTTTGTTATTTTTTAAGTAGTTTTTAGTTTACAGTCAACAAAAAATATAGCACATTCCATTTGTGATCTAGATTACATCAACAACTATAAAATAGTTATTATTCAACACAAAAAATATAAGTCTTTAAGCACACCACTAATAATAGTTCTAAAAAAGCTTTCTTTTATAAGAATTATGTCAGAAATATTGACTAACGTACCTATTGGTCGAGATGTTGTTCAACTGGTTATCGGAGAAGTTGTAGGACTGGTAGTGGGTGAAGTTGTAGGGCTGGTAGTAGGTGAAGTTATAGTACTAGTAGTGGGTGAAGTTATAGGACTAGTAGTAGGTGAAGTCGTAGGACTGGTAGTTGGTAAAGTTGTAGGACTGGTAGTAGGAGAAGTTGTAGGACTGGTAGTAGGTGAAGTTGTAGGACTGGTAGTAGGAGAAGTTGTAGGACTGGTAGTAGATGAAGTCGTAGGACTGGTAGTTGGTAAAGTTGTAGGACTGGTAGTTGGTGAAGTTGTAGGACTGGTAGTAGGTGAAGTTGTAGGACTTGTAGTCGGAGAAGTTGTAGGACTGGTAGTAGGAGAAGTTGTAGGACTGGTAGTTGGTGACATTGAGGCACTGATAGTTGTTGAAGTTGTAGGACTGGTAGTTGGTGACATTGTGGCACTGGTAGTTGTTGAAGTTGTAGGGCTGGTAGTTGGAGAAGTTGTAGGACTGGTAGTTGGTGAAGTTGTAAGACTGGTAGTTGGTGAAGTTGTAGAACTGGTAGTAGGTGAAGTTGTAGGACTGGTAGTAGGTGAAGTTGTAGGACTGGTAGTAGGAGAAGTTGTAGGACTGGTAGTATGTGAAGTTGTAGGACTTGTAGTCGGAAAAGTTGTAGGACTGGTAGTAGGTGAAGTTGTAGCGCTAGTAGCAGGAGACGTTGTTGGACTGGTAGAAGGTGAAGTTGTGGGACTGGTAGTAGGAAAAGTTGTAGTGCTGGTAGCAGGATAAGTAGCTGGACTGGTAGCAGGTGAGGTTGTAGGACTGGTGGTAGGAGAAGTTTTAGGGCTGGTAGTAGGAGAAGTTATAGGACTAGCAAATGGCGAAGTTGTTGGACTGATAGTAGGTGCAGTTGTAGGACTGGTAGTTTGCTAAGTTGGAGGACTGGTAGTTGGTGAAGTTGTAGGACTGGTAGTAGGAGAAGCTGTATGAATTGTAGTAGGAGAGGTTGTAGTTCTGGTAGCAGGTGAGGTTGTAGGACTGGTGGTAGGAGAAGTTTTGGGGCTGGTAGTAGGATAGGACTAGCAGATGGCGAAGTTGTTGGACTGGTAGTAGGCGAAGTTGTAAGGCTTGTAGTTAGTGAAGTTGTAGGACTGGTAGTTGGTGAAGTTGTAGGACTGGTAGTTGATGAAGTTGTAGGACTGGTAGTTGATGAAGTTGTAAGATTGGTAGTTGGTGAAGTTGTGGGACTGGTAGTAGGAAACGTTGTAGCGCTGGTAGCAGGAGAGGTTGTTGGATTGGTAGCAGGTGAAGTTGTAGGACTGGTAGTAGGGGAAGTTGTAGGACTGGTAATAGGGGAATTTAGGACTGGCAGTAGGTGATATTGTAGGACTGGTAGTTGGCGAAGTTGTCGGACTGGTAGTAGGGGAATTTAGAGGACTAGTAGTAGGGGAATTTAGAGGACTAGTAGATGGCGAAGTTGTAGGACTGGTAGTAGATGAAGTTGTAGGACTGGTAATTGGCGAATTTGTGGGACTGGTAGTTGGCGAAGTTGCAGGACTAGTAGCAGGTGAAGTTATAGCACTGGTAGCAGGCGAAATTGTAGGACTGGTAGTTGGTGAAGTTGGCCGTTAGGTAGGCTACAACTGTTTGTAATTGCTGTTTGACGCGTGAGTGTCAGATAAAAACATATCGTCTAATAAAACTAGGGAGGGGCCTATACTTACCCTTCAGCAAGCTGGGTGAGGTCTGAATACGTAATTTTAAGATTAATAACATGATATATGGCTGCACGGCAAGTTTTGTCGTCTTCTGATTTATTTTTTTTTTTTTGAAAATGGATCGAAAAATAAAAATCCATAGCCTAATCAAAATGTTCAGTAAATGTGCACTGAATATTCTGATCTAATATCTTTCAGAGGACAAAAAGATTTGTACATGTGTTTTTATGGTCTAGTAAAAGACAAATAGCAGGGAGGATAAGATTTTTGTCAAATGTTACATAGGCAGTACTTGAATAATTCTGAACCCTAGTGACACGAGTGAAGAATCGTGTTAAATTGTCGTCTTCTCGTGTCACACGAGAACAAGTTATGAGATCACATGACGTATCACATGATAATATTACAAAATGGCTGCTAAAACTTAGTCTATTTGTATATTATTACGAAATAAACAAAACTCCTGTTAAATATGCTTTGTTCGAAGTAACAATTTTATTATAAATGTATGTAAAAGGTGGTTTTGACTTATATTAAAGTTAAACTTTAAGAAATCAAATAAATCTTTATAACGTAATGTGATATAAGATGCTATTTGTTTCGTTGTTCCTACTGCAGTCTCACTCCTGAGTCACTGCTTTATAACTGCTGCCGCAATGTCACGGAAGGTACCCTTCTCTAACATTGGCACAATCACATTTATTGCTACTCAATCTCTTAACCATTATAGGCTTATCTTTGATAAATTTTGAATTTTTCAGAAACAAATTATGTCCAACATGGTAGCCAGTTTATTACAAACTCTTCATGGACATTCTATGGATGTTACCTGTGTGAGTTTTGGTAAGGAAGAACTTGTAACCTGTTCAGGTGATAAAACCGTGAGGGTATGGAACATTCAAGATTTCTCAGAGTTACCTTGTTCACCATTACTTGCTCACACCTATATTGTAAACTGTTGTACGTTTAATAAGTCTGGGACTGTGTTTGCTACTTGTTCAACTGATGGAAAAGTGATATTATATGACTCTAAGACAGGAGATCAGATAGCTATATTTGAACATCCCAGTAAAAGTGCTGTTCGTGTGTGTAGGTTTTCGCCTAATTTTACTCTGATAGCATCTGGTGGTGATGATAATGCCTTGTGTTTATGGGATATTGAGAAGAAGAAACTTGTCAGGTAATATTGGTTGAATAATTTTCATAGAAATAACAATTTTATTTCATACTATAGGGCATTTTAACCATTGAAGTAGCAGACTGTGGATCGTTTCAAAACTATGTTAATTTCAGCTACCTGAAGATTTCCACAAGTAAAGTCTACATTACAAATATTATCATGAAACTGAACATACAATGACAGTACTTAATATAAAATATTTTTGTAGAACTTTACAAGGTCATGATGAATCAGTTATGGCATTAGCCTTCACACCAGATAATAACTATATTGTCTCAGGTAGTTGTAATGGAGATCTGAGGACATGGGATGCCAGCTTTGGTCATGGTAGATGTTTATCTTTTGAACTAGATGGTCATGATCTAGGGGTAACTTGTTGTGAATTTTCACCTTCATTTGGAACTGCAGGTAGGCCAATAGCGTTGAATTTGTAAATTTCATTTAGTAATTGAGTGAGGTAAAATTCTTAACTTTGATTTGATTCATGCACCGTATGTGGGCCTCCTTGAACGTAAGTGATTTGAAATATGCTTTTATCGCAGTCAATTTTTTTTTTTAATTTCTCAGAAATGTGCAGTTGTAGGTTTTAAGCCTACACTGGATACTTCTGTAAATGGAGTGATAAACAATCATTACTGGCACTATAATAAAATTTTCTAAACGTTAAATTCTGTTATTTTGTGTCTGTATATATTGTCTAGGGACACCATCTGTGTCAGCAGCTAGTTTCCTATTGGCATCTGGAGGTAAAGATGATTGTATTAAAATATGGCATTTCATGGCTGAAGTAGGCTCACCCAGTAAGTTTACTATTTTTCTAGATTTTATTTACATCATGATTGAATATCATTTCCTCAGAATAATACATATACCGGTATTTATTTATTGGGAATTTTTTGGGAAATTTTGAAAATCATGATTTGAAGATATTTGCATTGCATTGTAATCTAAATGGAAATTGCATTCATGATATGTTATTTTTTCCAGCTGTATTATTAAAGTTAAGAGATACCCTACCAGGACATAATGATTCTATACTATCATGTTGTTTTTCACCAGATGGTAGTTTGTTAGCATCAGGGTATGTATACCACCATTCTGACTTTATAAACTCTATACTCATAACTGAATTGTTTAAGTTTTTATCTGAAAATTGAAATCTTTTTTTTTTTTAATTTTTACTATATTTATTGTAGGTCAATAGATAAAACTATCAGATTGTGGGATCCTGTAAGTAAAACTGTTATTTATAATGAATTTGTTAGCAATACCCTCATACGATCTGTAAATGCTAAGATTATTTTCTTTCTGCAATGGCTCTTATTGATTTGTTTATATGCCGCAGTAATTTTCAGTGCAGCTTAATTGCTGAACTTGCATCAATTGGTACTTTCCATATAGTCTTGCAGAAAGTCTTTAAAGTAAAGTTTGAATAAGATCATGTTCCTATCTACACCAATTAACAAAATGTAGACATAATATTTGTTTTATTTTTTGAACTTGTAGTTGAAAGGTGAAGGTTTATTTACAATAGAAGGACATTCAAGGTAAGATAACTGTGCTGCCTTATTTCATCTTTAATTTGAACCAATTTCAATAATGATTTAGATTTTCAAGTTTAAGTAATATACTGCTGATTTTGTTTCTAGATTCTAAGTAAAGAATGACAAGGTTTAAAACTTAAAGTAAACTTCCCGGTTATAATGATTTTGTTAGATTCTAGGAAAAGAATGACTAGATTTATGTTTATTGATATACTGATGATTTTGTTTGTAGATATGTAACAAGTTGTGCCTTTTCAAGAGATGGTCTAATGTTAGCTTCAGGTTCTAATGATAAAACAGTTATGGTGTGGAAGTTAACCAACACAACATATATTATGAGTAGGTGTTATAAGCTTATATTAGATACTCTTTGTTTATACAAATTCCAAGTACATGTATATAAGATCAGTGTCTTTCATTTTATCCTCTTTAGACTAATAGTTTTGTAATAGGCAGAAAAAATAATGAAATGAGCGAATAAAAGGTTTGAAAATTAATAATTTATAGATGGATTAAAAGGTTATGAAGAACCAGAAGCAAGTACCAGTAATATACAGTCAGTTACTACAGACAATGATATATTAAGTTGGTCTGTAGATGATGTATGTGATTGGATTAGCTCTCTAGGTTTAGAGGATTATAAAGATATGTTTAAAGCTCAAGCTATAGATGGTGCTGAACTATTAGCTTTAAATACTAATGATTTACAATCTGCTTTAGGAATAGGTGAGCTGCTTTCTTATTTACTTATATATCAAAACATACATATCATTTATTATAAAGTTACCTAGTTCATGATTTTAAGACAATGCATTTGGATGGTGAAAATGTCTTTACGGTCTCCTAAAGATTCAATCAAATTCTACTTTTTAACCAACAATAATATATCCAATGCATCTGTGACTTAGTGACTTGCAATGACAGGGCCATGGGATTCTGATGCCATATTTTAGATAAAATAACAAATTTTTATGTCATTTCTATTACAGCACCATTAGGTCATCGTAATAAAATATTACGCAGTAGAAGTAAATTAGAATCCAGTCCACTCAAACATAAACATGACAAATGTGATAAAGGTAACACAGTTAATCTTAGAATGTCAACATTTTGGGGAAATTGTTTGGTCAAATGGCATACCAAAGTAGACATCTGTCCAACAGATGTAACAAGAACTCAATGCACCAGACTTCTCAGAGATAAAAGAATAATTCCTTCTTAAAAGAGTATTGGAGGCAAATATGTAGTATTAAATTTGAATTAAATTAACAATTCGTAGGTTTCAGAAACAAGCCACAGCTGATATTAATTAATTATCAACTCTAATACCATTTGTTGACTTTATTATATCAATTACCTACCTATACCAACTTTCTACATCATGTTTGCAATGAAAAGAGATCATATATTTTTAATGGATGTTTTGTTTTTTAGATGTACCAGATGAATATTTATGTCCTATTACTAGAGAGATTATGGTAGAACCAGTCATTGCCTCAGGTAAGTTAATAGTATACAACCAGAGTCAAATAAAGAATTTTCTACTTGACAATAAAATTAAGTGAAAAGTATTTATTGAATGGTCTTGCATATGGGTGGTATGCAGGGAGACAACTTTATGACAAGAGTTTATCTAAGCATGTAAACTGAGTTTGGGTTATACACTGAATAGAGAAAGCAACCAAAATATGTTGCAAGAGTTCTATTCCCCTGAGTTAATTTTTGTACACCAATAGCTAATTTTCTTGTATATTAATTTCAGATGGTTATACGTATGATAAATCGGCAATCAAAGCATGGATGGAAACTAAAGATAGAAGTCCTATGACTAATTCATTATTGATTCAAAAATCATTGATACCTAATAGAACTCTGAAGATGTTGATACAAAAATATCAACAAACACATAGATAAGGTTACATTGGTTTGAAACTTGCTATCTGATCGGGCTTTAGGTGAGAAATCCAAAAAATCAAAAGGTATTAAAAACAGAAAATTATGGTAGATTTGACCTGTTACCATATTGAGTTTTTATAATTGTTACATCAGGTTAAATAATATTGCTATCATCGTTTTGTTCTGTTTGTGTTACAAACCTTGATTTTTTTGTCATTAGTTCACAAACTAGTTCTGTGATATTTTATAATTTTAAACTACAATATTTGCTGTGCATATACTGTAAAATTAAAGGTTTGGTTGGAGACAAACTGACCAAAATGCTGGTCTAGCTGTTAATATCAGGGTTGCAATCCTTGCCAACTATGATCAATTGTAATTTTCATAATGTGTGTTCAGAAAAAATTACACCTTATAACACCATGATTTATGATGTTGTACACTGTGTGCTAATAACTCCAAAGTGAACTGATGGTACAGGGTAATTGTTATATTAATCATTTTGAGAGTGGGAAATTTTTTAGAATTTTATTACAAAATTGACTTTTTAGGTGGCCAACTCTTTGTCTTCAGTTACTGGGCATCTGTTATCTTAAAAATATGTTCCTATTAATATAAAGCTTTAAAGTGATACTATGTCTCAAAATGAACATAAAATTTAATTCTGAAGAATGGTCAATATGAGTATATAATCATCAGTGAACTTACCTGGTGTCATAAAGTTACAACAGAATCCCTGTAAAATCTAGAAAATTGGAAAATTCATAAAATTAAGTAATTATTGAAAAACGCTTAATCATAATATTAAGCGTTTTTCAATAGTTAATTGCATTTTATTAAGTTTTTTGGATTTATCGGATTATATAAGGATCCTGTTAAGTTTTTTATGACACCAGGTATATCTAATGATGGATATGTTTATTCTAAGACGTAGTATCTCTTTAAAAGAAATTTAAAATTGACAACTTGATATTCAATGATTGAGAGAGTAAAAGTTATCCCTGTTTTTTAAATTTGTATATATAAGATATGCCCTAGATAGCTGGCACTATTTTTACCAGATCTGTTGTTAATATTTTATACTCTAATTAACTTGTAATATAATTAATAAAATCATTTTGTAAATTAAAAAGTACTGTATTATTGAGAAGATTAGGAACATCCCATCACCTCATGCAAGGATGGTGAAGTGGAATGCGTTCATTTTCCTATTGTGTACAATGCTACAGGCACCCCTGAACCAACAAATATTTTCTTATTAATGAATCATTTGTCACAAAAATCCTTTTAAAGGAACAGTAAGTTTTAAATTTGATGAAAATCACTGATTTGATGAGGCTGCCTTCTCTTGTGGATGAGAATAAAATAATCATATTTAAATTAAGAAAGAGTTATTGTTTAATGATATAAAAAGCACATATAATCATTTATGAATCTATAAAATATATATTATTATGTGGGTTATGTTAAGGGTAGCTGGCCTTAAACAGAAATTTACATTATTCTTTTGCAACAAAAAAAACAAAACAAAAACACTTGGCTCTTAATTCCTCATTATAAAAATGTTAATGACATTAGAAAATCTTAACAGTCAACTATGTATCTTGTTCAAATATTTTATTTTGGGGCATGTTTCTTATCAGAGATATATATTCAATCTTCATCACTTGAGATAATCTGTTTCTTTAATACTTTACGTAATGGTATATGATCATTAACATCTGAATCAGAATCTGTACCTTGTGTTAACATAGTGGCTGGAAATGATTCTGAAAGAAAAATTATTACAGAATTATTATTTTGATGGTTTGAATGGAGTCATCCAATTTGTTTTATCATCCTGTTGACATACCATAGCCCTTAATAATATTATTGTTATGGGCATTTACTTTTATAATTTTATCATTTATGTTGTTGAATTTTCTGTCAAGTCTTGTTCAATCCGATTCAATTTGGTAAACAACACCAAAACTAAGACATGATCAACTATCTTACCAGATGTCTTTTTCAATGGTTGATCATCACTATCACTATCAGATTTTATAGTTGACTGTTTATTTTCATTACTAACTTGAGATTCTTCTACCTCACTGTAAAATAATAAGAAAGTCACTAATTAGGCACAGAGAAAATTGTGCATTTGGTTCCAATAACATCTAAGGATGGAAAGGTTTATTTCAAATAACAATATGGATTAGAAAAGATAAGTTATCTAAAAATGAATCAGAAAGAATGAGCAGTGGGCGGAGTTTTATTGAGTTTAACTTTAACTGATATAAGTACTGTGGCAGTTGATACTATCAAGAGAATACTCACCAATCCAGAACACATTATGCCATTCTGCGACTGTGTTTAACAAATGTAAATTTCATTAGGAGAAAAAATGTTGAATACAGGAAAATGATCTTAAATAAGTAAATACCTCTCAGATTGTAACTGTAATCTATAATCTGTATTACTCATTTCTATATCATCATCTTTATTATCATCTTTATCACTCTTATCCTTATTTTCATTATTTATTTCACTGAAATAATATTGAAATATACTATCTTAAAAATAAAGGCATGAAAAGAAATGTCAAAAAACATAAAGAATTTGGAATAATTAACATCTACACAATTACATTTTTTCCCCAAGAAATAGAGTCATGTCATACCTTTCACTGTCAGACTGTAATGTGCGTGACTTCTTTCTATGTATTGATAAATTATTATTGTTTTCACTTTCTGACATTTTCTCTTCCTGTCCATTAGTCAGTTTGATAATCTTGTTACTGAAATAAATATACAAAAACATTGATATCTTATTGTTAACTCCAGGGATTCTTATCCTTTTCTAATAGCTTCTTTAAAAAAAATCATCAGCGTAACATAATACAGTTGTTATTGGCGAACTAGAAGTATTATTTCCGTTTTGAAAAGTGTTGAAGGTAGTTTTAGTATAAACACTTATACATTACCTGTCACTATCAGAATCCACCATCTTCTGGATTTTTCTACCTTTTCTTGCTGGTTTTTGTTTCCTTTTAGATACTTCATCATCACTGCTATCACTAGAAATATAACAGTATATAAGTATTGACTATACATTATGTAAATGGAAGAAACATCAAAGCTTATATAAGTTAGTGAAGGAAATCTTGAAGCATACAGAACTATCATTGAAAGTCCAAAAAAGCATAAGTTACAATTAAACAAATTCTTAAATCATTTAATATCATTTCAAATCCACCATAGCTCACCATTCCTTTCAGTGATTTCTAGAGTCTGGAGATTGGTATCTCACATCCCTATCATCAAAGATATTGAATTTCTGATATTATAATTATTAATATAAGATAAACAAGGATGGTTCCACCCTGAAAATAATAGCCTATGTAAAGTGTAGAGAAGTATTTACCTATCATTATTATTCACTGATCTCTTTCTTTTACGAGATTCTTTCAGAGCTTCTAATTTAGATTTCAGTTTCTTTTTCCTTTCTGCATTTTCTTTCTTTTCTTTTTCTTTTCTTTCTTTCTCTTGCTTCTTTTTTAATTTCTTCTCTTCTTTAGCTTTTTTCTTGTCATTTTGATGGGACTGTTTATTTTGTTGAAGAAGTGAAGTAGGTATTTGATCAGCATTAGAAGGTTCATCATTATCATCTAACTCTAAACCTTGTACTATACAAGTCAATTCATCTGGTGACAACTCTCCAGGTATTCTCCAAAATGCTTCCTAAAATACCACAATATATATAATCTCAGCTTCAAACTCTCATCTTAAGCTTGCTTTGGTCCACTTTGATGTTATATTAAATATGCAGACAAATTTACAAACTTCAAGATGCTGTATCTTTAGTACCAGTACTTAAATAAGTATCTTATCTTTTAAATTATTTAGAGATTATTTTTTTCTTTGACATAATAACCCCCGACTTTTGATTTATATGTATTTACCATGTCCAATTTAAAGTCTTCCTTGATTTCATTTTTATCTTATCAGAACAAAGTATAGAAATGAGCCAGGTTATTAAAACAAATCTAAATTATCATACAAAGTTTTTTTCATGGCAGTCAACCAATTATAAATGACCTCCAAATTACAGGTATCTTTTCAAACTTATAAAAAAAAAATGCAGATGAGGACTTGATTGCTGCAAAATGGCTAACAGAGTGTTCGAGAATATTACAAACCTGCTCGTTAGATGGTGGTGAAAATCCAATATGTCTCATGAATGTTAAAAATTTCTCATCCTCCATAGCATTTTCATTTTCTTCTGTTAAAGGCACAACAGCTATAGGTAAACGGCTATCTGGAAATACAAAATAATACATAATATTTACATGGTCGTACTACACAAAAACTTTAAAGAAACTAATTAAATAAAGTTCAGAATTCTGCTTGTATTTCAAAAGTTAACTCAAACAAATTCTGAAATACATGTAAAATGTCATAGAAATTTTTTAGACCTACAGATTTCTTATTCTTATTGTTGGGTCTGTTGTTTCATCCCACCAGTTTTATAATCAAAATACACAATCAATTAATAATTTAAAAGAGAACTTACTGTTTTTCTGTCTGTTAGCAGCTGTTCTCTGTAATGATTTCTGTAACCACTTCATTTGATCTTTATAACCTATTTCAAAAAAAGAATAATATGTCAATGTAAATTTTGATGTGAATTCGTTTTTGATGTCTTCAAATGCGCATTGATTTAGTATACTGTTGGCTCAAAATCATGGATGAGTCTCATGAATGTTTGATCATGAAAACATTCAAAATAACTGAATGCCACCTTGACAGTTTTAACTTTAACCATACTTACCACATTTAACAATATCACTAATCATCTCTTTCATATTAACAGGTGAAGAAGATGATGAAGGGCCTTTTGGTGATGGATCAGAATCATGTCCACCATGATCACTATCATCATCACTTGCATCATCTAAATCACTACTTATACTGTCACTAGCACTCTTATCACTCTGTTCATTGTGTTCCTCTTCATCACTATTCTGAGCTCTTTCTAATAAATTGGAAGTACAATCTAATCTTCTTTGTCTGGTTTCTTCATCACTACTGGAGAAATCAGGCAGGTTCTCTTCTCCATCATAATTACCCCACACGTCTACAGCACAACAAAAATGTTTTATTTTAGATATTTCGAAGTGATGAAAAGCAAACATATTGCAAATTATGGCACAAATATTTTTATGTTTGAGCAAAGTAAATGTAGAGAAAGAAAGTGTGTTTCTATATAACAACAAAACAATGCTAAAATATTGTTTGAATGATATGTACTGACCTTTTTGAGCTTTCTTCTTTTTGTTTTTATATTTTTTATCAATCTCTGCTCTATGACAGATTAATTCTAAATCTATTAACTTGTCTATAACTTGATTTTTACTTTTACCAATTAATGATAATAGAATATCTCTTAAAGGTTCTGAAATTGAAAATTTTACTTGGATTAAAAGCAGTACTGGTATATTTTGTCTGGTATATTTTGTCTAATTTCTCACTAGCAAAAACAGCTTTATTTCAGCTATTCATTGCTACTATAATTCTGTTTAACAATAATAGTCTTATGTGCTTAAAACTGACATTGAACTTTATAAACCTTTATCTTTATTACAATTAAACATAGTACATTTAAAATAATTTAATATTTCACTTATCAATGAAAATGGCAACTGTCTTTACTAGTCCTTCTCCACAGCAGTGAGCTGCTTAAAATAAATACTTTGGTTACCTTCAGCATGTCTATGTTCTTCAAATAGGGCTCTTAATTTTATCTCATCTTCTTCTTCCCACTGTACTGAGGCCTTTTTACGACTTGCTTTATGTTTTTTATCAACTTGACTTTTATCATAGATTATATCTAACTCTATTAATTTACTAATAACATGAGATTTAGATCTGTTAATATCATCACTGTTTAATATATTACCAATAGGATCTGAAATAAAAACATAATTATTCTCAAACAAACACGATATCATTATAATCAACCATCACATAACTTCCAGCTGTAAATAGGTCTGGATCATCTGGGAAAGATCAATGCCTCCAGAACCTAGTTGTTATCTTTGTAGAAAATTATGTGCTCACAAGATTACCAACTTACAACTTTGTTACAAACCATCCTTAAGTTAATAGGTCGTTATCCAGTACTATTTACAGTGAATTTGTATTCATCATTAAACTAGGAAAACTAAAATTTAAAGCGATCCAAAAAAAGTAATACAAACAGGACACAATTACTTTAGAACTCATTCATTTTAATTTGTCCAATGAGCACACTAGAAATCTAAGGTTACTAATATCATTTACATTCTTAACTATACTATTCATTCAGTATATGGCATATTGTCGTAGAAATATTTGTATTATATATGAATTTCCTACCATCAGAATCTTTATATCTATCATATAATGTTCTTAAAACTAACTCTTCTTCTTCTCTCCATTGTGTAGTATCATACCTAGAAATTTAACATTTCTTTTTATTTTCTAGCTAAATACATTTACTTTATTGTATATATACATATTGTAAGACAAAGTGCAACAAAAGAAGATAAATGCTGTTTGCACTCACAGGAATATGGTACAGAGTTCAAAATTTAACTTTTGATAGTGGTCTCTTTGGCTTTAATACAAAAGTTCTCCGTCAAAAACAGATATCGTTAGTATAATCCTGATTAATCAATTTGCAAACTAAAAAATAAAAATAATTTTCATCAAAAAATCTAGAATGCCAACTATTACCTCTTTTTAGTTTTTAAATCAGCAGCACTATCTATTAAACCTTGTCTTTTTAATTGTCGTATCAACTGATTTCTAGTTTTAGTGGGGTCAGTTAATCTCTCCATGATTCTATCTGCTACATCTTTCTCTGTAATATTATCATCAATCAATATAATATGTCCACATAGCAATGTATTAGTTGACAATTTATCAAGATTTTATAGTAAAACTTGAGGAAACATTTATTGCTATCTAGATTTTTTTTTGTCTGTAACATTATCGATTTTATTGAAAAAAAAAAGATAAAAAAAAAACCAGATACCTGGATCAGTAACTTGACTAGACTCTTCAAATAATCTTAATACTTCCTGTTCTTGTTCTTCTGTCCATGATGATTTACTTTTATTACTATAACGTACAAATATCATTAGAATACATATTTCAAAATTTACACATTAGCTCTAGCGCAAAGTTTTAAAAATTGAGTTATATCCTGAATTCCTACAAAGAATATAGTTATTCTTCTATTTACAGGGCAGTAACTGGAAAAATCACTCCAATCCTCAGTTCTTGTAAGTCTTAAATATCACCCCCAGGAAGATTGAAGATACACTATTGATTTTATTTCGAAATATAGCACAATATGTTAATAAAAGCCTTACTTTGCAGTGTAACCATAACCATGTATTATATCCATAGCTTCAGGACTGCTCTTCCAAAATAATATCTCCATAAATATCTTGGGATTTCCTTCTGCAGCTTTTACAAAATGACTGATAAGATAGGTTCCAAATTTTACCATTTCCTACATAATCATAATAACTAAATGACTACCTTTTTGACAAACCTTGTAGCAGAGTGGCAACGTGTTCCAGAAGGGTGAGCTAATCCTGTCTTGCTAAAAACACTTGTTTCATTGCCTATTGTAACTGAGCCAAAATTCAATAAAACTTTGTGGACTATATCTTACCTTGTATCTTGGTAGTTTGATATAAGGACCATACATTAACAATTGAAAAGTACGAAATATAGAAGCTTGGAATAACATTCCTATATAACCTAACTCTATAGCTACTCTATAGAACATCTTAATAATACAGTGGTTGGTATGAGTTGTATTAGTTTGATATTCAGCTAATAATAATCCATAGCTCTTCATGATACTTCCTTTAGCATACCTATAAACAAATAGATTACTTTATAAGGCATTAATTAACACAACTCAGATCATGTTATCCATATTTATGGACCACTTTCTGGAAAAGACTTAAGAGTGAAATGGTGCCAAATGTTCCTGAATTAGTAAATATAGTATGTTGCCATACAGATAGTATTCTACCTAATTGAATGCATGACAGTGGGCAATGACTTCAACCACAAGACACGAAACAAAAGATTTTCAAAATTTTTAAGACTAACATAAATGAAATGCAAGCTTTGAGAATATTTAAATAGCTTGTGATATAATCATCTCTTAAGTTAATGTATTTGATCCAGCAATGTTATAATCAAATAAAGGGCTACTCACGTATTCAGATAGTTTTTAAAATCAAATGATTGTTCTGCTCTTTCAGTACATTCCATTTCTTCTTCTTCAACTGAAAAATCAATAATCATATTAGAGATCTCTGGTCTCGTCTTTTTGAAATAAAGTAAGGGGATGAATTTAATGTTATTTCAATTGACAATAGTTTATCTTTATCAATTATTTATTATTGAAAAGCAGTAAGCAGATTTCTGGAAACATAACATTGAAGTTTCCCACAAATGATTTATGGAGGTTCTCCTGAAAACAAAGTGAATAGTTATACATTACTACTCATAATCATACCTTCATTGTAACCTTCTTCATATTCTTCAGTTTCTGGCACCGTTTCTGTTTCAGGTCCTACAAAGAACAAAGGCAATAACTCATTTTTTTTTACAACACAGTCACTATCAATTCTTCAATTCACACAGATAGCTTGCCAAGTAATGTAACATACGCCCACTGGCAGTTTTGAATTTGAGTATAACAAACAATTTCACCAATGTTAACAAGTCAACACTTGAACGCTTTTTTAAGAACAAGGGCAATAACTAATTTTTTTAGTATAGGGTTTGTCTTTAGGCCATAATAAACAATTTCAGAAAGTCTGGTCTATATCCCACAAGAATTGTGTCTTGTAGAGTGTTCGCAGTCTAAACATTGAAAGTGTTTTCCAGAACAAGAACTCATATTGAATATTTTTAGAATTTTCAATAGTGTTTACAAACACTCACACCAAGTTTCGTCAAAATCCATCAAGAATTGTGACCTCCAGAGTGTTTAGGACGACCAACGGACTGATCGGGGCAGCCAATATACGCTCCCAGTGGGCGAATAATTATTATTATCCAGCATGTCCAGTAGATTCTGAATTATGAATTTTAGTTTTTGATGGCTCTTTTACTTGGTTTTGCCTGTTAATATTTCTCTATCAATCAATTTACATGTTTTTACAAAGTCAAAAGAAATTTTTATAGATAATAAAGATCAAGTAGGCACCTTTTTTTACCTAAATCTTAATTGAAAATGTTTATGTTTAACAGATTTGCAAGAATTTACTGATAATAACCATGAATTACTAAGTTTTATCAATTTATTCCAACAATATGATCTCACTATTGAAGTGGATGTAAAACAACACCAAAATTATATAAAGTAATTCCTTCTTACAATTGACAGGAAAACATACTTTAATTTTTAACCAACTTCCCGAGTCGGTGAAACTTGATACCACAGTTTTTAAATACCTCCTTTCAATGAGAACAAAATTGATAAAAACCATTGACAGCAATGTTATATTCTATTAGCTGTAGTTGGTGAATAGGTTGAGATTGAATAGTCTAAATATTCTGATTATTGACTTAGTTATTTAAATAATCTCATACAATGTTAAATGGACAATATTATGGACATTACTTATAGTTAATGGATTAAGAATTGTCATCTGGAAATATATATCGGACACAATGAAGATCATTTTGGTGTTACTGTGTTTTTGTCATCTGATCTACAGTGCCAAAACTTGTCCTTCAAACTGTCAATGTCATTTAACTGATAAAGCTGTGAATTGTTACAAAAGAGAGTTACAATTTGTTCCTGCCAATATTCCATTGGATACTGAAATTTTGGATCTTAGCAGTAATGATATTGCCAACATAGATCCAACTATGTTTCACAATTTGACCAAACTAACTGATCTTGTGTTGAATGATAATAAAATATCCAAATTGGATCCACGAACTTTTCAGAATTTACACAAGCTAGAGGTGATAAAATTATCTCAAAATTTTTTATCTACAATTCCAGAAGGCCTATTTGACAATTTACCTATGTTAAAAACCTTGCAACTTTCAAATAATTATTTAACTTCTTTTAGTGCTGTTTTCAAAATTCCTAATAAATTGCAAAATATGGATCTAAATGGAAATAACATTCAAGTTTTAAAAAATCCTGATTTTAGAATGGTGCCTAAATTGATGGAACTTAATCTTTCTCAGAACAAAATAGTGAAAATAGAGAATTATGTGTTTCGACCACTGAGTATGCTTTCAACTGTGTCACTCAATGATAATCCTTTGAAGAACGCTGACAGGTTGCTGAGTAAAAATAGACGTTTATCCTACATTGATATGTCTGAATGTCAACTAACAACTGTTCCTAGAGGTCTTCCTGATTCTATTGAACATCTCAAACTTATTAAGAACAACATCACAAAAATCAAACCAAAAGACTTTCGAAATAAAAACTATTTGAAGATATTAGCATTAGATGAAAATGAGATAGAATTTATTGCCCCTAACAGTTTTAAAAGTCTACAAAAGCTAATTCAATTGTGGTTAAATGGTAACAGATTACGCAAATTTCCATCACCAATTTCACCCTCAGTTACCAATGTTTACCTTGCCAAAAACAACATCACCAAATTATCAGCAGCAGACTTTCCAAGGAACTCTCTCATGACAGAGCTAGTTCTAAATGAGAATTCTATCCAAAGTCTTCAACCCAAGTTATTCAGAAATCTCCAACATTTACATAGATTAATGGTAAATAGTAATAAAATTACTAAACTCAATGGTTTTACATTCTACGGATTGAAGAATTTACAATTGTTATCACTAGAACACAACCTTATAAATACTTTTGAGAAGAACAGTTTTACTGGAATATCATCATTATATGAGTTAAACTTGGCTTCAATATTGTTATCTAATGTGACAGTTAAAGGAAATATTTTTGAAAATTTTCAAAATTTGAAAATATTGGATATAAGCATGAGTGAAGGTCTTAGTAAAGCTATTTTAAATTCTCCAGAAATGATGAAATCTCTTCAGAATTTGGTGGAATTAAATCTTATGGATAACAATCTTCAAACCATGGAAAGTAATACCATGAGACAGTTTCCTAATTTGAAAAAGATAAACCTTGTTGGAAACAGGTGGCATTGTGATCAAGAATTGAAATGGCTGAAATCATGGATGAGTCTTAATGAAGATATGGTAGAGATGAAAGAAGATGTGACTTGTTCCACTCCACCAGAACTACATAATAAAAGAATCCTGGATTTGCAAAAATCACAGTTTGCTGGAATGACCACCAAAAAGACTAATGTCAATGCAGTTTCTACAATGAGACCAAAACTATTGACAACTTTCAAAAAAACAGAAATGAAGACAACAAATATAACAACAACTGTACAAAATATTCTGACCACTCAGACACCACAATCCACAACAAATGATCAAACTCAAACAAATTCCAGCATCAAATTCACTACCATAAAGCAAACTCCACAAATCTCTTATACTACAGAGGATGACAAAAACAAGATGGCCGACATTGAACCAGTAATAGCAGAAGGATATATATCCTACAATCTATCAGGAAATTTTAATCAATCAGATGATAGCATTTTACTGGATGATGATTTGACAGAAGTGAAAGCTGGATATAGTAATTATAATTTAATTATCATTATCATAGCAACAACATTAACATTATTTGTTATACTGGTTATAATCATCATTATCATAATAATTTGTCGCAGACGCGAGAAAGTTGTGTATCATCGCGCTTTACAATATCATAAAGAAAATGGTGATGTGGTATTTTTTGTGGGTGATGTACCACAGTGTGTTGCTACATTGACTAAACCATCGCGTAAAGACTCGAGATCACGTTCTGAAAGGGGATCAACATCATCAAGACCCAATGAGGACATTACTAATGAACTAGATACTACAATGAAAATTTATAGTTTAGATGAAGAATAAACTGACTTAAGTGTGTATATAAGTTTTTTGTGTATGATCAGAAATCAACAAATGCCAAATTTATTTTTATGTTTCTAGTGGAATTTTTAAGAAACAGTAATTAAATTAAAAATATTTATCACTACTTAAAATCTATCTTTTAAAGAGACTGCAAAAATGTTTTTCTTGTCTATGTATGTGTATCAAGGACTGTCATTATCACTAAATGGTGGTAAAGTTTTTCTAAAATTAAGATAAATTAGATGATAAAAGCTATCTTTATGCGTCCCTGATACACATAAATAGCCAATCAATATATTTTCAACTGTAAATTGAGATTTGTTAGTAATTTCTTATTTGAGTTTTCAAAAACTCAAAAGAAATAATCAATCAAATTTAATTTGTCCATTATCCTTTTTGAACATTCATAGACTGGCAATAATAAAAAAATCTACAACTCTGATATCAAGAGTAGGCTTAATTATAGAAAGGAAGTACACTACTGGGAACATGTCAGTTACATTCAAATCAATCTCATTATTTTATATTCATCAAGTAGTAAGATCCTATTCTACTTATATATTAAATATAATATAGTTCAACAGAATGACTCAATTTCTAAGCTGGCTTATTTCAATTATATGTTATAAACTAAACTTACAGAGGGAGTTTATGTCAGATTCAATATATCAAGAAATGTTTTTTCAGATACATTAATATTTGTTAACATGTTAAAGGGACATTATGTTTCTTCATAGGTCAAAAACATAATTGTACAGAATATGTCTTCTATGTATATGTCTTTATGAGGCCCAACACCAAACTTAGTTTAAGCTCTACTTAATTTTTAATTAACTCTTTATAAAAAATTTAGTTTGATCAAGAAAAAATACTTTCAGTTATTAATGTTTTTGAGAGAAAAAAAATTGCATACTGCCCTTTTAAATCATTTTATGTTTAGAAACAATTTAACCATTTAATGCTTTGTGAAATAAATGCCTTTTTAAAAAATATGTGACCTGGATAACTAGACCATAGTAAGAACCATTGTTGAAACCATACAGAATTCTGATAGGCATCATTAACAATAATAGATCAATGAACCTACTTGGTAATGGAGACAGAAATACTTCTCTTATAGCCATAAATTCTTCTTCTGCTGAAATATCTGAGGCACCAAATTCATTTCTCTCTGGCCAAACTTCCCTATAACAAGATAATAATACATTAGCATTAACATCACTATTTATTTCAAAATATATTATATTGTTATCCACAAACCAAGCTGCAGAGTGGCACTTTGTATTGTTGTTTATTCTGTTTCAGCTTCAACAATAAAATATTGGAGAATAAATCTTAATCACAAGCATACCTTGCTGCTCTAAATATAGCCAAAGCTTCACCAGGTTTTTTATCTCTTAATGTATCTTGAATACGAATCATAGCATCAACTCTGAAACAAGACATCAAAACATTTTTATCTACAGACACAGGTTGTTGGTTTTAATTCTCATTTTTATCAATAGCTATCACTATCTTGAAAACATTTCAATATATAGCAAACTGGACCATGTCTTTCAGAATATTGTATATTAACATACAAGCGTTAACGTTATAAATTAACGATATAACATCAAAATGTTTTTCTTCAAGTTTAGTTGTACATGTTATAGACAAGCGATGGTATTTCTGCACATACACGTACAATGTAAACTATATAAATAAGGCATCCACTTTATTTCTATAGTAGTAAATCTTACAAGTTGTGATGAAAGTACTAAATGCACAGCTTATTATGATACTATTTCAACTATTTGCATGTGAACAAATATTTTTTGCTTGTCAAAGTTGTACCTTTGCTGATCAACATCTACTTCTGAAGCAGCATCAAATGGTGAGATATCTGTTGGTATATCTTCTCTACCTTGTATCATAGCAGATAGATCACTAGATATCTCATCCCACATATCTTCTAATTCTATTTCACTAGGTCCAGTAGCTACAGAACTAGAGGATTTTTTCTCTATAATAAAAATATCAAATACATTTCATGACACATGGATAATAACATGGATATATTTATCTATAGATATGTAATGTATATATTAATCTTTATCCTGGACAATTTCCTATGAGTCAGTGTTTATTACCACTTTTTCTCTCAGATAGGGTTGCCTCTACACCATTGTCAGATAACACCCCCTTCCCAAGATATGTCATGTCTCAAGAGAGATCAATCTTACCTTTAGGTTTCTTTTTCCTCTTTGTTTTTTTCTTCTGAACAACAAGAGTTCCCTTTTTACTCCAAGCTTCTAACATCTTAACAAATAGATGTGTACTCTCAATAAGATCTTTTAGATAAGCCCTGAAAACATACATTTTCAATTCTTTGTCACTATTTTAGTTGAAAAAAAATATGACTGATCAATAAAAACAAAATATAATGGAATCATAAGGCTTTTGTTCCTACCTTTCAGCTCATGAATTTTTCATGAATATATTAAATTCTTATTACTTAGTTATTTTAAACAACAAGAAAATAAAAAAAACATACCTTGACATTTGACTCTCATTAAATTTTCTCAATAATGTAACAAATATATCTCTATATTCCATCATATAGAATAAATTACCTACAAGATAATTTTGATGATGAGAACAAAATTAAATGTAAAATGTATGATGAACATATAATACAACATAACAACTGTTTCATTAGTCTCTCAGGTATATTTATCATGTAATTGAGTGGCTGATATATTTCATTATATCAAATTATTTCACTTACCTTTAATAACTTTAGAACTTTCCATTACTTGTGGATTACCAGATCTATCCATGGAATCTAATGTTAACATCAATTCTTGATAGGCTTTTAATGCTAAATGTGCTCTGAAAAATTATCAATAATAACTATTGAATACAAATAGTTTTTATAACTCTGAAAATTGAATGAAATATCTCACTATTTTTCTGTTCCAGGTTGGACTAGTAAAAACTGGCCGTTGAAGACAATTCTGTCAAAACAGCAGCAAAAGCCTACTCTTTCATGCTTTCGAACTGTCAAGAGATCTTCAACAAGCACAAAACCACAGCATCCGATAATCATACCATTTGAAAGACAAGGTGCTTTTTCTACGTCAATAAAGCCTGTCTATTGACATTATTGTTATATATCGCAGAAACATAATTTGTTGTAGTCTTTTGATCATCTTCAAGTCTAGCTTCGTCTTCAACTTCTATTCATATCAAATGAATTCAAATATATCTATGACAGTAAATACACAAGGTGAATATAGAAACTAAATACATCGAAACCCACATACCTTCTTCCCCAAACTTTAGCCTCTTTTTTCTCTGTTATCATCATTTCATAATAATTTAATAGATTAGTATAGATATAATGAAATGTTGTAGTTGACATGGTTTCACTTTAAAAGAAAAAAATATCAATTCAAATTACTTTTCAAGTCAATTTCTATAAACAAAAAGTAGTAAAATGTTCTTGTAATTGCATATGTATGACTGAAAGTTGAAACTGTGCAAATTGGTGGCCTCAGTGTCCCTGAAAAACAAAAATTTAGAAACCATCCCTTTAAAATAATCACAAACATATAAAGCTAAGAATTTAGATTGGCTGCACTCAGATATCTAAGATTTTCTTCTTACCTGACCAACTCCACACGTTTACTGTGAAATCTACAGAATTCCATAAAAAACCTGACAGACCATAAATAATATGTTTCATCATGATCTTGTGTTTTCTCTCGTACTAGGTTATCCTGTAAATAATATATTCTAAATCAAAAGGAGCAGTTAGATATCTTTATACAAACAAATTTTGTACTCTAATCATGTAATGTTTTTTACATTCATATGCTTATCTAAAGTGAAATTAATATTTGAGTCAAAAAGAGAGATTTATAAGTTTTTATGCAAACATTCTAATAATCATCTGGCTTATATAGTTTTGAATATTTCACCATTAAACAAAATTGCTGCCTCTGCATTCGGAAATGTTGAGTGATGTTCATTTTATCTATCAATTTTACTGGTTTCCTCCAATTCAATATTAATCAATGGTAGATAACTACAAATTGTGAAAGTCTTAACGTTGTGGAAAGTATTTTTTTTATTTATTTATCCCTCCTATTCAGTGAGCTGGCTTCCTTTCTCATATATGTCACGTTTTTAAACTCAAGTTCAAGCCCATCCCTAAATGAGCTATCCAAATGAGGTTTTCCATCCGAAAAACACAAATCAGCGAAGGCAGCTCTTACCATATAGGTCTTTCTCTGATAATACATACATGATCTCCAAACTAAGATCTGATGCAATGCATCAAAATCAACAAGAACATATTCTCAGAATCTTTAATAAAGGTAAAAAATCATGCCATTTACAACTCACCTTAACAGCAAACATAATAGGATTATAACAATTTTCTAAAAACTGCACACAAAATTCTTTTAAACACAGACGTATACTTAATGTAGATCTACGACAAACTTCAGTATTTTTGATTGGCTGTCTATTTTTGGCTATTTTGGTTCGCCGTTTCTTATCGTTTAATGTAATGGCTTCAACATCTCCTTTAGCCTTGTGATAAATCATCTCTCTTTCACTTATAGACTTTAGATTCTTAACAACATAGGTCCCACCAAATCTGGAATGTCTACAAAATATAACAATTCCTGAAATCAGGCACATACAACATCACATTTCAACGATAAATACTTTAGAATAACTTCTATTATTTTATCATTTCTAGATCAACTTTTGATAGGTTATTTGTGATGAAGCTTCAAAATAAAGTTATATATTTTAAAAATGAACTATCCCAAAGAGTTTCAAAATGAACTGATTCATAAATCTTCGAGGTATTTATAAAGCTTTAAAATGAACTATTATATAAAATATCAAAGTTGTAATATATCACTACCTTGAGCTCTGTTTTAAGAATTCTGCTCTTCTCTTAGCTCTTTCTTGTTCTCTAATCATTTCTAGTTCCCTAGAGAATAAATTCAAAAAATAAAACAATATCAATGTACACAGTAGAATACAATTTTAACAAGTGGTTGTCTAGCAAGATACGCCCACTTCCCTGATACATTCTTAGTGTATCAAGAGCGGTCACCAATCTGGGTCAAATCGTACCAAAAATCACAGATAAAGTTGATTTAAACTAACACAAAATGTCATCAAATTCTGAAATTAACTGTCACCTCTATCGCATTTACAGGTAACATAAAATGTACAATCAAAATCTTAACAGTCTCTTATCGTATTCATGTACAAATTTTGACATCCCTTTTAGTAATTCAAGGGCCATAATTCAAATTCCATTCAATGAAAATCATTATCAATATAAATTGATTAAAATCAGATGAAAATTTCTCTATTGCATTAACAAATTTTGATTTCAAGAGAAATAACTTAATATCTCATCATTATAAATGATAACACCGAATTTCACATAAATCAGATGAAAACTGAGGGGCGATAATTCAAAACCCACTAATCAAATTAAGTTTATTGCATATTTACAAATAACCAAGTGTTTGCGATAAATTTCAGGTTAAAAGAATTAGAAATTCCTATTAAAATTATATACACAATGATAAATAAATACCTTTCTTCAGCTTCTTTTTCTGATTTAGATTTTTTCACTCCAGCACTGGCCAATACTTCTGGTTTCTAGGTAGAAATACAGAAAATAAAGTGAATAAACTATGATTTTAAAAAATTACAGAAAATCAAACTAAGATTTAATTGAATGTGGAGTGTCCTGGATCAATTTGACGCCAAATTTCAATGTGAAAAGTGATGCTGATCACTAAAAGACAGTTGGTTTAAATTTAATGTTAGGTTAGGTAGACTGTTTTCCTTTAAGAGTTCATTACAAGTAATCCTTGTAATACATTTAGAAGTATCACAGCACATTAAGAAACAACAGTTTTATGGATATAACCTTCTAATTATCATTTAAAGAGAACGTTTCATTACACATACAGGTAACAGGTGAAGACTGATTACATGTGTAGTAAAACTTAAGTTATCAGCAGTCACTATGAGTGGCCTTCTTTTATAATGTACTAACTTTGTTAATTGACCTATTATTATATATTCTCAATGCTCTACTATTTTGGTTTCATTGCTTAATAATGACAGAATCAAAATGTTGCATTAGTCATCCATTATAAAATCCAACCTAGATAACTGTTTAGACTACTAACCTGTTCTCGAAACATTAGAGATATAATTTCTAATATATGCATACATAACTGTCTCTCATCATCAGCACTAGCAATATACAATAACATATCTTCCATACCACTCACATGAAATACCCTACAAAATAAACACATTACTTTAAATGGTGATTCTAGTTTATATTTACTAATCAAGAGTTTTATAAAAGACACATGTCAAATAAAACACACATCAAAAGATAATATAAAGTAGATCTTATGTGCTAAAACAACCAAAACACAACAATATGAGCTCTTACCAGATAACTTGATCATGTAAACTAGCATCATCATCTGTTCTCTGTAAAAGAAAAATATGAATTATCAAGCTTTAATGTTACTTATAAAATTTTCAACAACCATAGAGAGCTTAAAATGATACGTAAATTACAATCATGGTATGACAGCCAATAGTTGTATTCCAAACAGACAAAAATTAAATCTTAAGTTTGAATTGTGCAGAAGTAGTAGACAATTAAACTGCTGTTTCATCTACACAAGGGCAAAGTTTTTTACCTTTTCCATGGAAGGATCTGGAGCTATATGTAAAACATTACGTAACAATATTAACATTCTCTCTAGAGTTAATTTATCTTCTTCTTGTCTGTGTTCCCAATCCTTTACAAATAAAAACATTCAATTCCATCTATAACAGTTCACTAATGAAAACATTTACTGAATAAATCATGGATATAAATGATGATGAATTCTTTGAATTTCAAAGAAAATAAATTGCAAATAGACAATTTGGTCCAGCTCAAAAGAGATTGAAATTTAAACACAGATTTGCATCAGTCTGTGGAACTGTTAGGGTCAGAGTTTTTATAATCAAAATAGTGCAGCAAGTCTCTTATTCTCCAATGCTATATACTTTTTTCATTATCTTGATCTTTTCATTTCAATTAAACTTTTCGAAAAATTCTTTAATTTGAAAGAAAAAAACATACCAATTTCAAAATATCTCCAATCTTTTCAGTTAAAACAGCAAATAATTCTTCATCTACAAATGCCTTTAACAAATAATGTAAATTTTTCATTAGTTAACTTCATTTTATGATTTATTTCTTGACTATAAACACCATAAACATTCAAGAAATATTTCTGTGCAATGAACAATCATGAAAGTAAAAGTTCCATCTTAGACAAGAGCAAGATTCCATTGTACAGATATTTTCAAACTTGATCATAACCTACCTCTTTATAGTTATACAGATGAGATTCAATTTCTAAATAATAATTTCTTAATGTCTTATCTTCTGGTATTTGGTTATTAAAACACAAATAAGCTGGTTGAGTTAGATTTACCAATAATCTGAAATATAATTATAGGTATTATATTAAAAACATATCTTGGTGTTTTACTTTTAGTTAGAGTATAAAACTGGACTAAGAGTTAAGACCCAAGAGAAAGTGTCTTTACTATTTCAATAATATCTGCAGCACCAAGTTTGCAGGGCAGAAAACTCAGCTAAGAAAACCATAGAGACAGTTCCTTGCAGTTGCCAGATCATTCTTTGTTTTCAGCTTGTCAATGATAATATCAACAGTGGAGGGCACTTTTGAAGGTCCTGGCCACGTATTCTCGAAACGATCTTAGCGCTAGGATGTCCTAGAATCAATGCTAAAAGAAAAGAACTTAGGAAATCCTAGCGCTAAAATCGTTTCGAGAATACAGGGCCTGACGTCAATGTTAATAGAAATGTTATCCCATTGAATTTTTGTGGTTGATATTTTTGTTCTTCAAAATAGATGAAATCATAAAAGGTTTCAAGATCAGGTGACTGGAATTTTGTGTTGATAAGATTAGCTATTTAGTTTTGTACTGATGAGTGTAGAAAACAAACTTTTACTGGCAGCCTAATTTCAATGCTAAACCATGCTTAATCAAGCTCCTGATAGCTTTTAAAGAAGTAGTCTTCTAAATATGTTTATGAGGAATTTTCAACACAACCTGAATGTCTTCAGTCCATAAGTGAGAAATTTCAAACATGCAGTATTTAAGAAGATATGAACAAACCGTAAAACAGTATCAAATAATACAGCATCATCTTTATAGTACTTGATTAATTGTAGTAAATCATTCTGTACTATACCAGCATGTCCTAGTTGTCTTCTAATATCACATGTATCATCTTCTCTCTTTAAAAATCTTATCAAATCTTTTACAGTTTCTAAAAAAGAGCCTTAACTATGAACCATCATGCATTGAGAAAATGAAATGAAAGAAATTTTTACGCCCTTGTCTTCTGCACCTTATCAGGCTAATGAAGACAAGCATGCCATGCAGTGTGCTATGAGGGAAATTTTGCCTACTTTTTTTTTTTTATTTCCAACCGTAGAAGGATTTTTAACATGCACAGCACACAGGGCCTTTCTTTATTGTCCCATGCAAATGAATGACTAGACACTTCCATGTCAGACCTAAACTTAAATGGGTTTTTAAGAACAAGGGCAATAACTCATACTTAATATTTTATGATTTTTCTTATTTTCAATAGAGTTCATTCTTGGGTGATTATGAACACTCACACCAAGTTTCGTCTAAAACTGTTAAGAACTGTGCCTTCTGGAGCGTTTACCAGCTAAAAAACGTTTTCAAGAAGAAGGGCAATAACTTATACTAAATATTTTTCGATTCTTCTGATTTTCAATAGGGTTCATCCTTGGATGTTAATGAACACTCACACCAAGTTTCATCAAAATCCATCGAGAATTGTGTCTTCTAGAGTGCTTACGAGACAAAAATTAAACACGTTTTAAAGAACAAGGGCAATAACTCATACAGTACTAAATATTTTTCGATTCCTCTGATTTTTCAACATGGTTCATCCTTGGGTGATTAGGAACACTCACTCCAAGTTGTGTCAAAATTTGTTTTGTTTAATTCAAATACAGTACTAAATATTTTTCGATTCTTCAGATTTTCAATAGGGTTTATCCTTGGGTGATAACGAACAATCACACCAAGTTTCATCAAAATCCATCGAGTATTGTGCCTTCTAGAGTGCTTACAAGACAAAAATTAAACACGTTTTAAAGAACAAGGGCAATAACTCATACAGTACTAAATATTTTTCCATTCCTCTGATTTTTCAACATGGTTCATCCTTGGGTGATTACGAACACTCACACCAACTTGTGTTTTGTTTAATTCATCTTGGTGAGCTTATTTAATCATTATGTGTAGAACAATGAGAGTGGTAGCACATAGTTAATAGTTTATTATTTCCTAATTCAGGCTGTCCAGCACTCATTGACGAAAAATAAGGGGTAATTGTAGTGCTAAAATTTATAAATTTTAGGGGGTTTGATTCACTTGCATCTGAGGCTATTCCAAACAGCACTCCTTGTTGACGACGTACAAAGATCGTCTGTCGAGTAGAAATACCAATAAAATAGGAATTGACATTAAAAAAACTGAACTTTCTTAGAATTTCCCCTTGATTTCAACATCTTTAATGAATTTTGGGGCCGCTGCACGATCTGTCAATTGGCAAAAATATTGTCCTGTTGGATCAAATACATTTAATGTCATTAAAACTTCACTTTGACAAAAAATAAGCTTGTTTCGCTTACCTAGACAATCTGGTTCTTTGATATATCTTTTTCCTTCTAAATAACCCAGAGCACTACAGGTTGCCTGAAGTTCAACATGCATCACCATTTTCCAATCTGTTTACACAATCCTCTCATTTCTCTATCGAACTGTAAAATTTGGTAGTGGTGAGTATGGTACCTTAAACTATTTCAGAATGGTAATTTCTTTTTGCTATTATTATATATCAACTTCATCAATAAATATACATTATTAAGAAATTCAGCACATAGCGAAGTGCAATTTAAGTTAAAATGAGCACTTTTGCAATATAATATTTCCTTTGATCAAGACGATCTGCAAATCAAACCAAACTGTATTTTCTTCCGTGAGGATTATCTGTCAAATCTAGGAATATACTATGGAACTTTGGTTGAATTTTTCTTACTTCGTGTATTTATTACAATCTGATTTTATATTTAGAAAAAGGCACAAAACAGAAAGTGTTTTGGAATTGTCAGTATTATTCTATTTATAGCTCTATGAACTTTGACACATCGCGCTACCTGGTGTAAGATGACGGCATAACTTCCCCTCAATGGCATAAATATACGAGTTGGTATTACTTTGCGTCACTTGGTGTCATTAGCCGGCATAACCAGATTTTTGCGGAAACAGTGTAAATTTGCGAGTTGGTATTAATTCGAGACTTGATTCTAGTATCGTCGAATTTAGATTATAATCTTTCAACAGCTTGACTAATTCAAAATCTGTGAACTGCCCTTTTTGCGTTAATGGCGTTCCATAATATACCGAAACTTATGGTACCGGTATCTATAATCGTAAGGAATTAACGTTGTTGTTAACATTAACATCTTCCTTAAATCCACAAGTGGAACATATTGAAATGCTACCAAATTTCAATGAAAAGCGAGCCAAATTTTAAATAGATTTGGTGTGATAAATTTTTCAATCTAAAGTTAACACAGGTCCATAGCCATATACAACACTGTAGTCCATGCAATTGCTAATCATTAGCAATTCCTTTACGATCTTAAGCCTAGTATTAGCACTCTGTGGTAATATTTCAAATTTGAACCTTAAATACACTTTCATTCAGAATATTACATGTGAATATGACCCATGGCATTTTATTGACACTGTGGAAACATAGTCCAACCATAGGTCATTGTCTTGGCAGTGTCGAAGCCCCATCCCTTGAAGTTCTGTCAATATTAATACAATATGGGCAATGTGGAGAAAATACTGTCAACTTCGTGGGCCTGGGTGTCAGATGACACTCATTTCATCTCCATTCAAGACCATCTAAGACTTACTACAGTACAGTCAAGTAACCATATTTCGTGCTAACCTATTTTTCGTGCATTTCTGGTCATGATTAATAATTTGCTTGTGCGACCTCGTGCGACCTCACATGATCCACTAGCGGATTCACGCTACGTATCTTATTTTGTCAGTCACTATTTTTTTTTTTAAAGCGTGGTCCTTTGAAGGAATTGTCACTAGTTATAATGAATTGATATTCAAGGTAAATACTAAGAGAAGTTAATTGTACCATCCAGTATCCATACTACGTGTTTTTCTCGACTTGTTTATAGATCAAACATTGTACACGAAAATAGGTGACACATTCTGCTGCCGTTGCCGAGTTGGTTACTCGTGAAAAGGTCAAAGTGAAAGATTCATAAAGAAAATCGAAACAAACTAATTTTAATTATTTTGTAGAATATCTAAGGAAACATCTAGAACATAAAAAAAAAAATTTCGTTTTTTAATTTTGACGAAATTCGGTGTTGAATCCTTATAAACACGAAAATAGGTTACACCACTGTCCTACTTTAGAATTAATATTTCTATTCAATGAAATAGTGTCATTAACCCCGTAGAAGGCTAGTAAGCCACGATAAAATATTGCATATCTGTATCAACGCAGAGGTGTACAAGCATATGTTTTAACAGATTAAACCATATTTACTTGATTGGACGAGTTATCAAATTCAAACAAGACAGTTATCGGTTTTAATCAAATTCCATTTTTATTTCACACCATTTTTTGTTGACATTTATTTCCCGCTAATTTTGTAGTCGCGAGTAAATCGGCGATATTTTTGCTGAGAGTTATCTTCCCTTAAAAACCTTGTTCGACTGTACAGACAGTACCATTGTGGTTGCACGTTGTTTCAAAGCACAATTCCGTCTGAATACTTTCTACCGAAAATCAGATTTTGGTTTATAGATCATAGTAGAAACAAATTTTCTGGTGTTCGCTTTTAGTTTTACTTAGGTTAGGGAGTTTTAACCTGAGAGTTAATTACCCCTAAATTGTTAATTTTGAGGGTGATGAGGCACCCAGCATAAATTGTTGACCATTATAATTTAAAGGGACGTGCGCCATTTTGGGAGGATAATTTTAATCTTGAAAATATGTTAATAATCTTCAGAAGAACTAGAATTGTCAGAAAATCGCATAGGCCTCTATAATTACCTAAAAAATACTTCAAACTAGGAATTTTACTTACTATTTCTTTATGTCTTTTCTATAGATCTCAGCTAGAGTATCTTAATTCAAACACGGACCACATAATTAATAGACGTACGGTATCTATTGCTCTGTGGCACAGGCCAGTGCTTTCATTGAGACTCGTCTCAATTATACACCCTAACACGGATAATTCTGGACACACGACAGTGCAATAGTACTGATTGGCTAAGCTAAATGAATTCCCGTCTCTGAGACTAAAGTATCATTGGTCAAATGAAATCGCGCAAGCTATATTCCCCGACATAAAAAATGATTGCAGCGAAAAAAGCACGAAATAGACAGTCCCGTTAGGGTGTGGTCCGTGGGAGCTGGGCATCAGCAAGTGCGAATTAAGCCCCAGCACAAGTTCAGCAGAGATTGATTCATTTACATTGTCTTACTATTTGTACAAAATCAAAAAAGATAAAGATTTTGATATGTTTTTGGCACATCAACATTGTCAGAAATGAGTTCTGAGTCCTAGCACCAATTCATTCCTGGTGACGGGCCGTGTATTCATCCTTTGTTGATAAACAATTTTACCAAGTTTTGTCAAAATCCGTCAAGAATTGTGCCTTTTAGTTTCTCTACAAGGGTAATAACTATATAACTGAACATTATGTTCTCTGATCCTCCAGAGTGTCCAATCTTAAACCACATAAATATTTAGGCCCTGCAATTTTTGGGGTGGAGGGGTGGTTGGATTTGGTTCAACTAGTACCTGTAGTAGTTGAGCCACCGTTTCACCAAGTTTTGTTTAGTTCCGCCAAGAAGTCTGTCCTACCTATTTCTATCATCAAGGGAAATAACTCTTTAAATATATTCTGATGTTATCAGTTCATCCTTGGGTGATAATGATCAATTTGACCAAGTTTTGTCAAAGATGGGTTTTTTTTTAGTGTCAAATTAAGAAAAATGAAAATATTTGGCAGTATGGTAACAATTACCAGTATGAAATATCCAACCTTCGGCTACACTTCTTTTGAACTTTTTGAGGCGATACTGAATAATATTACCAAAATCTGTTAAGAATTGGACCTTCTAGAGTGTTTACAGGCTTAAACTTGAACGTGCTACAAATTGAATGCATTTTCAACAACAAGGGTAATAACCAATTATATTTCGATTTTTAATATGGTTCATCCTTGGGTGATAAACACTCACACCAAGTTTCATCAAAATCCGTTAAGAATTGCGCCTTCTAGAGTATTTACGAGCGTTTTAAGAACAAGGGCAATAACTCATACTAAATATTTTTCAATAGGGTTCATCCTTGGGTGATTACAAACAGACATACTAAATTGCGTCGAAATCAATCAAGAATTGTGCCTTGTAGAGTGTTTACGAGCAAAGGGGGCGGACGGACAAGGTGACAATATACGCGCCCCATTTCACGTGGGCGTATAAAAAGACTTTGACCTTCTTGATCGGTCAATGGTATTTTTCCAAGTCATTAGAACACTTCTACGTTCTATCAGAAAGTATATTAGCATTTTCATAAATGAAAATAAGGGAACCCATCTTTAAAAGTCCGTTAAAAATTTTGCCTCCAATCGTGCATATTCGAGTTTTCAAAGGGATCTATCTTGGGCGATAAATTTCACCAAATTGTCAAGAAATATTCCTTCGAGGAGTTTGTTTAAAGAGCAATAATTCATTTTTATACGCCCACATAAATATTTGGTCGTATATTGTCGTCGCCTCTGTCCGTGAACATTTCTTGTGAGCACTATAGAGACTACACTTTTCATCTGATTTTGATAAAACTTGGTGCTTTACATTGATAAGATCTCGGTCAAGATCGAATTTAACACATTTTCGATAAACGGTTTTTGAGATATTGCCCTAGACTTTGTTAAAACGTGTCAGAACTTGTTTTCTTGCCCTTGATAAGAGCTGTGTGATTTAATTGTTTGTTATATTTGGGTTATTGATATCGATTTTGAAATTTTTTTGTAGAATTACTGAGCATAAATTACTGGCATATATTTATGAAATTGAATTCAAACTAATAAAGTTTCTTCAATATGTGAAAATTCGTGGTTTAGTCACTAAAGACGGATTTTATCATTTCTGACAGCTGCCAGTGGGCCTATCTTACCTTGCCTCGCAAGCTATCTTAATTATATTAAACGATTTCAGATTTCAGATTTTTTCGACTTTAAGAAAGTTCTTAAAAGACCTTGGTAGTTAATCGAAATCATCCAGACTTATTGGTCCCCACTTTTCAGCTCTGACCCGAACCAAGACCAATTAATATTTATTGTGCTTTAGACCACTGGCAGATAAATGAGGCATTTACAAATGAGTGGCTTGATAATTATCACTGGACATTTTAAATGCAGCCTTCCTAATGGAGAATATTCAGTGCATATTGATATTTCACTCATAGATTAGGTTGATAACAACAACATAAGAAAATACTTTTTAGTGTGGGGTATACTAAATCAAATTATCACATTTATTTACTGTTCGTATGATTATCAATATAGATGAATTTATACATTCAAGATAAAAAAACAAAAACTAGAAACATTTCAGAATTTAACTTTTACTTTCGAAGGACACAATAACTTTAGCTATATGTATTCTTTATTGAATACACCTTATTTTGATCTTTAATGAGTGATGATGAAACTAGGAGATAAATAATGTAACAATGAAGTTGAGAAAGCAGTAATGTTTTCTTAACTTATGAATGCATGGCAATAAGTTTAATCTACTTCTTCAATGGTTGGCCCACCAGATCCATCACCACCGGGAGCAGCTCCTGCACCAGCTCCAGCAGCACCGAAGTCTGGCATACCTCCAGGCATACCACCGGGAGCCCCTCCAGATGCTTGGTATAGTTTGGTAATAATTGGATTGCATACACCTTCAATTTCCTTCTGTTTGTGCTCATATTCATCTTTATCAGCGAGTTGATTTGAGTCCATCCAAGCAATGACATCATTACATTTATCAATGATAACTTTCTTGTCCTCTTCACTAATCTTATCTTTCATCTTCTCATCCTCCACAGTGGTCTTCATATTGAAAGCATAACCTTCCAAACTGTTCTTGGCAGCAATCCTGGTTCTCTGGTTCTCATCTTCATTCTTGTACTTCTCAGCTTCAGCAACCATCTTTTCAATTTCATCTTTACTAAGTCGACCTAAAATAATGATGCAAATGTTTTAAACTCTTTTATTGAACAGTGCTACTTCATTAGTTCAATTAAGGAAATGTTCAGACAGCCAAAAAATTAGAATCTTGGGCCAGATCAAGCCTCAAAGGCACTGCGAACGTGTTTAATGGCAACTTCATCACAACATTCCAAATAAGATTTCATGGAAAATAGTATTAAACTTACCTTTGTCATTGGTGATGGTGATTTTGTTCTCTTTGCCAGTACTCTTATCAGCAGCAGATACATTGAGAATACCATTAGCATCAATGTCAAAAGTTACTTCAATCTGAGGAACACCACGTGGGGCTGGAGGAATACCACTGAGTTCAAATTTACCCAGTAAATTGTTGTCTTTCGTCATGGCTCTTTCTCCTTCATATACTTGAATCAGGACACCAGGTTGGTTGTCAGAGTATGTAGTAAACACTTGGGTTTGTTTGGTAGGGATGGTCACATTACGTTTAATAAGTGGAGTCATCACACCACCAGCTGTTTCAATACCAAGAGAAAGAGGAGCTACATCCAACAATAAGAGATCTTGGACAGCTTCAGATTTATCACCAGTTAAGATGGCAGCTTGTACAGCTGAAAAAATAAATAAAAAGAATTTAGGAAACAATATAAATTAACAAATAAAGGAAAATAAATATTGAATTGTCGAGTTCATACATCCAAATAGTTATACAGCAAGTTCAGAAAACTTCTGAAAAGCACTGCGAACGTGTTTCATGGAAAACTAATCATTACCCGAATTAAAATAATGCTTTTTAGCTCATCTACATATTAATCCAACATTTACTTCATAAAAATACTCATTAGTTTATTGATCTGGTTCATACATCCAAATAGTTATACAGCAAGTTCAGAAAACTTCTGCAAGGCACTGCGAACGTGTTTATTGGAAATCTAATCATTACCAGAGTGCAACTCTCTAAAATATTGCTTGTAATGTCAACCTACCTGCTCCATAAGCTACAGCCTCATCAGGGTTGATGCTTTTACATAATTCTTTATCATTAAAGTAATCTTTCAACAACTTCTGGATTTTGGGAATTCGGGTGGATCCACCGACTAAAACAATGTCGTCGATTTGGTTCTTTTGAAGTTTAGAATCTAAGATGGCTTTACCAACTGGATCTAGGGTACCTCTAAACAGATCTGAACATAAATCTTCAAACCTAGCTCTGGTAATAGTGGTGTAAAAGTCAATACCCTCATAGAGAGAATCAATTTCTACATTAGCTTGTGCACTGGAGGATAGGGTTCTCTTTGCTCTTTCACAAGCTGTTCTTAATCTTCTAATAGCTCTTTTATTGTCACTGATATCTTTCTTGTGTTTCCTCTTGAATTCAGTAACATGATGGGTGACCATTCTGTTATCAAAATCTTCACCACCCAAATGAGTATCACCAGCCGTAGATTTCACTTCAAAGATACCATCTTCAATGGTCAAAATAGATACATCAAAAGTTCCACCTCCCAAATCAAAGATAAGGACATTCCTTTCACCTCCAACCTGTAAACAGAGATAGTTACCACATAAATATAGTGTCGACATCCAACCAATGACTTTTCATACAGATTAGGAGTGTTGACAATTAAAGGGACCATACAATGATATAGGCAAAGTATGGAGGGTATTTGTCAATATAATCTAGCACTTGTAATAAACCACAGATACAGAGTTCTGATAGATGTGATCATCTTCTATATATTACAAGTGCACATCACAAAATGTTTACTCTAGCTAGAAATAACAGAAAGAGAACAAACCTTTTTATCTAAACCATAGGCAATAGCAGCTGCTGTAGGCTCGTTGATAATACGCAAAACATTTAAACCAGCAATGGTACCAGCATCTTTAGTGGCTTGTCTTTGAGAATCGTTGAAATAGGCAGGAACTGTGACAACAGCATCCGATACTTTCTGTAAATAGAAACAATAAATCAGTTTAATTTGTTAATAAAAACTTCAGCTAGAGGACAGTTCTCAAAGAAAAGACTCAGTCCAAGGAAGGCAGCCCTTGTGTATAATCAGGTTTCATCCATAGGTTACTTCATCATAGTCAATTCTATCCAGGTTTAAAATAGATTTTGTATGTAAATTAAATAGAAGATTGAGAAAGACTCAGTCCAAGGAAGGCAGCCCTTAATTATAATCATACTAATCATAATCAAAATTTACATCATTGTCAGTTCTCAAATTCTACCAAATTTACCCATTCTCTAGACAATTCAGTACCTTGCCAGCAACATTTGTAACAATATAACCATTATAATACTATATCTAATTAGTTTAATTTCACGAGGGCTTTGTGAACTCACGAGATATTTACCTTTCCCAGATAAGCTTCAGCGGTTTCCTTCATTTTAGTCAACACCATTGATGAGACTTCTTCTGCTGCAAATGTTTTCAATTCATTTTTGTATTGTACTTGAATTTTTGGTTTGGTGTTATCATTTACAACAGTAAATGGCCAATGTTTGATGTCATTTTGTACGTGTTGATCGTCAAACTTTCTACCAATTAGTCTCTTAGCATCTGTATAAGAAAAAATAATATCAATTGATGCAATTCAAAGCTTCCAATAAATCAATATCAAAATTAACATTAAGCTTTTAAAATCTTTTTTGAAGTGAACTTTTTTTATGAAAATATATTTAAGGTTTCCACTTTTAATACATAACCTACCAAATGATCTTTGAATGGCATTTAGTAAAGGTGTTCATTCATTGCTTGATAAAGACTAGAGAACATTGGTCAAAACGTCGCTCAAATAAAGTTAGTAATTGTAATCCATAAGAATTTTTTCATTATAACCTACCAAATACTGTGTTTTCTGGGTTCATAGCAACTTGATTTTTTGCAGCATCACCAATCAATCGTTCGGTGTCTGTGAAAGCAACATAACTAGGGGTGGTTCTGTTACCCTGATCATTGGCGATAATTTCAACTTTTCCATGTTGAAAAACACCCACACAAGAGTATGTGGTCCCTAAATCGATTCCTACTGCCTGTGCCTTCGCCATTTTCGTCTGAAAATTAAAGAAATTAAACTAGAGTTCAGATCAAATTCATAGACTCCTGTCCAAGCCTACAAAGAACGAATATTTTTGATAAACCTACATACCATACTGCTGTATGATTTATGAAGATGTGTGAAGATCTCATTTGCTTAAGAACTACCACATAGAAAAGTTAGCAAAATACAATTTTCATCCAGAACTTAAAACACTGATCTCGCTCTCAGATCCAGACATCATCTCAATTCAACAAAATTTTGTTAAAAACTTAAGCTAGCAGATGATGGAACAAAAATTAGTGGTTTGGGTTACGATTGATTTCTAAAATCACTAGCGTTGAAATCGGTAGTACAGTTGTGTAACCTATTTTCGTGGATGTAAGGCTTCAACACCAAATTTCATCAAAGTTAAAAAAACGAAAAAAAAAAAATGTATTTCTCAGATGTTTCCTCAGATATTCTACAAAATAGTTAAAATTGGTTTATTTCGATTTTCTTTATGAATCCTTCACTTTGACCCATATTTCATGAGCAAGCAACTCGGCAACGGCGGCAGAATGCGTCACCTATTTTCGTGTACAATGTTTGATCTATAAATAAGTCTAGAAATACACATTGTATGGATACCGGGTGGTATAATTAACTTCTCTTAGTATTTATCTTTAATATCAATTCATTTTAACTAGTGACAAAATATGATACTTGCTAAAAGTCACTGAAAAAAACATAAGAATATGGTCAACTTTGTGTTCCATAGAAATTTTCTGACACAGAATCCGCTAGTTGATTGACTTCATTCGTTGGAATATATTCTAGCAGACGACACTTGGAATTCCGATTACCGCTTAGGATTATAAGGAAATTCGGCCGATAAAAACTGGTGACGTTTGGTAATAAGTGAAATCCGCCATTTTGTATTTGTCAAAATATACATTAATACATTTTACCTTGCTTGAAACTACTGGATTCATTCTACTAGCTGATATTGCAGAGAAAACCCATGTTTATTAAAACAAACTAATGCAGAGGTCGCGCAAGGAAGCTCATGTAAATTATTAATCCTTTCCGGAAATCCACGAATAATAGGTTTCCACGAAATTAGGTTACTTGACTGTATTATATCACACCACGTGCCAAACCACATGAATAATCCAACCACGTGGTTAGAACATTCTAGAAATTTCCTTTCCTCCCCTATGAAACCGAAAGAAGGATTTGTAGTGTTTATTTCTTCCTCAATTGGGATTAACAGACCCATCCAACCGAAGACCATATAGCTTTAACATTTAAGAGCAGAATCGTGTGTCGACATATGTCATAAGCGACTAAACAAAGGGTAACACCTCAATTCAGTCCTCATTTTTGTTTCTTTTAGTCTAGCCCATTCAGTTTATCCATAAAAAAAAATATCATAATGAAAACTATTCATTGCTCACAGGAATACAGTGAGATATAAATATTTCATTTCCCATAGAATATTCTTAAATTGTTACCTGTTACAAAATTTCTTTCTCCTCGATCTAGCTTGTGACCAGCTTCTTCTAGTTCAACGCCCTTTGTCTGAAATAAATTACTGAACACGCCGGCTGCTGTTTATAAACTCGGATGTGACGTCAGAATCGAACTTTCTAGAATTTTTATTAAAGGCGTTTTTGGTCGGCCGATTTGATTTGGTTTAGATTTGCTAGTACGATTTGGTGCAATTTCGATTAGATTAGCAGTGGTCTACAAATGCGAAATTTGATTATGTGATTAGGCAATATGGCTGCCTTCGCTGACAGCAACAAAGGAAAGAATTTTGATAATTATTGTTGAACTTCCACATGTCGACATCTTGAAAAAGTCTAATCTAAATGCCTAGCAAATGATAAGCCCAATCAGTATAGGTAAACTTCCTCATAAATGTACCGCTTAGCCTAAACTTCCTGGCTCACAAATGCACAAAATAGCTAATCTATCAAATCGACAAAAACGCCTTCGATTAATTGGCACTGTAGGGTGAAAAGCTCTTTACCGTTGTACTGGATAACATTGTCTTATGTAAAATAGCGTCTCCAAAACTTAAAATACGTGGTCGATAAAATAGTTTGTTCGAGATGATGTCAAGTCATGTTAGATGTTTCTAGAAAATGACCACAGTTCCAGTCCATAGAGTAATTCATAACATGTTAAATATTATTTCTCTAGGCTAAAAGCTTGGACTAATGACTGACTACTTTAAGTCACATAATCTAATTATATAGTAGGACTTAATAGACATTATCTGCTGTCAAAGTTACAGGTCTGTGGAGGCCAAATTCAGTCGATTTTCCTGGCAGAATCCCTGCATCCGATAAATATTGCAAGTAATTATTCAAAAATTCTTAAAATTTTAAGTCCAACTTCGATCTAGGTCCACTGATGTTGTAATATATATTGGCCAAGAATTTTAAAATTTATGTCCATCCTAAGTAAACATTTAAGTGACATCCGTCAAGAGTATATTTCACTTAATGGATATTTTGGAGTTCAACGCTTTTAAAGTTTACAGAATAACGGCAAAAATTACCCGTTTCCATGGCTCATATAATGAAGTAAAACCTATTCTTTAATGAAAGTCATAGTGTTAATGAGATTAGTGAACATCGATATATTATTCAAGATATTATAGAAGATTTAATTAAGTGTTTTACAAATATATAAGATCATTGATGCGGTCAGACTTTGTGTTCATGCACTTCCGGTTTTATTTGATGAAATTTCGATTAACCAGGCGCTAAAACATTTCATAATACCAGTGACCTTAACCTTGGTCTCGTAGAATAAACTCCCAACATGAGCATGTTGTCCTGTAAAGAAAATATCATTTATTAACCAGGTTCTTAACAAAATTACGACTATGTCTGCATTTATGAATAAGGTTTGGAGGTTCATAACTGAGCCAAGTGAGAAGACAAAGAAGGTTAGCCTAAAGAGGCTAAGTGATGCAGACATCAAGAAAATGAACGAGTCGGACCAATTTTTTCTCAAATATATTGAAAGAGAAAATATTGCCCGCGCTGAAGAAATGATCGTTTACAGAAGAAATATACGCAGAATGGCAATTGGACTTGCCATATTTTCATTATCTATATGTATCCTTTTTACAAGTCACATTGTTTACAGGAATAAAATTACAGGACAACTCTGGAAACTACCAATTTTGACGATGCAATGGCACTTATATAATTACAGTATAGTACAGTGGTGTAACCTATTTTCGTGGATATAAGGATTCAACACTGAATTTCGTCAAAGTTAAAAAAACGAAAATTTTTTTTTTATGTTTTAGATGTTTCCTCAGATATTCTACAAAATAATTAAAATTGGTTTGTTTCAATTTTCTTTATGAATCCTTCACTTTGACCCATATTATCTATATTGATCTATAAATAAGTCTAGAAAAACACGTTCTATGGATACCGGGTGGTATAATTAACTTCTCTTAGTATTTATCTTTAATATCAATTCATTATAACTAGTGACAATTCCTTCAAAGAACCACGATTTTAAAAAAAAATAGTGACTGACAAAATAAGATATGTAGAGTGATTTATTGCTAAAAGTCACTGAAACAACATAGGAATATGGTCCACTTTGTGTTCCATAGAAATTTTCTGCTGACACGGAATCTGCTAGTTGATCACATGACCTCATTCGTTGGATTATATTCTAGCAGACGACACTTGGAATTCCGATTACCGCTCGGGATTATAAGGAAATTCGGCCGATAAAAAATGGTAATGTTTGGTAATAAGTGAAATCAGCCATTTTGTATTTGTCAAAGTATACATGAATACATTTTACCTTGCTTGAAACTACTGGATTCATTCTACTAGCTGATATTGTAGAGAAAACCCATGTTAATCAAAACAAACTAATGCGGAGGTCGAACAAGGTCGCTCATGTAAATTATTAATCCTTTTCTGGAAATCCACGAATAATAGGTTTCCACGAAATTAGGTAACTCGACTGTATAGAGTTATTATCACTACTGAGACCAGTTGTGACATTATCACTCAGACCAATGTTACAATTATGAGACTACTCAGACCAATCTTAAAAGTCTGCACGGACAAATCTGACCAATTGATGTCAAACTACAAAGAGTCAATAGTTAACTAGTGCTGATCTTGTTGTCAATGCATCACATCGTATCATCACATGAATCATATTTTTCACACTAGCATTAATACAATATGGATGAATTCTTAAAAAAATACCAGCTAAAATAAATATAATAGCTATGAAATTTTATCAAAAGTGGACAAGAATACTGTGTGTTTGCTTTCATTGGTAGTGTAACTATTGCCATTTGGATTAATTGGTCCTAGTAGTGTCATAATTCAGTGGTCTTATTATTGGTCCAAGTATTCTGGTCCTAGTTGTCTTGTAACATTATTTCCAACAACATTGGTCCAAATTGTCTCATAATTGGTTCAAGTTAATAATTTATGATTGTTTTAGTCACTATTGTTGTAATAGAAGTGCGACTCTTTTCTGTGTATTTTTATTAGTTCTAATATCAACCTAAAAATATTACTAATAGTCTTATAGTTGTAAAGAATCACATTAGTCCAATACACCTTAAGATCCCTTCATTTCTTTGAAGTGCTATTGTGATTAGACATTAAAGCTTTCAACCATGGTTAATAAGAAATTGTTGCTGTTTGATTGATAATACATTATAATAAATGTTTCCTCTTCATTTTTTTCATAGTTTATGATCTTTAACATTCTATAGATATTTATACATTACGTTCTATGAAACAAGAAAAATATCTGGTTGGATTTGATGAAGTGCCGGAAGAAAAGAAGGTGTGAAAAGTAGAATATAATCAGACTCCTTTACGACTTTTACACTCTTTGATCATGTAATATATGATTTCAGAGCTGTTTATTTAGCTGTGTTTCCTAGTAGTGTCAGGCAAGAACTATCCGAAATTATGTGGTATTAATTGTGCTTGACAGGAATGGAATTTTAGCCACTTACAGACTTTTCAGATTTAAAATTTAGGGGTTGAGTGTTCTCTAGCAGTGTGAATTTGTAATACTTTTTTTTATATCTCAATGAGTTTCATCTGTTTTAATAAATTCATTTATCATCCAAATCTTCTTTTGTTGGGGATAATAGACATTGAAGTTGTGGAAAACAAAATTTTCACTTCTGCTATGTACAGAAGCTTATTTTTATCTCTTTGGGCTTGACCGGAACAACTGCATATTTCAATTCTGAAAAGTGTTACAGTTGGCTGAATTATGTTCCATGATTGATTGCAAAATGAGAATCAGTTGAAATCTAGAACTCTGGTTATGTATATGTTGTGTAAATTAGTGATAAATGAAGCAGATGTGAATGAGAGTGAATATTATTATTTTGATATTGTGCTATGAATAAATATTACTAACTTAACATTCACATGATCAGGAGATGTATTTGTGTTATTTTTAATAAATTTTTTTAAATACAAGTTAGATATTTAGTCAACAATATTTGTTTGGTATATTGGGATGGACCAAATTTCTCTGAAGACAATCCAATTCCAGTTTGAGAAGAGAGTTTTTGTAGTACTGTATCATTATTGCTTTGCTCCATTTCTTATGACATAGAGATTTGGTCATCAGTTATATTCTAAATAAGACTCAATGGGCTGCCAAGCTTACAATTCTTACCAAAGTTATGTGAATAGAGATATACATAACATATATTAATGCTGTACTAGTGAAGGCATCACAAATTGAGCAAAATGAATCAATTCATAAGAAATAAATAGAATGAAAGTTGTTTATTATCACTATATGTATATAAAGTATAAATTGTTATTGTACAATACATGTATAATACATATTGTATGGAATTGTTTCAAAATATACTAAATTTGTAGAATTAATGTCAGATATTTTGACTGAATTACACTTTATAATAAACTGAACAAAAGTGACCAAAGAATTTGTATTCAGCATTAATTTCATCAATAACCACTGAATCAAACTTATTTAAATGAGACATTTAACCCCCCTGCTATCTAATTCCATACAAATGCTAATGTCAGTTAACCATTGTTTTAAAACTAAAATAAATGAAAAGATACAACAATTTTCTACCCAGAAATTTAGTTGCAAAAATGCAAATAATACTGGCGAAAAAAATGAAAATCATTGTACATGCTTCATAATTAAAAAGACAAAATTTATTTTTATAGTTGCTCTACAAAGAGCACAGCATAACTACAATATGACCATATCAATTAATGGTTACCAGCTAATTACAGGTGTTACTATTATCAAAGTCAATGAAATGGGCTGTTAATATGTGACCTTTATCTGTTTAACAGCAGACTCTCTAACATATCTCTCTATTGTCTTAAATGCAAGAGATATATTCACTTACACAATGATTCAGTTGTACACAAATGTACTCATCAACCTTATTGATACCATCAGTTGCTCATTTAATCAAGTAATTATGGTGATAAAATTATTGTGTTGCCTATGAGACCATCTGGATGTTTGGGACAAGGACTCCCTTCTAACAAGGGAGATCAAAAGAACAAATGATGTATGTCATGAAAATGCACAATACAGATCTATTACACCTCAATAAAAGGTCTTAAAAAAAATCATTTTGCAAAGATGGCACCATTATCATACTGTAAGTTCACATAAGAAGCAATGTCTATAAAAGCTTAATACTGATGGCAGGAGATGCCTGTTTCAGTTCTGTATATGAGCCTTGAAAGCAATACTGGTTATAATGATAATACTCCACAACTATAGTATAAAGCCTTAAATACAAATTATGCCACTAAATTATGCAAAATATCTACGCAAGCTAGCAGCTGCAGCTTTTCAAAAGCATTAATGCAAAGCATAACTATACTTAAAAGAAAATAGGCTTTTATTCTTGATAATATGCCTTGTACTTGGGACACTAAATATATCAGCATTGAATAAGAAATATTAAAACAGAACCTGAAAAAAGATGTTACTGAATTTAACAGACTTCCATAAATGCTGATCACAAAATACAAAAGCTTGTTTCTTAAGAAATTTGGTCCTATAATAAAAATCTAAATAAATATTTCTATGAAAATAATACTCTAATAAGCTCTTGATATATAAACATAAATAGCAACAAACAATATAAAATAAAACTTTACCTATGTATAATAATATGACTAGATATATATATATATATATATATTGTTGATAAATGTTGAAAAAGAATCAAAACGTAACTTTTGATTTGAAACAACTGTGTGGGTTAAGTCTGCAAAGTCTCAAAAAAGATACCATATTTGTCAATCAAATTTTTTATCAAAAAGAATCCAAATAGTATGTATTAAATTACAGTTCAGCTAAATACTGTTTGATTTAAATCAGTTATTTATACTGAGAGACAATGATATGATTAGCTATGTATAAAGCACATTATTAATAATACTTGTTATATTCTCATCTATGGTATATTAGTCAGTCAATGATAGTTATAAAAAACCAGTAAGCACTGAATATATTGGAAGAGTGTCATGTATGTTGTATTTAACTCAATGGCATCATGCATACAGATTCACATTTATTAACACTAACGTTTTCAAACTTAAATCAAACAACTAGATTTTCTTATCATGTGAAGCTTTATTGTAAGTCAACTAACAATACCCATCAAAATAATATGTCATTTTATACCAATATATTTTTGTACATTATCTTAAAATGTTCCAAATTCTTGAATATTCATAATTATCATTGATAGACAGTAGATTATAATACAATAATAAATAATATAAAAACATATTAACTTATATTCTACATCACTCAACTCAGATCTTCAAAAAACTTCAGATCTACATGTATTTATTTAAATATTTACAAAATCAACAGCAAATGTACATTTTTCTTAACTAAACTGGATCAATAACTGCTAGGAACCATCAATGGCCTTGCTATTACTTCACTAATGAAAATCCATTTTGAGTAAATTGTTCCTATAACATTATCCTTCCCCAACAAAACAATTTTATAATAAAAAATATACAGACCTTAAATTCTCACGCCAAAACATGTAAATTTTGTTACACAAGATAGTTTTACTCTTTTATTAGGCACAATGAAATGCGTATATAGTAAGATCTTTAGGGAAAAGTAGTATATAGCTGAACCAAAAGGGAATATAAAGATTTATAACTGGCAAAGCATGGCTTGTAGATTTTGATTTTGGCTAAGGAAAATTTGGTATGTTAATATAAGAAATTATATAAGAAAGTAACAATTATGCTTGAATGATGTCTAATTTATTTCCTTTTCTTGTCACCTTCAACAATCCACCATCGATACTTTCAGCTCCTTTCTTAATTGAAATTTCAACAGTAGATCCTTTTAAATCAGCAAAAAATCTGAAATAATAAAAATTCATTTAGTATTTTGTCTTTGCCACTGTGTAGTAAGATCTTGTATATTATTTGCCTGATTTTTCCATTTTTGTGGATGTTTTCTTTAATGTATAATTTTGTGACTTTGTAATTTTCTCTGCATCCAAGAAATAAATTAGCTTTCTATAACCTATAAGCTTCAGTAACCTGCTTCAAAAATTAAAATTATACTTAAATTTGAGGTCCACTGCAGGGTACAAGGACACATCTTTTTCAAACCTGCCACATAGCTATTAGTATTTGAAAGGTATTTCATGATTATGGGTACTTTCACAATATGAGCAGTAGTATACACCAAAACAAGTTTTTCTCATTATGCCCATGAAACTGCTATTTCTTGTGAAATGCACAATACTTACTGTTGGCTTATTTGTACTTCTGGTGGCTTGCCAGTATGATTCTGTACTACTAGATAAGCTTTAGCTACGAATTCGATAACATGGTCACTACAGAATATAAAATCTCCCTTCTTAGATAAAACGTCACCATTACTATCATGCTGAAATTTACAATGTTTTCATAATTATTAGAAATTTATGTCAGAGTAGATTTTGTCCTCTAATTTGAACAGGATGTCGTCATTCAATGAAATTAATCCTACTCCTTTAGCCTAGTATAGTATTTTTTTTTATTCCCAACTGGCAAAGGATCTTTAAAAGCACACAGCCTGTATCACGAAAGGCAGTTGTGTACTGTCTTATCCAAATGACTAGACCCTTTTAGCTCTGCCAACTATACAAAAAAGAATGAAATCTTAGATCAGCAGATCCTGAAATCAGCTTTTTGGTCGATTTCTGCGACACATTTTCAGAGAGTAATGTGGGTATGGATGAATAATACTTACTTTTTGTAAATGAAATATTAAGAGTTTATCTGAATATGGACTAAGTGACATCTTTTCAACTTCTCCTAATGGTATTCTATATTTTAACGTCATATTCTTTGGTTCAAAAACTAACAATGCTTGTGTAGACATTACAATCAATAACCTAACCATCTGTAATAATATAAATTAGATATACTTTATAGTACAGGTAGAGATAAATATACCAAAGAGATATTTTAGAAACCGTCTTTGAAATACACAAAATCATTCAAATATCATGAAGATATATATATAGAAATAGAATTTTGGCATTTCTTGAGCTATAAACTGTGCAGGAAAATATTTTTGGTAGAAGATATTTAATACAATTGAACATCAGCCTTCAGAATTTTAAAGATTTTGACTTGATAGTTTCTAATGAAATCTAGCACTATACCTTTCCATTAGCACGATTTATTTTAGTAACAGTATCAGCAAACACCACATCTTTATCTGATGTTGATTTATATACTTTCTGCCATGTCATATTCTGAGACAGTCCAAAATAATCTCCTTTAAACAAGTTTGACACACTGAAATATAAGTTTTCAAGATCTATCAAATATCTGACAACAAACTATCTGAAAGAATTGCATATTTCTACTGTGTTGCACTGCACAAGTAAAACATTGTATTAGTCACCAATTTATATGTCATATTCAATGTGGCAAGCAGCCCCTGTGGTTACATTCACGGTTTGTTTAGTACGAATAAAACCACATGTAACTAATGTAATTATAGGTAGGACAGATTTCATAAATGAAACTGAAAAAACAAACATATGAATACAGGAAACTTGTCATGATTGAATTTCGTCAATTACATTTCATTTTTGAAACAAGATTGCATCACAAGAAAGGAAGACTCCAATAGATTCCTTTAGATATTTCATCACATTAAAAATTGTCTGACCCTTTTACCCCAAAATAAACCATGCTAGGTTAATATATTCTTACCCCAATATAAACCAGACTAGGTTAATATAATCTTACCCCAATATAAACCAGACTAGGTTAATATATTCTTACCCCAATATAAACCATACTACGTTAATATAATTTTACCCCAATATAAACTATACTAGGTTAATATAATCTTACCCCAATATAAACTATACTAGGTTAATATAATCTTACCCCAATATAAACTATACTAGGTTAATATAATCTTACTCAAATATAAACCAGACTAGGTTAATATATTCTTACCCCAATATAAACCATACTAGGTTGATATAATTTTACCCCAATATAAACTAGACTAGGTTAATATAATCTTACCCCAATATAAACTATACTAGGTTAATATAATCTTACCCCAATATAAACTATACTAGGTTAATATAATCTTACTCAAATATAAACCAGACTAGGTTACTATAATCTTACCCCAATATAAACTATACTAGGTTAATATAATCTTACTCAAATATAAGCCAGACTAGGTTAATATAATCTTACCCCAATATAAACTATACTAGGTTAATATAATCTTACTCAAATATAAACCAGACTAGGTTAATATAATCTTACCCCAATATAAACTATACTAGGTTAATATAATCTTACCTCAATATAAACCATACTAGGTTACTATAATCTTACCTCAATATAAACCATAATAGGTTACTATAATCTTACCCCAATATAAACTATACTAGGTTAATATAATCTTACCCCAATATAAACTATACTAGGTTACTATAATCTTACCCCAATATAAACTATACTAGGTTAATATAATCTTACTCAAATATAAACCAGACTAGGTTGATATAATCTTACCCCAATATAAACTATACTAGGTTAATATAATCTTACTCAAATATAAACCATACTAGGTTAATATAATCTTACTCAAATATAAACCAGACTAGGTTACTATAATCTTACCCCAATATAAACTATACTAGGTTAATATAATCTTACCCCAATATAAACTATACTAGGTTAATATAATCTTACCTCAATATAAACCATACTAGGTTACTATAATCTTACCTCAATATAAACTATACTAGGTTAATATAATCTTACCCCAATATAAACTATACTAGGTTACTATAATCTTACCCCAATATAAACTATACTAGGTTAATATAATCTTACCTCAATATAAACCATAATAGGTTACTATAATCTTACCCCAATATAAACTATACTAGGTTAATATAATCTTACCCCAATATAAACTATACTAGGTTACTATAATCTTACCCCAATATAAACTATACTAGGTTAATATAATCTTACCTCATTGGGTAGATTTCTTTTTTGCCTTTAAATATATCACTAGCAGTTACTTTTTCTTTCATTTGATATCTTGCTGATTGGTCAAATTTCAGACGGTATTTATGGCACTGAAGAAAATAAATCAGAGATTTTTCATCATTTCATTTCTTCAATATGTCAGAAACTATTGATATGAATTTGTTGAATGATGTCATATAATTTTCAAATGGTGAATTAATATGCATTAGTATGGTATCCGCATAGGCATTTTAACAACTTTGTTTTTTAAATATGAACATCCTGTGATCACACACACTTTCAAATGTCATTCACATAACCAAATTTCTACACCAAAACACTGTGCACTTACTCTCCATCTATGGTATATCTTCTTCAATTCTTGTGATGCATCTTTAAACAATGGAGAACATTTCGGCCAATCTTGAGAAATTGGTGACATGGAGGGAAGATTTGCTTTAAGTTTTAATAAGAATTGTTTTTTCTGAAATAAAACAGGGTTTTTGTTGAATGAAATATAATTAAACATATAAGTAATCTACATGGGCTAATTTTATTTGAAAAATGTTGTCAAAACTAATGCTTTGCGTTCAACCTTGAGAGGGAAGAGGAGCCGAAATTTTGTATACCAATTGATACATCACATTTTTGACGTAAATGTGTTCTCTCAATTTTGAAAAATTGTAAATTCTCACCAAGGCAATTTTCATGAATCTTGCAATCTTTGGTCCAGCTTTAGCCCTGAATTTACTGCGGTACTGTTTTCTTACTCTCCAACCCTGATAATATTTCTGTATAATTCTTGCTGCGTTGAAGACTTTACGTTCTTGACGTAACTGACGACATACTTTACGAGCCTATAAAATGAAAATATATCCAATAACAAATCAATCAATGAAAAGAAATTAAGAATATCTTTATATACAAAATAAGTTATGCAAAGCTTAGGATAATCCCAGTGTGGTTTTTAGGTTCAATAACCTTGTAAATTGTAAATATCAATAAAAAATTTGTTGTAAGTTACAATAACTACAGTTTGAAGGTTTTTCATTGCTTGAGTATTAGTTTATCACAAGAGAACTTCATCCAATAAATAGGCAATAAAAAATACTGTTAAAACTCAAGTATGATATGGGGGTATATAAATGTTATATTATAAATAAAACAAAAGAAACTAATCTACCACCAATAATCTAAAAATAAATCCAACTATTCTTAAAAATATTAATGTAAATATTGAAATATACATAAAAAAAAAAAAACTTTAGTAAAATTAGTATTAACCGAACTTGAAAAATATAAATAAAACTATAAATAAAAAAAATTAAATATTGTCTATGTCTACTGAAACAAAAGTATCATAATTCTTAATATATCAGGTATTTACGTTAAACAAAATTCAAATGTTTAGAACAATTAATTTCTCACTGTGCATATCATATCATATTGTAATTTAATAACAAATTCTCTACATTTTGAAGTTTGTTAAAAGGAGCATTTTCTTCAAACTATTTAACTTAATTAACATGTTTTTGAAATGGCAATTCTCGAAAGCCCCAATTATTATTTCGTTGTCCCAAGATACATACTTAAAAATTAAATATTATTTCTCTTATAATAGCCAAAACATTGTCAAGAACTGTAAGATTATAACAAAGTACAAATTTAATTTTTATTTTGCCCCAAAAGCACGATACATATGTCCATAGGTTGGAAACTTATACACTATATTCTGACTAGAAAAATATTCTGAATATACTGAATTTGCAAGAAAATGCTCCTACTAATATGCCGTTTATATCTATTATGTGCTAGGGATTATATGTGTTAAGGTTTAATTCTATTACATGCTAGGATTTTAGTCCTGACCTGCCATCCATGATGATATTTATGAATTACATCAACTGCCCAATTCACTTTTTTCTCATGTTTCAACCTGGCTAGTAAACATCTGGCCTGTGAGAGAATATATATTGTAATCATATACATATAGTGCTCGTTACACAAGATATCAGTGTACATAATGTAATGGCCAGGGCTGTTGATTGGGTAGAGTATCTACCAGTCATGTCTGATTTGAAACACCAAATTTTACATTTTAATATATCATTTGAAACAGGTTCGATTGATTTTTCACAAATGTATGACAAAGAATGTTAAAAAAATGTACTATGTGTGCAAAATGACTAATTTGGACAAATTTGTAAGCAACAGCCCTGAAAGAAAATAAGAAGAAAGCACATGATCAAAGTAGTTATTGATTTTACCAAAAGAAAGGGAATAAAGGAATTACAGAGACAGATATATAGAAGGGATATAGTTTTTAATGGAAGCCAAAATCTATTTCTATCAGATGTGTAACTATAGACCATATCCCTTCAATAAAAGCAAGCAGGAACCAAAGAAACAAAGAAGAAATAGGAACAGAAAAGAGCACAGCAATCGTACACTAGAAATACATCACAAAACGTAAGTAGAATAAAAATTACATTCGTACAAACAGAAAAAGTTTACATAACATTTCTATGTACAAAACAAAAATTACATTATATTTCCACGTACAAAACAAAAAATATATTATATTTCCATGGACAAAAATTATATTATATTTCCATGGACAAAAATTATATTATATTTCTGTATCCAAAAAAAATTACATATTGATTTACCAAAAAAATCTTAAATTTTCAAAATGAAAACAACAAATTGAAATTTCAATATAACATCATCTACAATTCTTATATTTGATGAGGTGCATTATATTTATTTGGGACAAACATATAAGCATACAAATAGTGCACAAAGCATTAATCTACATACCTTCCAGCCACGAACATAACACTGCAATCTTATTGTTGATTTCTTCTTATGTTGGAAACATTTCTGAGCCTATTGATAGATTTAATATAGACGTTACTTAAGAATAATAATTTTGTTGTTGCTTATAGCTTATACACTCCCTCTCATTTTTCTATGTAACAGTTCCTCATTAGCACAATATGGCACAGAAAAGTAGGATGTAAAATATTGCATTTCATAGTTGAAATGATTTATAGAACACATCTTGCTTATATATAGTACAAATTTAAAGAAAATTCCAGTTAAACATGTACTGACAACTAAAGAAAAAAAATGCCTATTGTATGAACATGATGTATAACAAGAACCTTAACATCAAAACCTATACACCATCAACCATTCCATCCATAGACATGATAACTTACCCAATAACCTCTATATCTAGCCGATATCACAATCTGACTCTGTTTCATCTTCTTATATATCATTAGCTGTTTCCATCCCTTCCATACTTTCTGTATCATAACAGCCAAATCTTCCATTTTATCTCTTCTTCTCTCTTCTATTTCAAATAACTATAAATATATTATTTATAGATATAATAATAACAAATCTTTATGAATATAATCTTTCAAGATATAATCATAACAAATCTTTATAAATATAATCTTTATAAATATAATCATAACAAATCTTTATGAATATAATCTTTCAAGATATAATCATAACAAATCTTTATAAATATAATCGTTATAAATATAATCATAACAAATCTTTATAAATATAATCTTTATAAATATAATCATAACAAATCTTTATAAATAAATTCTATAAACAGATTCATCTGGTTCAAATTTATCTTTTTGATGCTATGGCATCTGAGAAAGGTACTCAGTATCCATTGGTTAGATTCCTAAAACTGATTTATCAACCATGCAGAAGAAATTTATTACTTAGTTTACACTTTGAAGAGAGATGTTCATAAGTATTCAACAACCCTTTGCTCCAAATTTATCAATTGAAATCTTATGATGTTTAGCATGTTGTCATCTTCAGGACAGATTAAATCTACCTAGGTGTGATCATGTGCTGTATAATCTATAATCAACCAGTATAATCTTGAATTTTGTTAGTTTAAACTTACCGTCTTTGGATTTCTTATAAAGATTTTGGTTTTTCCAAAGGCATATTCTTCACTGGGAATATTCTGACTTTCCAGAACTAATTTCACACCTTCCTTAGCTTCACCTTTCCAACTCGGCCATGTTTCTTTAGCTAACATTTTATATCGATATAAGAATATGCCATAAGATTGTCTAAAGGCGTAACCAGCACGTTTTACTCTTACATTTTCCATCAACCTACAAAATAAACCACTTGGATAAAGTATAAGAAATTTAAAATTCTGTCAAAAGTATAAAATTATTTTCACATTATATCAATGCTACATGTTACTTTGTACTGATCATAACTGATCTTTTCTGCCAGTAATTTAAGCTCAAGTTCAAATTGTTAGAATGTTCTTAAGATCACCACTGACTGAAGGATTCTGCAGTGAATCTACACAACAAGTTCTTGTATACATTTTCTCTAACAATAAAATCTAGTGAAGGATTCAGCATGGCTGTGCAAGGTTTTGACTTCTGAGTGATAAATTTAAACTTACCCTAAATATCTGACTTGATGTCGAACAAGATTAACATCTAGAACACTAGCTTTCTTATCATCATTAGGCTACAAAATGTTCAAATAGAAAAATATCGATCACTTTTCTTTGCATCAGAATTATTTTAACATTTGCGTTTGAGACAACAATCAACTGAGCTATTATTATGATGTAAATATGAAAAAATGTCTAATAAAACTTAAATCAATAGATTTGCAATCTCATGGATCTTATATGTATTATCTATACAAACCTTGATACAGCGAATGTAATTGGGATTTTTTGAAAGCAAGTTCTTCATCAGTTCTGTTACAGATATCTTAAACTGTGAACCTGCAGTTACTGGTCTTTTTAAAGACTTTTGACTTGGATTTCCTGCAAAAATATAGTGAACTGATTAAAACTTCATACAACCTTTATATATTTCAACACTGTACAAATTTTCATAAACTCGTCTATAAAAAGCAGTTAATGGAATGGAGTTTCAATCAACATTGTATTCATAGTATTAATTTTAACTGGGATAATATAAAAATCCATAACAAACCTTCAGGAAATAATGTCTTTAATAAAGGATTTTTACAAGAAAACATGGCTTGTGATAAATCTCGGAATAATAAATCATTATTCTTATCAATAAATCCTTCTACTTTATATAATACCTACAAATATATTATATCTTATAATAAATCAATAAAACAAGTACCGGTATCACAAGGACATGAAGTAAAACAGAAATTCTTCTGAACAGTCTTTTTTTCAGAGAGATTTCCTGATCAAGACCCATGGATCAACTGTCCTACTCTTTAATGTTATAAACTTCATATATATCATTGTCTTCATATATATTCATAAATCAATTGTGAGACAATGGTGTAATATGAATATGAACATTAGAATTTGATGCTTTTCTATTCTAATAAATTGAAATAGTAAATAATAAGTGTACACTTACATTGCCAGCATAATGACGAAGTCTAAAGGCATCATGTGGTAGAGATTTATCTGATTGTGTTTTCTTACAACTTCGACTCTCATAATGGGGATGTTGAGCACATCTTTGGTTTAACTTGTTTAAAAATGTTGTATCAGTTACGTCCCCTGGTCTTAAACACTCTTCATCAAGTAAGGCTAATATACCAACATTATTCTACAATCAAATAAAAACATAGTTTTACATCCCAACATTTACTTGCATGTCCCATTAGACAAGGATTTTCAACACTGATGGTTTGCTTTGCTAGTTCATTTTGAATTTCATTCATTCTCTATATAAATCTTTTGTTTTTAATTCTCAAACCCTGCATCTCACACAATGAGTTTAAGGATATAAATCACTATCAGAAAGTTCTGAATGTTTGTGTAACAAAAAGATCTATGGACTAATTTGTTCATGTAGTATATTACACATTAATCATGATCTAATTTACCTACCTTCTCTATCAAATCACAGATAACAGCATTATTAAAATATTCAACATGTATCCATTCTATTCCCTTAAAATACATCATATCAATATATCAATAATAGATCTCTATAAGACCTTTAGAGATATGGAGAACACATCATCCTTTGGTGATACTGTCTATTAAACTTTATGTGGTTTTTATCTATGAATGATGGTCTTGTAACAGGTACTATTACTGTAAGATGAGATTTCCAAATCCTCAAAGGACAAACGTATTGTTAAAAAAGGTTATCTAAATATCATTAAACTGTCTAGTTTTGTCGAGCTAGGCTTTCTGGTCTTATCTTGCGTTCTTTTCTGATTAATAATTGCTCAATTCCAATTAGTATATATTTAGGTACCAATGATAAAGTCAAGTCCTACCTCCTTCACATATTCTTCTTGTTCTTCTTTTAATGTTAACTCAATAAATATCTGTTGTAACTTTTCATTACAATAGTTAATAATAAACTGTTCAAAACTATTATTCTGAAAAAAAAAATCATTGGTTTATATCAAGATAAAGTATGACAAAATATATGTGTCTGTATGCAAGGAATTTCAATTTTTCTATTAGTTTATCTTTGTCTAATGACTAATTTCTGTGCAATTAATGATGCAAATATACAAACATACCTGAAAAACTTCAAATCCATATATATCTAACACACCCATAACCTTCGTCTTTCCTTTCTTCTTCACCTGTAATATACAGTTATTCTTTCATACAAAAACAAATATCTTCAGAAACAACATAAGTAATAATGACTGTAAATAAAAGTGACTGAAATTAGTTTTTAACTACCTAATAACAGTAATATCAGATTTATTTTAAATTATATAATTTCCAATGATATCAAGCCCATGTCATTTAAAATGTTGTCTCTTTTGCTAAGAGCTGTAGATTTTCTAACTGTATCAATTTTCAAAGAGTTTAATATTACCTTAATACTGTCATTTATACGTTGAACTAACCATGAAAACATACGACTATATAATGCTTTACATAAAGCATCTCTTGCATAATAGGCCTGAAATATAGATTATAGCGTAAAAAAGGTTCTCAGACATATTTCTGAATGAAGAAGTTTCTTTTTAATGCTTGATGTCTTTAAAAAAATCTCTTTAGAATAACTAAAATATCAATTCATTTTGTGGTTTATGAAGAATGTAATAAGCCTACTCTAAACTTTCATTTGTAAGGGAACTGGACATTATATTCTAATTTTGAAAAGATCTTTGGATGGCTGAATTATAGTTCTTTTGACACCTACATCTCACCTATATAAACCTACTTACATCATTATTTTTAAGGTGAGTTTTAACTTTGTCACCTTTCACCTCCACAGTTCTCTGTGTTAATGCTGCATCTAATAATTCTTTACTACAACCTAATAGTTCACATACTTCTTGTACCTCTATAATATAGAGAATCAATGATTATTATCAGTTACACTTGAGACAAAAAAATTCCATTGCAATTTCCACAATTTTGAAAAATTTGGTATGCTTATCAAAAGTTTCAGGCTGTCATGAAATATTCTACTTTATGTATGGTATAGTGGCAACCCATTTGAAATTACAATCATACAAAATTCTCTAATATTTTGTAAAGAACACTTACCATTTTCAGCTCCAATATCACAGCCATCTGTTCCATCTTCATTAACTCTCGGTGTAAATTGTATATTACCTAACTTTAATATTGTTGATACTAATTTAAATACATGGTTAATTTCTTCAGAACTAAATCCTATTATCTCCATACCATTCTATATTTTAAAAAGAAAAGAAAGCTTTAAAAAAAAACATTTTTTCAGAGTATATTTGGTACAGAAGACATGACCGTTCAAATCCATTGCTAGTGGTTTCAGATATTCTTGAAGGGTGATCAGTTCCTTCTTTGTTAGTAACAATAATGGAGCTCAAATTTAATGAAGTTCTGAATCTAAAAATAAAAGCATTATCTCACTTTGACAATTCTGAAATTTTCAGCATCATCTGTAGCACTAGATAAACCATTTCCACCATTCCTGAGAAATACATAATCCTGAGCACTTTCATGTAATTTTAATGATTCTGAAATTGATTAAGTAGTAGATTACTAACAATATTAAAAATTCAAATATTATGAATAAAGTAATGAAATATAATAAGAAATAAGAATATGACTTGGAGCTCATTTTATTAAAGGTTTTGAATGAGACATGACAGGCAGCAACAGCCATCTGCAACAATCCTAAACAGAAGACAAGTTCATATTGCAAATTTAAGAAGTTTACAAAAATACTTACTAAGTAATTGTGGGTCAGCACCAGATAATAATTGATAAAATATGTGAAAATTTCTTTCTCCTTTTGATTGAACAGCAACACGAGACTAAAATATATCATGATTCATTATTAAAACACAGTGTAAGTTATTTATAAATAATGATAGGCCTACAGTCAGACAGCTAATCTTTTTAATATGAGACATATTACTTCCCCTTATACACAGAATGAAAGTTTGACCCTTAAAATCACTGACCACAGGATTGTAATATTGCCTCATGTCATAGTATCTGTGCATATGAATATCTAATGGAACAGTTTATAAAAGATAACAGACAATGTGGAGAAGATGAAAAAAAACTATAAGATTAATTACCTTCTCTAATAAATCTATTCACAACCATGATATGAAAGTAAAAGAAAATAATCATATTAACAATATTATGCATAAATCAAAAAAAAAAAAAAAAATCAGTAAGTAGATTGAGCACTTCAGAGACAGAATTAAAGAAATGAGTCAGTTGTATAAAATCTGTTATATGAAAAGATATTTAAATGAAAACTTACAATTTGTTATAACACCACCAATAGGATCACCTTTATAATCAAATTCTATATCCATATATTTACCCTAAAAATATCAAGTATATTTTTATTTCAGCTTTAGAATAAGTTACACAGTCTAATTCAATTTATTATTATCTTCATGAAAAATTGTGCAAACATATACTTACAAATCTTGATGAATTATCATTTCTGACTGTTTTCGCATTTCCAAATGCTGAAAATAGAGATTGATTTGTTAGGAAAATATAAAACATTTCATATTGTGTTTCAAACATTCTTTTTTTGTAGCCATGTCAATACTGGATTGTTATCTTATAAACAGGGACTAAATACAATGTTCCAGGTTGCCTACTTCACTGCAACCATAATTGTCCCTGACCATACACAATCCATACTTTATTTCAACTGGTATTTACCTTCTAATACAGGATTAGATTGTAATAGTTGTTCTTTAACTGTATCAATATCTTGTCCTTTACCAGATACTTCAGCTACATATTGCATAATAACTTTACTAGCCTCTGAAATGAAACATTACTAGTTAATCAACTTGAAGATTAAAGGAAAATTCAAGCTGCCTTCTTTCATAAACAGTAGCAGAAGTCATTATTGAACTTTTAGCTACTCTGAAATTGAGTATTTTGGGTTTTGAAGGCATGGTAGGAAATCTTAGAAGCTCTTTATTATTAACTTGGTCTCCTCTTATCAGTGATACTTTCAAATAGATCTAGAAAACACAAACAATTGACTTTCAGATTAATTTTAAATATTTTTACCTGTTTTTCCTGACCCACTTTCTCCAGATATTATAATACATTGGTCTAGATTTCTATCTCTCATAGATCTATAGGCATCATCAGCTATAGCATATCTATAATAATAATAAACATATAGTCAGAATAAATAGTTAGCATTATAAATTAAGTATGCAAACATTGGGCTAGATAGGTTTAACCCTGGAGGTGAAAAAAGTAGATTCTTAACATTTCCATAAAATATCATTAAAATCTTTCATTAAAAAAACATATTGGCATACTGTTTTAAAATATAGAATTATCATATCTACAAGTTAAACACTTTATGTAGGGATGATGACATTTAGGTGGTTTATTTTAAGAATACAAGATTTGAAAATTGCTTTCTCGCCCACTTTTCAGTTCGAGCTACAGATATATTAAGGATTTAATAAATGGCAATGTTTCAGTGGTAGATGTAAATCATTGATTATATATGACTTATTTCAGTAACAGTTATTATGAATCATAACTTCAGTAAATTAGAATTGAGGATATGTTGTATGTTCTAGTCATAATTGCATATCAAGGAATATGTTTATTAAGTGCTCATGTTGCAGATGTAAATGTTTTTTAAAAATTTTATTTGAATTTAGGAAGCAGATTTTAAATATGATTATTTTCAAGTTTTGCCTTGGTACGATGTTCTTCCAAGGCAAAGTGACGTACATACCACATTTTTGTGTGGATATTTTTTGCAATTTCCAAGGTTATATTTGTTTCTGTTTTTTTTTGATTATCTAGTCTGTATCAATGGTCAATAACTGTCTAGCTTTAATCTTATTATTATACATTGTCATCATCTAGTCTCTTATTATCATAGTACTAATATACAAATCAATAAAACAATAACAAGTATTTAGTATAATTACTAATAACCGGGACTAATAAAACTTGACCAATTACATGGAATTGGTAATACCGATTGCTCCATTAGTATAACATCAATAAGTTAATTCTCTGAACACTTATAACATCATGTTCCTTATATAGTATGAGTCACATACTACTCACTTTAAACATGATTTCATGAATAGAAATTATCCTATTTTTGACATCATGTACAAGAATGGTAGTATTCTGTTTTTTTTAACAATATTCCCTTATAGTAACATAATCAATATTATTTTCTGGCCAAAACAATAAACAGCAATATTCCCATCTCCAACATGAATACATGTTATTCATTATTTATCTGATAAAGAAAAGACATGCATAATATAGTAAATAAGTTAGGTCTCAGAAGAAATATCTATTTCACATTCAAATATCAGTCTCCTGCAATATCTTCATACAGTATAATTAGATCTAATTGAAGAATTTACATGCAGTCGAAAATCAAAGGTTGAAATAAATCCAATAAGCTTAAGTAAATTGGCTTGCATTAAAAATCTTCATTGTTTTGAATCTTCCATTTACATTTGAGTTCCATTTACATGTAATAATGACACCCTAAAATTGGGCACATTTATTTCAAACACTGCCATATTTCTGCTATCTTAAGAGAAACAGACAAATGTTAACACTAGCATGAAAAAATGGATTTATAACTACATGTACTGTCAAGTGTAAACTGTAACTTCTAACTAAATCCAATTGCTAGCTTTAATTTGAAGTGCAAACCACTTATTTGTTTGAATTCAACAGTTTAGCAGTGAATGATTTTTTCTGTGTAAAACTACAGCACTATTGATTTTTCAGCAAATACTCAATAAATCAAATTTGTAATCAACAGTTGTCAATATTCATCTAGAATGAAAATAATCTATCAATGAATTGATTTGTTTGATTGATTTTGATTTTGTAATCAGTCAGTTGAATATCTTTAAGATTTAACTTTACACATATTTAGTAAATATTATTGAATTTCTAATAGCTTACAATAAGTGTTGATTTACTATGACAAATATATATATGTTTATTCTTTATAACATTGCTAAGTCAGTAATATCTTATGTCAATAGAAAGATTATGTTGCATTAATATCTCTGTATCATATTATGTTGCATTAATATCTCTGTATCATAATATGTGTATAAAACTGGTGGCGGAAATTTGGATTGGGATGGGCCACCTTTTTTTTCCAATCCATCTTAAAGATAGGTTCCCTTATTTTCATTTATTAAAAATGAAAATGCTTATACTTATATGAACAGAAAGTAGAAGTGTTCTAATGACTTGGAAAAATACCAGTTTGTCTCACATGTCCATAATTAATTCATAATTATCTAAATCAGAAGAAAATAACCAGGAAAATTTCAATGAGTGATAGGTCATGAAAGGTCAAAAAGTGTTTTTTGTTTATCCAGACTGTACATACATGCACATTTATGATTGGTTAAAGCTCTTATATGAATAGAAGGTAGAAGTGTTCTAATAACTTGGAAAAATAACAGTTTGTCTCACGTGTCCATAATTAATTCATAATTAGCTAAATCAGAATAAAATAACCAGGAAAATTCCAATGAGTGATAGGTCAAGAAAGGTCAAAAAGTGTTTTTTTGTTTATCCAGACTGTACATACATGCACATTTATGATTGGTTAAAGCTCTTAATTATATGCAATAAGAACATATTGATATTTTAAGAATACATGATAATTCATTAGAAACACCAATTAATCATATAGTTTGCTTAATTCGACACTAAAAAATAAGGAAACCCATCTTTAAGGAAGGTGGAACTTTTTTTGGAAAATACAAGGCTTAAATCCTGCATTTTACAGAATTCGTAAAAGTATTTCATCAATATCATTGAATTAGGGTCACCATTGTATAAAACTTATTAAGATCATGGACTAGTGTATCAATGATCAAGAGATGTACTTTACAACATGTCATACGAAAGAAGCATTTAGAGGGCTTAATTTTCACTTCAAAATGGCCCAATTATGGCACTCCATCTAAATACGCTACTAGTCTGTTAAAAGAAAAAGAGAGTATAATAAATGAAGTAAGTTTATCACTGTGATACTTGTAACAGCTAGAGGTATTACAAGTGCCAATAAAACAATCCAAGTGTCAAGATATTGTGATATATAATAGATGTTTGGGTGGTCTATCTCATTATCTTATACAATACTATATCTTTCTTTACCAATTTATAATGATAATTATCTAGATATCCAATTAAACAATTATTGATAGTCTATTCATGTTATGTATCCCAATCCATCAAAAGAGATGTTCAGCACACCAAGAAAACTGGGACCTAATAGTAATATATTTAGAATGGAGTCAGCTGGGACAGAATACGCTCTGATTATCTGAGAATATTCACAGAAATTCAGGTCATATTTGTTCATGGCAAACAAAACATTATTGAGCTACTTCCTTTTGTGCCAATTTGAGAGATTTTTATTAAAATTTATCAGTTTTGATAGACTTTTCAATCAAAAACATGAATAATATAAAATTAGAATCTGCAGACCAAAATGATCTTTTACTGTACATAAATATGAATGGACGCCCCCACTGTCAATAAAAAATATTATGAAGAGGCGTTTTGAAAAGGTAGAGAAATGGTTGTAATTAAAGTTTAATTGATGTATGAAGGTGAGGTTGTGTTCAGATGTTTCCTAGCAGACGGATGGTAATAATTGGAAGTGAAGTCTGCTGCTATCTTCCTAGTTTTATTAACATCTGTTAGAATGTTACTGCTGATATTCTATCCTACCTACTTCCTTCTCTACCTCTTCCTGTATCGTATCTCATTTTATTATCACTTCACTTTACATAACCCACTCTCAAACTTACTTTTATATTTTATAGCTAGGATTACCCTCTAAACACAAATCTCTCAATTTACTTTAAAGTGGTATTTTTTTTTTTTATCTCGTTAGGTATTCATGCAGTAGGTTTCTTCTAGAATGAAACTTAAGACCAATCTTACTGCATTCAATGGCTGCTTGGTTAAACACATGTGAAGGATATAAAAAGTCACTCAGTCCATGTTTTAAAAATAGATACTAGTCAGGATTGCACAGGTTTTATTTCCAAAATTTAAATGAAAAAAAATATTGATTCATATGTGTTAATTGGCCCTGAACATTTTAAAACAACATGTTTTCATAGATCTATTGCCAATTACTGTATGTCTGATAATGAATTCTGGTCATATTATTACAAAACCAAAGACAGAGTCATCTAAATATTTGCTTTGTCAGCTAAAACTGCAAAATTCAGCAACCTGTATCACTTTTCAAAATTATAATCGGACATCCAACCTCCTTGCAATTACCAGATAATACTATATCAGCAGTGAGATGCAATTGAGCACATTGCTGGTAATGCATAGATTCCATAGACTATCTTATTTACTTCAAGTAAAAAAAATTGTAAGGATTTGCTAATGCACTCTTTTCAATTAGGTTGATGAAAAATTTGATAAAGCATCTACGAATAATCATACTATAAAGAAATATGGTACATGTAAATGGATTGTATATAATCTGTATAATATTATGTTAAGGTAGTGGTAGGAGGTCTCTATAGTAAAATATTAACACATTACCTTGACATAATAAACCAATTAGACCTTTTCCTTAATATCATTAAACCTACACTTTTTAACTCAATTATATCTCAATAAATATTCCATTCCATTCATAAATATTATTAGTTTAAAGGGATTGTAAAGAGGTTTTCTAAATTTGCATCAGGGACACTGATACCTAGCACCATTGCAAATGGGCCCTTATGTGATAGAACATATTTTGCGATTAGTGACATCATCAAACACTTGGTTTTAGTGGAATTGAGGAACTACAGAAGTAGGACCTTCTTGCTCCTTCTTACCACTAAAAGAAATTGATTGAGAATGGTGTGAATAAGTTTTCCAAGTACAAAAAATAATATGCACTTTACAATCACCAATATAACAAAATGCACTATTTGATTAAAAGTATGTTAAATGGAATTCAATAGGAATGTCAACTAATGAAATAATTTTAAAAATGTAAAATAAATCTTTGTTTCCCATGCTGTATATTTGGAATGTTATTTTTTACCAGTTCATGTGAAATGTCAATCAATGACAATGTTCCTCATAACATTGGTCATCAATCACATACTTCAAT